ACAATTAACCACAGAGCAGTTCACTCCAAAAAGAAAAGAGAAAAATTATAAAAACACACAGCAGCGTGGAGTAAGAGGAAGGCAAGCTTAATTTATGTATATATATATATATATATGTCACAAATTGACCATTCCTCGATTCTCAATCATTTCCTTGCAAACTGAGAAAAGTTCTTCTGTCCTTTTCGTTATGGTTATGTTCCTTCTCCTTGGTTCCACAAACACGTTACATTAAAAATTTATGTTATGTCAAAATAGAGTGACTGATTTACAACAATTGAATTGTTGAATTTTTTGGACATGTATATATTATGATATTATATGGGGATTAAAACCATACTAACACAATGAGTTTTAATAGTACAATCATAATTGTATTTTTTCAGTTGTAGTCGTTTTTTTTTTTGCAGTTATAATACTACAATTCCGTTGCGGACTACTATAATTCAATTCATGTTTAACATGATGCTATCTCGATTAAATGAGGCTGAAAATCATGATATTTGTCCCCAAATTGTGACAAAATAAACATATAATAAAAAAAAAATATTCCAGAAAGCTAGATGATCGATCACGTGCTTACCAGGCCGAGTTGTAACTGTTATATTAATGGTTATGCTGGTATTGTGAGTACTATTGATGTATCTGGGCTTTTGGTACTTTCCACAATTCAAGCAAGGGTTTCTTAACAATAGAGAACTAGTATACATGAAGTACATGATATTTGTGGCAGACAGACTCCTACATTGGACAAACAAACTACGATTAATAAATTTCTACATATAAAAATCAAACTGTGTGAAACAGAACATTTCAGTTGTAGGGTATTTTGTATTAAAATTATAAATTTAATAATGATTCAATTTTTTACCGTTAAAATCTCCTATGGATTTGGATTAAGTACTCGATATGTTTGGTCAATCGGCCAATATGATAATGTTTCTTAAAAATTGTTAAAATGTGAAAATGATTGCAAGAACAACTTCTAGTTGATTCATTAACATAACTTAATTAATAGGTCATGAGTAAGAAAAATAAATGTGTGTAATGCCCAGCCACTTGCAACGTGTATGGCAAGGTATATGATCATCCCAAGTAACCTTCAAAATACACAGGAAATGACTTTCATGGGTATAAAAAAGTAGAGGGATAGCGGGGTTCGAAACAATATTCATGTTCTGTGTGTTGGGCTGATTTGGAGACAATGGAACATCTGTTCCTGGATTGCCCTGTCGCCCGTGCCATTTGGGACCATTCTGGGTTAGAGTTTTTTGACCAATGTTTGTCTCATCATACGTTGTATTATACATCAACCTTTGCAGTTCATGGCGGTGATTGCTGTCCTTTTGAGGATATGGAGATCTTGGAACTGAGTTGTCTTTGAAGGTAAACAGTTCGGGATCCCCGCTTTAATTAGGCAATATAACCAACATGTTGAGGAAAGGATCCGTCTACCGGTTGACCAACCCCTCTCCCTGTCCAGTACGATGCCTCCCCCTGTGGAACTAGATGGGCCAAGTGTGCCTGTGTGTATGTGGGATGGGGCAGTAAGGAATGTGTCTCATTCAACAGGAGGGATGGTTATCCTCAATCCCGATAGGGAGGTCTTTTGAGCAACGGGTGTCCAGTTTCCTCTTATTAATGATCCAATGGTGGTGGAATTACTTGTCCTCCGGGAGGCTGTCACTTGGTGTTTGGGGCAGGACTTTTCGGAGATGAGATTTGAAGGAGATGCCAAAGTGTTCACTGATAAAATCAGTCGGAAAGATGCGCGAGATAATCAGACGGGGACGATTCTAGAAGAGATTGTGCAGACTTTCGCTTTGAATACGGGCTTCAGTGTGCGATTTGTATGTCGGAGTAGCAATAAGGTAGCTCATTTGGTAGCTAGAAAGGCCCTGTCTTTGTACCAGACTACATGTCGTTTCTTTGATTTTCAGGCCAAACTGAATTCCAGGATGTAACTATCTTTTTGTTCCAATCAATATATGATTACCTTTTGTCAAAAAAAAAAACAATATCATGTCATGTAGTTTTAGCATTGAGGGAAAGTGGTCAAAATTAGAAAAGAGGTAGTGAGTTGTGACATTCTTAACAAAGATATTCATAGGAGACTATGACCGTCATATGATTGGACTTATCTGGTTGAGTTGATCCACAATGCCTTATCTAGGGTACTTGCAATTTTACTCAATCCTTTCTTCGAAGACATCTCTGCAATGAGCCTATTGAGCTGGATTCAAACTCGAACCGCGAAATTGTCAATTGTAAGAGCTTGAATCCTTGGTTCCTAGTGTCTCAGAAAAACTATATTATCCATGTGATGCCAAGGGCCTCCTTCAAACACTCAATTGTAAATTGGCACCAAAGGTAATTGAAAAAGAACAACTCGATCCTCAAGCTAGGAAATCTTGATCTCCCCGCCTCTCCCCCACAACCAGTTTGCTCAAAATCTCTAAGAACTAATCGATGGAGGAGCAAACATAGGTTGACCAACTAAAATGTTTTTCCATCGCTCAACTCTCTCCTCAACTCTCTTATTCGGGATTCAAAGCAAGCCATTAACCATCTTCGGCTCCACGAACACCAACCTACTATCCTCTGCAACCGAGAATAGAGAATCCCAAGTGCAATCGCCATCGACAGCGTCTCGCAAAACTCCGCAGGCTGCCATCACGAAATTCGATAAGGAATCAAAGATGAGAGAGATTAACATAGTATTTTGAATAAGTTTCATAACATTAAAATACTTATATATGGATTAAACCTAATTATCTTTAATGTAGATTGTAGTGTTAAATAAAATCTCTTTTATGATATCTTATTGCACTTTTTATTTTTCTTTTAAAATTCTTGGCTCCCTACCTGCCCTAGAAGAGAAATTTTACAATGCTATATAATATTGGTGCTATAGGTTTTGATTCCCCTCAAGGTTTGACAATTAACCTGCTATAATTTAACAATACCTATCGGCTATCAGTGTGTTACAATTTACAAAGCCTGATAACAGGTCCATTTTACATGTGTGGGATAAATATATGGTGAGCCTGGTTCTCCTCAACAGTTGTACAATTCCAAGGCCCAAAACCGTGGCCCAGAGCCTGAGCTAGCTCGTTCCCCTTGCTGAATATGTTACCCTTGTGGTGGATGCTACTATGCGTCGTGGAATAATATATGGTAGAGTTTTGTGTATTTTTTTTTAATTTTAAATTTCCCGCAATGAGAGTGAAAGTAGGAAAAATATTTTAGTGATTACGATCCTTTATTAATTTCAAATTTCCTGCAATGAGAGTGAAAGCAGGAAATACATTTTAGTGATTACGATTCTTTATTAATTCATATAAAAATATAAAAATATCAAGATTTGAACCATTATCTCTTCAAACAAAGACAACAAGCATAACCAACTACACTAAACAAAATTATTCTACCTTTTTGAATACAAACCATAGACAAAGTTAAACTCTGAAAACCGGAGGACTTTTCCATCATGATTAGCTAGCCCACTAAGTGTCTTGTAAGTATTTTTATAGTACTTGATATATCGATTTTCATAGTAGAGTTTCATGTAACTTTCTCCATTTTAAAATTTCTACTTTGTCCTTAATTTTTGATAAGGCTAAATTGGTAATTGGCTAACATGAAAGAAATTATTTCTTTTACTATGTGTTGAGTCCTCGCAGTTTCTCAATTTAATTTTTTTTTGCGTTTTTTTATTTTTTTTTTATCCCTTCCTAAGCTCCTCTGAAACTCCCTCTATAGTGCAATAGTTTGCTCCCTTTCACTTCCCAGTACTAGGCCGCCTATGAAAATCAATCTTCTGATATCTCTTAGAACTACGGTTTTATTGTTGGGGAAGCTAGAAAAGTAGAAGATTTCAACTCCGATACAAGTCCATGGCGTATAGAATAGAGTCCAATCATGTAGTTAGGGTCTGGCCTATCTCGCTCGATTCCTCTGCACTCGCATCGACTAATGGTTCTATCTCTCCTATATCGATGAACTAATAGAAGAACTATTTTGTTGCTTCTATTGCTGAAGACAATGTTTGATCAGTTATATCTTCCTCCTTTATTCCTCTTCCTATACCAGACTTTGAACTTGAATGGTTTTGTGGACTTCCTATACCATTCATTTCTTCTCTTTGTCTCATGGTTTATCTTTCTGCAGATTAATAACAAAAAAACTTTTATTTTCATGTTGTCTCGTGAGCAGAACATGCAGAAGATCTATTTCTTTTGATTTTATTGCCTAATACGATGTTTAAGGGGGGACTTCATTATCATTATGAATGGAATTAAGGATACTTTTTTATATTTTATATTCGTAAATGATGATGATATTTATTCAAATGTTCGACCTATACATTCATTCTTTATGTATCATCTCGATTGAAGGATTGTCAATGAAATAAAACGGACTGATAAATTCAAACATAACAGAAAAATACAAATACTAAAATACGAACATTCCGCCCAACGAGCCGGGTTATAAGCTAGATTTTTGGAGTGTAAGTTTGTCTCTCGATTGGCCATTCGTTTTACTTGCTCCCAACATTTTCAACTCTCAATTACGGAATGGGCATTTTGTTTTTCTTGTTTTCTCAACTACCTTATAAAGTTTATGAACTAAATGATATGATACTTGATCTCAAGTCGATACCGTGAGCTGATCGGCCAGCCAAACTTGAGTCAAACACAAACTATTATTTTAATAAATAAGCTGAGCTCGAACTTGATTTATTTATTAAGGAGCTTAAATCGAACTAACCAGCCAAACTTGAGTCAAACACAAACTATTATTTTAATAAATAAGCGGAGCTCGAACTTGATTTATTTATTAACGAACAGAAATCAAACTAACCAGCCAAATTTAAGTCAAACACAAACTATTATTTTAATAAATAAGCGAAGCTCGAACTTAATTTATTTATTAAGAAACTGAAATCAAACTAAATAAAAACTCAACCCCTTTATAGCATGTCTAATTACCCACCTGCTCTCACTCAATCCGTTGTTGCTGCAGCTTGCGAATGAGAGCTTGACAATCACTTCCACGTAGTCCCATCCAAAAAGCTTTTGCCTCTGCCTCTTCTGCCCCACACATCCTTCGAGCGAAACCCAGGCGAAAATTTCCCCTCCAATCCCTGATCACGCCTCACAGACCAATTCCCACTGGTTTTCAAAAGACCCGAAGTGGTCTTGAGCTTAAAGAAACCACCAGGTGGTCTACTCCACCCTTGGTCAATCTGATTCCCCTCAGGGTCGGAGCTGGAAATCCAACTACAGATGAGAGGAAGTTGTTTCGTAGCCCCTCCTCTACTGAAACCATGGTGCTGCTGCCTCGTCTTATTCCTTACCCCATTTGCAGCAGCTCAGTCCATCCACGCAGAGGCTTACCGAAATGAACTTCTTAGCCTAGCCAAAGAGCAGAAGGAGTGGTTGGTGTCGGTCCGGAGGCAAATCCACGAGAACCCAGAACTCCGATTCGAAGAACACAACACCAGTGCCCTGATTCGCAGGGAACTCGACGCACTTGGCATACGTTACGCTTACCCAGTTGCCAAAACTGGAGTTGTTGCGGAAATCGGCTCTGGTTCGCCCCCTGTTGTGGCTCTTCGTGCCGATATGGACGCCCTTCCTTTGCAAGTGAGTAGACACACATTTTTTCATCCCTTTCAGTTCCTACAATAAAAAAATGAATGATCAGTTCCTGAGTTCTTATGGTTTTGGGTATTGGGTCTTCCGTGGTCGAACGAGCGAGCTTAGGAGCTGGTTGAGTGGGAGCACAAGAGCAAGATCGATGGGAAAATGCATGGCTGCGGCCACGATGCCCATACCACGATGCTACTAGGTGCTGCCAAGTTGCTTAATCAACGGAAGCATCTGCTCAAGGTGTTTGATTTTTCCAAACTGTAGCTGATTATAGATATATCATACACTTGTACCAGTTTAGGTCATGGGTACTTGTAGGATCAAATAGATTGTTGATGCTTATGATATACACATGTATTGGCTTTAAAGGGAACTGTGAGACTTCTTTTCCAACCTGCTGAGGAGGGAGGGGCTGGTGCATTGCATATGATACAAGAGGGGGCCCTTGGTGATGCTGGAGCCATTTTTGGAATGCATATCGACTGTGAAACGCCTACTGGAATGATTAATTCCCTTCCAGGATCCATCTTAGCTGCTGTTTCCTTCTTTGAAGTTAAGATAGACGGTAAAGGTGGTCATGCAGCAGACCCTCACACTAATATAGACCCTATAGTTGCAACATCCTTCACAATTCTGGCACTGCAACAACTCATATCAAGAGAAGCTGACCCCCTTGGTAGTCAAGTATGTTTCTGTTTCCTTAGGCATCTATATCTATGTATTCGCTCAAATTGTGCTACAAAAGGATGGCGTCAAGTTGCTTGTTGATACGCTTGTCAAGTATGTTTCCCCTTTATCATTATTTTTCTTGGATGCTTCAATTTGGGCATGGATTATTTGTTGATTGATGATGTTTCTTTCATGAAACTGACTGTGCTTTTCAAGAGCTAAGCAAGCTTTTTGGGTTGAACAAAATTTGCACCTGCACTTTGTTTTGTCCATTAGGAGACTTGAGATACTAACATATTCAGCGTTTAAGTAACAAAAGAAAGTGAGTGATTTCTCTGGGACAAGAATGATTGTTCATAGTATCAGTTATGTTGTTCAAGATGTTCTCTGCTCGGTTCTAAATGTTTTCTTTTCGCAATGTTGTTAACTTTGTTTACGTGTTGGTCATGGTTGACCAGGTATTGTCCCTTTTGCTTCAAGGAATGGATTGTTTTCTATTATCATATTTCATCAACGACTAAAATTTATCTGCTTCCAGCCTCTTGACATGTTTATGGAGTCTGTTTGTTTCCTTGGACCATATGCAGTAGTTGTTTAGGCAAGAAACTTGCAGTGTCCACTGTCATCTTAACCGGCTAATGCTGGTGGCACTTGTTCATTTTTCATGGTGAAGGTGCTCTCTGTTACTTATGTCAGAGGTGGGGATGCCTTGAACGTGATTCCTCCATATGTTGTGTTTGGAGGCACCTTGAGGAGTCTTTCCACCGAAGGCTTGCATCGACTCAAAACTAGGCTGAAAGAGGTAAGGCAAAGTTACGAGTGCATAACTTTTAATAATGTTGAAGTCAGACCCGACTGGATTCAGTCCTTCATGCTTGCACAAGCTATGTATATAGGCTATAAACAGGTATATCTGAAACAATTTGCTTTGCCTTTTTGGTCTTGGGGTTACTTAAACAACGTACAGGTGGTTGAAGGGCAAGCTCGGGTTCACAGATGCAAAGCACACATCGACATGAAATATGAGGATTACCCACCATATCCAGCAGTAGTGAATGATGAGAGGCTGAACGAGCACGTGCAGAGGGTAGGCAAGCTTCTTCTTGGTGCGGAAAATGTTAAGATTGGTAAGAAAGTGCTGGCAGGTGAGGACTTTGCCTTTTACCAAGAACTCATTCCAGGAGTGATGCTCAGCATAGGCATCAGAAATGAGCAACTGGGTTCAGTTCACTCCCCACACTCTCCCCACTTCTTTCTCGATGAGGATGTTCTCCCGATTGGGGCCGCTTTGCATACAGCTCTCGCTGAGACGTACCTCGATGGACGATCATCATGTATGCAGTAATCATCAGTGCTAAAACATACATTACTATGATAATCCCGCAGCAGCAGCAGCAGCGCTAAAACACCTATACTTTTGCGTGGCCTGCTGGACTACCAGTTTGATGTAAGAAGAAAATGTATCTTTCCTCCAGTGTACAAAACAGTGTAAATCATGCAGTTTGATATATTGACTTCTTTTTCGTGTTGCTTTATGGAAATGGCTATGAGGGCTCATGAGTTGTTAGTCCATTTTACTTTCAATTTTGACGCACGCAAAGGAAACTTAGAGATTAGAGCTGGGTTTTTTTCTTCTTCTTCCAGACGGCCTTGATAGGAAAATTGTAAAAACTATGGACCTAGACGTTGCCGTCTAAACTCTAAAGCGTCTAGAGATAGAAGGATAGATTTAGGTCGTAATGATAGATTTAGGAATTGAGAATTGTTATGTAGATCATTTGGATGCAACCTTTTGAATATGTGGTCCCATGGTGATTAGCAAGCACAACACTCATGTGCGACATTTCAACTTCGGACCTATCAGCATTTTAAATCAAAGTGTTGTATTATTCTTAGAATGTGACATTTCAACTTCGGTTTTTTTATATACAGAAATACCACTAAATTTTTTTTTTCAAAAATATCACTCATGAGCAAAAAAAATTAAAAAATACCACGCTTTCTCGAAAATCACTGGGTGGGGCACAATTTTCGACGAAAACCGCATGGATAGTGGGCGGTTTTACTGACCGCATGGGGTCGGGACGGTTTGCTCTTAATATTTTTTTTCCGCATAATGACCATAATTGATCCTGGTACAATTGGATTAGTTGTTTCTCTGTGTTTAAGAAGACCTAGGTTAGAAACACCATCATCCCATTAATTTTTTTATTTAGTAGAGATAAAAAAAGAAGAATGTTGTGGTGGTTAGAACCCAGATAATAAATAATTAACTACATTCAACACAATATCTACACCACCAGACTACAACTCTTTTGTTGAAAATTTTTTGCACAAGTACATAAGTTCGGATTCCGGAGCACAAAGTTATGGACGATCAAAGTTTGGCAAAATCGGAAAAAAGCCCGTTCGAGGTAGCAAACGCCATTTTTCGGGATGAAGGCGGGACCAAACCGCCTGCGGCCTTTGCGGCTTGCAAGATCTCGAAAAGTTATGCGGAATGAAAATAAATTCGCTGCGATCGGATGCCCGAGTGCAAAGTTACGTTCGTTTGAAGTTTCGACCGAGGTTAGGAGTTGATCGGAATTTTTTTTTTGGACCAAACCGTTGGGTGGGGGTGGGGGGGGGGGGGGTGCGGTTTTGGACCAAACCGCCCTGAACCCAAGCCGTTTTCAAAACCTCCCCGTAACCATGCGGTTTTCGTCGAAAACCGCGCCCCGCCCAGTGATTTTCGTGTAAACTGCGGGGTGGGGTGGCGGTTTTCAAAAAAGGGTGGTATTTTTGGAAATTTTCTTTTAAACAGTGGTATTTCTGAAAAAAGTCCTTTCAACTTCTCTGTGATAATTGGATTCTAACCATCTTATTTAGGGAGTTACTAATTAACGCCCTAAATTTCAAAATCCATCGCCCTAAAATGTAGTGTAACTACACATTCGCCCTTAAACCATCGCCCTAAATCGTGCATCTCGCTCTGCTCCGCCGGTCACCACCGCTGTTGTGCTTCCTCACCCAGCAGGTTTTGCAAAAACTTTCAAGTCTGTGAATCAATCGTCTCCTCTTCCTCCGACGTTGTGCTTCCTCACCTAACAGGCTCTGCAGACCGCCGACCCAACACGCCGATACTCTCGTCGTCAATCTCTGAAATTTGATTCCACCCTGAGAAGCCAAATGAGCAATCGGTGAGGAAGGAGAGGAGCTCGAGGAGAAAGAAATTAATAGAACTGTGGACGCGGGGATTTCTCCCTGACGTCGCCAGACCAAACACCCTTCGCCGTGTATTTTATGTTTTTGCTTTCTGTCATTTGGTAAAGAAATTAGAAATCCTCCAATGCTTTGAGTCCCATCATCTGTCTGAGTGGGAGCCCGATCGACATTACCAATTTCCTATCCCGATTGACATTTCCAATTTCCTATCCCGACAACGGCAACACAACCCTTCATCGTTTCAATATGTCAAGCGGAGGCACATCTGCAATAGCTCCCCTAGCGGAAGGAGGCACTGCGAAGCAGAAAAGGACAACGTTGAAGAGGGTTTAGTATAGGAAGTGGAGTATGATGAGGGAGAATTCGGGGTGGGGGGTGGGGATGACGTGTATGTAGACCGACCTTCTCTTTCCTTCTTCAACAGCGACGAGCCTCCTTCATCTTCTTCCTCCTCGAGTTCGATAGTAGCAGAGGTCTGTGGTGGTGGCAGTGGGCGGGGGAGAACCAGCATCAACAGGTGGCCGAGGGATTCTTTCTTTTCTTCTTCCACCTCCAGTGGTGGCAGCAGCAATGGGCGAAGCAAATACCAGAAATTACTCGAGAGCATAGCGATGGACGATTTCTATTAGGAACAAATTGAGGGAAAATCGTCAATTTGATAGATTTAGGGCGCAAAATTTAAAAAGTTAGAGCGTTAAATAGAAGTTCAACTTATTTAGATTGATCATTCTTATATTGTGGTATTTCATCACTCAAATGGAAAAGAATTCCTACTCAGTGTCGGTCCCGAGATTTTGGAGGCCCTGTTCTGTAAATAAAATGCGGTCCAAATTGTTTTTCCTAAAAATCTAATAAAATATAAACAAAGCATCAATGAATAAATAAAAATCATAACATTATTAAAAATAACATCTATCTAATATGATTTGAAATAAAGAGTGACAATGGTTTAAATAGAAAGACGTAATTGAAAAATCGCTTATTCTCGCCGGTAAAAAGCCTTTGACTGCCTCTTCAATCAAGGGGGATAAAAACAAACCTCTTAACAACATTATTTGATTGCCTCTTTTCTCAGTTTTCGAATGGTATGACTAATCCGTTAATGTAAGGAGCTTTCATGAAGAATTCGATGGTTCGATTAAAACGTTGTGCGATCGGAGGACATCAAACTTATTGGTCAAGCCAAAAGTGAGAGATTGAATAAAAAAATCCAAATTAAAGAATCCATATAGTAACTAAATTGACAATGAATCAATTAATTAAACTCACTTCAATAGGTTATGAAACTTAACTACGTAGAAGATGAAAATAGTTTTAGAAATCAAATAGTATAGACAAATAATAGAGCAAACTATTTTTTTTTACAAAAAGTAATCCTAAATTTATTCAAACAAAAAGATAGTTACATCCTGGAATTCAGTCAGGTGTGAAAATCAAAGAAGCGACACGTAGTCGGGTACAATTAAAGGGCTTGTCTAGCTAACAAATGAGCTACCATATTACTACCCAGACCTACAAATCGCACACTGAAGCATGTATTTAAAGCGAAAGTCTGCACAATCTCTTCCATAACACACCCGATTATCCTGCACATCTGCACGGTTAAATTTATCGATGACCACTTTGACACCACCTTCAAAACTAATATCCGAAAATCCCTACCCCAAGCACCAGGTGACAGCCTCCCGGAGGACTAGTAACTCCCCCACCATGGGATCATCAATAAGAGGAAACTGGAAGTCCTTAGCCCAATGGACCTCCCTTTCAGGAGTGAGGATAACCATTCCTCATGTTGAATGAGATCCATTCCTTACTGCCCCATCCCACATACACACTGGCACACATAACCCAGCCGGATCCACTGGAGGAGGCAGTGTACAGGACTTTGAGAGAGGTAGTTCGGCTGGTAGACGGACCCATTCTTCCATCTGTTGGTTATACTATCTCACTAGGGCGGAGATCCCGAATTGTTTACCTTCAAAGACAACCTAGTTCCGAGATTTCTATATCCGCCAAAGGACAACAACTATCGCCATGAACTGCGGGGGCTGATGTACAATTGACAACAACTTCTTCAGAAAGAGAGGGGACGTATGCCGAGGCAAACCTTTGGCAAGATGTTTTAACACAGAATGATCCTAGATAGCATGGGCGCCGGGGCAATCCAGAAACAAATGCTCCATCATTTCCGAATCGGCCCAACACACTGGACATCTAGGGAGCACCGTAATCTTTTTTCTTTTTTTAATAAGGGCTTCCGTCGTCGGCAGGATTCTATTAAGGATTTGCCACACAAACACCTTCAGTTTTGGAGAAATGTTAGCTTCCCATAACCAGATCCGGCTAGGTTTATCCATCCAGCTACCAAAGGACCTCCAACAACCACTTTGTTGATCAAGGAGGACTGCAAAATGATATGTCGATTTAATAGTGAAAACACGGTCAGTAGTGGCATGCCAGATTAACCGGTCCTCTATGTTCTGCCGAGGAAGTGGAATGGCCTTAATTGCTTGGCAGGTAGGGGGATCAAACCACTGATTGAGCTTAAGATCGCACCAACGCCCCTCCCCAGGGCATAGAACTTCGGACACCATCAGATTCTCCCCTTTAGGAAGTACCCGTGAGTTATACACTGGTGGAAGAGGATGCTGCCTTGGGATCCAGTTTGAGTTCAGCAGAGGGGCAGTCTGACCATTACCAATCTGCCAATGGACCCCCTTGGTTAACAGCTGACGTCCAAAGAGGATGCTCTGCCACCCCCAAGAAGCCGTGAGAAAAGCCCCATTACGAAAATACTTTCGTTTATAAACTTGGGCTAAGAGGGATTGAGGTTCGTTCAGGATTCGACACCCAATCTTGGCCAACAAACCCTGATTAAAATGCTCGAAATGACGAAAACCCATACCCCCTTATGCTTACTCATGCACAAGTTACGCCATGATATCCAACGAATCATAGATTGACCGTCCTCCACACCCCACCAGAATCTAGCCACGTGCCTGTCTATGAGACGACAAAGAGTCATAGAAAGCCTAAAACAGGACATGACATGTAACGGTAGAGCTAAAGCAACCGACTTAATCAAAGTCTCTTTAGTTGCCCAAGACAAAGTCCTACGTTTCCATCCCTGCAGTCGCTCCAATAATTTCTTCTCCAGATAGAGAAAAGTAGCCATGTTAGACTGGGCTATCAGTGTAGGGAGTCCAAGATACTTATCCTGGACCCCCACAACACCAACACCAAGAATTTCAGCCAAAAATTCCTGGTCCGGAAGAGATATGTTCTTGTTGAAGCAAACACGCGATTTATCCAAATTCACCTTTTAGACACTAAGTTCATCATACTCATTAAGAACTTCAATCAGATCCTCACATTCCTGGACGGAGCCTCTAGAAACAAATAAAAATCATTAGCGAAGAACAAATGGGAGATTCGGGGAGCCCGAGGAGCCACTTTGACTTCTTCTAATCACTTTTCCGAAATAGCCTTGCGGATTAGGGCCGCAAACCTCTTCGTACAAAGTACAAGGAGCAGAGGAAAAAGAGGGGCTCCTTATCAGAGTCCCCTAGAAGGCGAGCAAAACTCAAGGGAGACCCGTTCATGAGTACCGAAAATGTTGCGGAACATAAGCATTCTCGTATCCATCCACACCAGACAGAGTTAAAACCCATATTTTCCAAGACCGTAAGCAGAAACAACCATTCGAATCTATCATAGGACTTTTCCATGTCAACCTTTAGAGCCATGTACCCTTTCTTCCCGCGATTTTTGAACTTCAAGTAAAGCATTCTCATGCCCAAGTAGAATATTGTCAATAATCTGCCTCTCACGGGTGAAGGCATTTTGCCCTTCTGAGACGATCTGGGGTAGGATGCAGGCAAGCCTTTCAGCCGTAATTTTTGTGATCACCTTGTACACAAACTGGTATAAACCAATAGGGCGTAGTTGCCTCATGGTTTTCACCTGATCCACTTTGGGGGATCAAGGTTATCCAGGTGTGATTAAAACTCCGAAGCATCTTACTCGTCGCAAAGAAAGAGCAGACAACTTCAATCACTGAGTCCCCAACAATGCTCCAGAAGGCTTTGAAGAACTTGCCCGTAAACCCATCAGACATAGGAGCCTGCTTCGATCCCATAGAGAACATTGTTTTCTAGACTTCGAAAGGGAGGACTTCAGCAGTGAGCATATAATTCATTTCTAGTTTAACATTGGCCGATGTGGGGATATTGCCACCCTCTCGACCATGTTCTGTACATGGGCCTCTGAAGAGAAAATTGTCTGATAGAAACCAGTGGCTATGTCTGCCTTCCCTTTCTCCTCAGTAATCCAATCTCCCTCATCATTACGAAGCCCAGCCACAAAATTTCTCTTTCGACGAGCTCTCGTTACCGTGTGGAAATAAGAAGTGTTCTTACTTCTTATCACCCTTTTTCAACCATCGGACACGAGATTTTTGTTGCCAATAGATTTCTTCCGCCTCCCATTATCTGCTCAATTCCGATTCTAAACTCCGCACGACATCCCAATTGATCGGCTGGATTGATTTGATTCGATCAATTTCACTCTGGAGAGTGTGGATATTAAAGAATTAGTAGTTCCTACCCTACTCCAATCATGAAATAAATGACAAAGCTTCTTCCACCTCTCAGAGTTGGAACATCGGCTTACCATGGATTGTCTCTTGCCGGACATATGTCACCATTGCCTTACCTTCCGGATTATCCACCCAGCGAGCATCAAATCGAAATACAGGGCGACAGTTGCGAACATAAGGCTTATCCAAAATGTTTAAAGCCCGGTGATCAGACCCCTGATCCGTGAAATGCTTGACACGTGTTTCTGGAAAGCGATCCATCCAGTTCTGTGAGCATAGAGCCCTATCAAGCCTCTCACGGATACAAGCAGCCCCAGGCGCTTGTTCGTCCAGGTGAAAAGGTCACCCTGAAATCCCAGGTCATGCAGGCCAATGTTTTGAACAAAGTTCCTGAGTTCTAAAGACTGGGAAGCATTCCAAGGGTTACCGCCGTCCTTTTCATTTGCGTTAAGAGTAACGTTGAAATCACCAATTACCACAAAGGGTAAGGTAAGAGCCTCACAAATTTCTTGCAATTGGAGTAATTGAGTAGCCCGGATGGCATCATTGCAGCTCATATAAACACAAATTGCGACATATAAAAAATCCATCTCATTAATTCTGGTACAAACGCAGAAATTAGAATGAAAAAACAGCAAAGCATCAAATTCGAGGGACCAAGCTACAACTAGACCACCTGATGCATTAACAACATCAACAAAAAAAAAAACAATGAGAAGACTCAAACTCTAATCCCCGCATGCAACGAGACACTACCTTCCGGCACGAACTTGTTTCAGAAAAGAATACAAGGTCCGATTTATTCGACCGAACTAAACAAAAGCTGTTTGGAATGTGAGGGATGGTCCAATTCCTCTAACATTCCAGGCTAGTAGCCTCATTTATTTGGTTGGGGCTACTCAAGGTTGGCTTCCTCCGCCTTTTTCGTATCACTTGGGTCTTCCACAAACTGCTTTTTAGGAGAGGGATTGTCCTCAAATTCACCATCCACTTCCTACATCGAGCGCTTTCAGCTCCCAGGCTCCCCTTTCTCAAAATTAGAACCATACTCATTTAACTTCATAACCATTTCTTCTTCAGATTCTGCCATCATCTCCTTCTCTTCATTGATGATCATGCCATCTTCAAAAGTTGCGACCACCTATCGCACCTGCCCTGAAACGGCTTGGTGATCACGGTCAATAGGAGGAGATAGAATTTTGATCTCAAACTGAAGGACATCATCCTCCGAAGGAGAGGCCTCTGATGGCACACTTTCCATGGGCTTCTTACCCAAATCAGGTAGCACAGTTTCTTGCGGCTCCGTGTGGGAAGGCCCGCTAGAGGGGTTGTCTACCGTAGAGACACTATCTCCATTGAGCTTGCGGTTTCCTTTGCTTCTGCCAGATCGAGGTTTTCCCAGGTGCTTGCTTCCCTTTCTCGCAGCAGACCGAGTGCGAGAGGATGAAGCAGCCTTCTGGGTGGTGATAGAAACACCCGCTGTCGGACGGTGCAACTTTTGGTCCCCCACCAAGCTGGCTTTCCCCAGCTTAACCAATCGCTTCCCCTTCTTTTTCTCATCATAACCAGCAACACGTTCCTTTATGGGATGCATGGGAAGTCCTGGCGAGAAGAGCTCGTCGTCCGAGTCATCTAATATCAGCTTGCGTCTCCGAGCCTCTACCGGTGGAATCTTCACCTTCGTGTGGTGAGAACCCAGCTGGGCATCAGCACCATCGAATTCCGACGCCCTGAAGTCATCTTCAATATCCATCTCTTTATGATGGTGAACGATCCGGTTGCAGCTAGCCTTCTCCTCCATATCAGCCTTCACGTCTCGCCGCTATGGGGCTCGCCCGCGTCGAGAATCTTCTACATGGTCATGCATGGGGGTAGTAGCTACGTGTTTCCATCTCATCTTAAGATTCGGCGATCTCGCCACTTTGAACCCACGAGGGCTCTACCGACGAGAAACCCCATCTCACGAAGAGTTAGAAACCATCACCACCCGTTGACGGGGACACGGCTAGGGCATGGGAGCCTGAATATGGTTCGCCCCATTATGACCAAACTTAAGGCCAGCTGCACCATTCTTGCTGCTCTTCGAATCCCGATTATCTTTGTTGACCCAGACCAAGTTAACTCCTTTGGGAAAGAATTGCTTGTGATCTTCCACATCATATATCCTTGTATCCAGCTTTTTAGTTGACATATGTGGGTCGAATTTTTCCTTTCTAGTCGGTGGGTCGAAAGCACAGGCTCGCAGCGGGTGTCCCACCCTCCCTTAGTGATAGCAATAGCTGGGGAGATGTTCATACTTCTGGCTCACCCAGAAGCACCCGGTATCGTCATTAATAGCCATAATCTGAGAGCGAAGTGATTTTGTGAAGTCAATCAGCGCCTTGACCTTCACAAACTAGCGACCCGTATCCTGACAGGCAAAAACGCCTGCCTCAAGCACTTTTCAAATAGTGGTATTCACCACTTTCCACCAAATTGTTGGGTACAGAAATCCTCTTTAATATCCCACAATTGAACCCGGAAATGGGGCAATTGCCTGGTCATCAAAGATTTCTTCGTAATTACAGGAGTCCATGGACAGAGGTGGAGGATCTTGTCAGTGATCACCCAAGGAGTTCGCTTAATCACCCAAATTTTAGCCTCTTCACTAGGAAGCACAAACTTGATTAGTCCATATTTTGCCATCATGACCCTGATGCGTCCTTGGATTAGCCAAGGAGTAATCACCGATCCCCTCAGTTTCGTGGTCGACACCATATTCTCAGTGAAGAGTCGTCCCAGGAGATAATGGGCAGCCCGATATTTTGTCGATTGCCTCCTCATCGAGAACTGAACCACCTGATCCGAGGTAACGTGATCCATTGCTTGATCATGTACACAAGACAAAGAATCATGAGTAGACTTTCCTCCCTCCTTGTGCGGTGACGAACTAAGCGTCATGGACATGCATCCCGTGAGAACGTTCCCAGGGCAAGGGAGGTGGGTTGAGCCAAGGCTAGAATTAATAAGCATAGGCCCAGCTGCAAAGAAGAAGTACAGCTTGCGCTGCCGAGGAAGAGGACTAGGGAATAAAACATTACCTGAGCGTTGGGCGATCCTGGTAATCGGTGTATCCTAAAAAACTATTGCAGCTAGTCGAACTCGTCGGGGAGGAAGTATACGAGTAAAAGTACTAGGGCAAGACGTTATATAGGGTGGATAGACATCATAGCCAGGATTAGTCGCCACAGCTCGGTTAATTAGAATGTTATTCAAGGAAGGACACTGATAAATAGCTCGAGGGATAATGTTTGTTCGGTAAATCCCATTAAACGCGGAGATCATATCTGGTGGGAATATTTCTTGAACAACCTCCCATCGAGTAGAATAACGTGAGTTAATTTCGTCGTCGTTCTCTTTTCGATCACTGGCGAGACACTGAAGTTGTAATTTTTTAGGGTTTCGCCTTTGACAGGGTAAACCTTCACCGGCAACGGACGAAGATGAGGAGTTGATCACCTCGGCCGCAAAACCGTTATCTCCCAGCAATGGATCACTTTCACTCCATCCTCCCATCTCCAATTCCTCCATTGAAGGAATCTGAAATTAGCTAGGCAACCACTTTTGGCAATTGTCTGCGTTTAGAACTTTTGAGAATAATCACGTTATTCTCTGCCAGGATAAGCCCGAGCTTCCTTTTGTCATTCCTTCTATTGGAACAACACTTTTCCATGGCGTACAAGCCATGTGTTTGTTGTTTTTCTCACTTATGGCGATGGGGCAGGGTTTGCGAGTATTCCACAAACACCTTCTCCAATCTATTATCTTGGTGTAGGGGATGAAGCAGCCTACTAAACCTCCAACCTTGTATCTTCGATTGATTCCATAGACATCGTGATACGATCTTCATCACCATTGTCATGAGTATGCTCCCAATCAGACACCCTAGACGTAAGAGAGAGGGGAAAGCTTCCCTCATGTTTTTTTTTAAAATTTTTTTACTGAGCAAACTAAATTAAATAGAAGAAACTGACAATTTTTTAGTCTAAAGTTAAGTATGATACAATCTATTTATAATTGATTTACTTATTTTCCTTCTATTGGTGGCTTGTACCTAATTATTCTGATTAACGTTTAATAAATCAATACAGCTTATTTAATTAATTTAGCATTGTTGCCTTTCTAGTATAAGTAGATTAATTGACAAAATTGAATTCTTCCCCTGGAAAGTTGAAAATGAATAAAGTTAAAGCAATAAATTCACTAATGCTAATATTGAGGCATCAACAATCTTACCTCTTTTATTCTATATAGGACACATACGACAAAGAATGAGTTCTGTTATATGGTTTGAAAAAAGTCTAATAAGAAAGCAAGTATTCCACTCATGTGATTTGTTCGTTCCTTAGCCTTCGGGTGAATTACACGATTGGTCACCCAAATTACATAAAAATTTCACATTTGCCACCAGAATTACAAACCTTGCTTATTAGCCACTTACTTTACGAAACATTTTATTGTAGCCACCGGATGTCAGCCTCCATTAACGATGTCAGATTTTTTATGGAGTCTGACAGAGGTTGACGTCCGATGGCTACAGGGAAATGTATCGTAAAGTTAGTGGCCAATAAGCAAGCTTTGTAATTCAGGTGACAAATGTCAGCACAAGCGCCTAATTTTTGGGGCCTCTAACCCACTACACTATATACATAAGCTTAGCACATGATTTGGGCTTGGCTTATATATTCCGCCCATGTAAGAGATGAGTAATGACCAACGCGTAAAAATTAACAAAATGAAATTGATCACTTTCCAATTCCAACAAAACCAACGGGAAAGAAAATTAATTAATGGAATTGTTGCTTCCAAAACAAAAGTTACCCGTTGTAATTCCTATTTTTTTTGCCGTTGCTCTTTATTTGTTTCCCAATTAATATTGTTAGCAACGGTAATTAGTAGGGGTGGGCATCCGGGCGGGTCACCCGCGGATTTGGACCGACCCATCCGCATTTAACCCGATTCACGCTTTTGTGGGTGGGTCTGTGGGTGGATGGCGGGTCCAGTTGGGGGCTATCCGACGGGTGGAGGGTGAGTCATGGGTGGGTCTGCGGGTCACCCGCACAACCCGATTGCAAGCATTATAGGAGCCGCTGGGAGATGGGGAACCCTAACAAACACGCAGCCAAGCCAAACTCCGATTTCATCTCTGAAACTCCTCTTCCCTTCCTTTCTTTTCTCCAACGTTGCTATCCCAAATCTAATAACCTACCTTTTATCCCTTGGATTCCTTCCCTTTGTTCCCAAATCATTCACTGATAATCATCTCCAGCGCAGAAATCTCTTCTAGAAAAGGATTAAAATCCAATTTCAGAACTATTTCCCCACTCATTCGTCCTATTCAAGCCTTTGATTTCCATACGATAATCCTTCCTACCAATAATTATCATGTCAATTGAAGTCAATTTCAACTTTTACGAGTCTAGTACATCTCAAAGAGATCATACATATCCTGATTACGCCTCCTTATTGAAGCTATTTAAAGGTAACGTTTAAGTGCATTCCATACAGAGCTTCCACTTCTCTTGTTCTTCTAAAATTTTGCGAGTCCTAATTCTAGCATCGGCATTCTAGTTTTCGCAGCATCTGCTCCTGTCCTGATCTGCTTCTGAATCGATGGTGGATGTACAACAAGAGGTACGATTCTCTTCTTAACTATGATGGTCTATTCATGCATGCTCTGCTTCTGTTTCGCAGTATATATTCCTTCATTTTTGCTCTCATGGTCTGCTTCTATATTGCTTCTGATCTATTGTTTTAAGTTTTAACTATATTAGTTGTTGTTCTGATCATTTATGTTTTGCAGTATATTAGTTGTTGTCTTATATTTAATTACATAAGATGGGCTAATTGAACTCCTACGTGAATTGTGAATGTCTGAGTTTTGATTTGTACAATTCTCTTGTTTGGAGCCCTTTATAATCATGAAGATGTCCCCCAATAATTTTTTAATTCTTAGGTTGGTGGTTCTCAAGCTGCCCCCGCTGGAGTATCTGTACCACAAGTTGCTGACACTGAAATTCAGGCAAGTGGAGCGGGCACCCCAGCTTCCCAACCTCCTGTTCAAGCATCTCAACCTCCTGAAGTGGACAATGCTGCGAAAACAGGTAACCCTCAAGATTCCAAAAAAACTTCTCGAGCATGGACACACTTTACTATGGTGCCTGAGACAGTTGGCACTGCTACTCCTAAGGCTGCATGTAATTACTGCAAAAAGAAATACTTTGCAGGCTCTAGGAATCATGGAACTAGTAACCTTTTGAGTCACATTGATTTGGGAAAATGTCCAGAATATGAGAAACTGTTGAATTCTAAAAACCATAAGCAAAAATCGCTAGTTCTTGACAAATCTCTGCAACAATTGGGCGATGGACTTCGCCTAGGGTCATTTAATGCTTCTGAAGCTAGGAAAGCACTAGCTAGAATGATTGTGGTTGATGAAATGCCTTTTCGAACAGTAGAAGCTGAAGGTTTTCAAAAATATAGCATGGCTTTGTAACCTAAATTCAGTTTGCCTTCTAGAAGAACCGTGCATAGGGATTTTCTGAAGTTCTATGAAGAGGAAAAAGTGAAACTGAAGTCCATGTTGCATGCTCAACGTGTTTGTCTAACAACTGATACTTGGACTTCAGTGCAAAATCTCAATTATATGTGTTTGACAGCACATTGGATAGATGATCAGTGGAAGATACATAAGAAGGTTCTTAGTTTTCCAACAATTGCTAATCATAAAGGGGAGACTATAGGTCTATCCATTATGAATTGTTTGAAAGAATGGGAAATAGAGAAGATTTTCACTGTGACGGTAGATAATGCCAGTACCAATGATAATGCCATAAAGCATTTAACTCGAAGAACAAAAGACACTGTAGGAATTGTCTTGCATCATGAGTATATTCATATGAGGTGTTGTGCACATATTCTTAATCTTATTGTTCACGAAGGATTGAAAGAGGTGGATGATGCTATTATCAAGATTAGAAATGCTGTAAGATATGTGAGGAGTTCTCCTTCTAGAATGCAAAGTTTTTTGAAGTGTGTAGAAGAGGAGAAGATCAAGTGCAAAAGTCGTGTTTGTTTGGATGTTGAAACTAGGTGGAACTCGACTTATCATATGTTGGTAGTGGCTGAAAAGTATGAAAAGGCATTTGATAAGTTAGAGTGTGAAGACATTCGTTACTCTTCCTATTTTGGTGGTGCTGAAGAAGAGGTAGCAGAGCAAGCTGATGTCATTAGCAAACAAAATGAGATGTTTGGTAGCACAAGAGGAAGAGGACGAAAGAGGCAGAAATTGATTGGTCCTCCTAGCTGTGAAGATTGGAAAAATGCCAGGTGCTTGGTTGAATTTTTGTGGCTGTTTTATAATGCCACCTTAAAGTTTTCTGGAACTCAACATGTCACCTCCAACTACTTTTTTCATGAGCTTGTGGCTGTTCAACAAGGGATTCTGGACATGACAAAGAGTAGCGATCACATGTTAAGTGGAATGGCATTTAGGATGCTAGGAAAATTTTCCAAGTATTGGGTGCAAGTTGACAATCTGAATCCTTTATTACATATCGCTGTTGTTCTTGACCCTCGATATAAATTGAGATATGTAGAGCATTGCATGGAGATTATTTATGATGCTGTAGTTGCTGCTAACTTTGCAAAGGATTTGGAGAGCAAGTTCTTGGAGTTGTATGCCTTTTATTTGAAGGAAAACAAGGAATCTCTTCCTGCAACAGATGCTGGATCGTCTTCAACGTCTTTTAATCCCCAAGATTTTTCAAAAGTTGATCCGGCAAAAGCATTGAGGATGAAATTTGCCAAGTCAACTACATCTTCTGTCACTTCTGGAGGCAAATCAGAAGCTCAACGGTATCTGGCTGATGTTGGGGAGCCTGAATCAGAAGACTTTGACATTCTTATGTGGTGGAAGGTCCACTCAACTAAGTATCCAATCATTGCAAAAATGGCTCGAGATGTGCTTGCTGTTCCTATATCAACGGTTGCATCGGAGTCAACTTTTAGCACAAGTGGTCGAGTTTTGGATCCTTATCGAAGTTCACTATCTCCTAAGACTGTTGAAGCTTTGATATGCTGCCAAGATTGGTTAAGATCATCACCAAAACCCATTGAACCAGAGAATGATGACCATGGTAAGCTAATTTTGAGTTTACTACTTTTCTTCCAATCTGTTGTAGTTTATGAATAATGTGTTTATTTTGTATTCTGCTCAATTTCAGAATCTGTCGAAGTTGCTGCTGCATTTGGAGAAACTAATTTGGGAAAATGATCTTCTCATCTGTGTGATATCATATCACAATGTAAGAGTAATTGAAAATCTCAGTTAATCAGAACATTTATAGCATTATATCTTGGAATCTGAAAGTGTTTATTATTCATGGTTACAGGGGGAGGCGCTGGGTTTGGTGGCTTGATGATGACAGATAGTAATTTAGAACAAGATGATGTTTTTCTTTTTTGGTTTAGTTCGTTTGTTGAATTGATTTTGGATGGTGGACGATTTGTTTTTTAGATGGAGGACAATTAGTTGTTTTGAATCTTGCTACTGCTTCTGGTTTTTGGGTTTGATGTGACTGGAATCTTGGTTTTTACTACTGCTGGTTTTTTAATTCTTTTTAGACTATATAGTGTCTTGTCTTTGCCTCTTTGGAATGTTCATAAATCTTGCAGAAGCTCTTGCTTGAGCGCTTTGGAATGTCCAAGACTTCTAGAAAGATGGCCACGGAAGCAACAACGACTCTACAGACCGCGACCCATATATGAATTCAAAGTAACTAGTGAGGAAGTTCTGCAAAAGGACGATTTCAGGGTGAGCAACCACTAATCTTTGTTACTCCTTTTTCAGTGACCCTATGCTTCTGTTAATATATGCAGATTGTGAAAAGGGAATGGAACTAAATGTTAAAGTCATTTTGAAGTACTTTTTGTTGGCTTCCTATATTCATATGCATTCTTGGCTTTGCCATCTATTTACTTAATCTCACTGTCTATTGCAGAATTTTAGGTTCCTTGCCAACTTTATAACAGAGGCTGGAATCAGGTTCAAGAGGAGTAAGGTAATGCTTGAGCCGAATTCTGATTTTGTTAAGATTATATGATTGCTTTGACATGATAAATTTACAAGGTATAAGTCGTACATATATGTCTTTCTCTTCGAGTAAATCTGTGCATTTGTGGAGTTCTTAATCTGATGACACTTGTGGGTCTGAATTGACTTTTGACAGATGAACAAAAAGGACAAAAAATGCAGCAACTCAGAAGTGCAGGTGATGAGTCAGCTGTTTTACTGTACACAGGCCAAAGCATGAGGCTCAGATGTGGAATCCCATGCCAAAGCAGAACTTGATGGGAACCAGGACTCGGCAAATGATGAGTCATTTTGATGTGAAATCTATTCACAATTTCAACTTTATAACAGAGGCCTGGATGGGCACTAGGACTCGTCAAAAGTGCAGCAGAAGAACTTTAAATTGTGAATGAATGTATACAGGGGGTTGGGGTGAATGGATGTAGACAGGGGAGGGGGGTGGAGGTTGAATGGAGTTTAAATTGATTTGTATTTCACACTTTTGACATTATGCAGAGTTCTGGAATATCAATTGAATATGTCAAGTTGACTCCTATATATTATGTTGATAGTGATGTGGGTGAACCCGCAAACCCATCCGAATCCTCCACCATCCGCCCGATCCAACCCGAGGGTAAATGTGGGTGGGTGGCAATGTAGTTAAACTATAGTTTTTTATGTATAAGCGAAATGATGGGTACAAACTTAAGCGTAAAAGCGGAGCGTAAGAACGTAAGTTTATATGAACCATTGAAATTGTAAAAAAGCAACTTAAAAGACTAATAGGATCCACACACAGAAAATTGGAAAAGATTTTGAACTAGAGTACATTCTAACTCAGAACAAGTTCATAAACATAGAAAAAGAGTTGAATCGTACGCTAATATGAATTATAACTCTGAAATATTCATATTATGGACATCACAAGCCCCCCAAAAAAATTGATCATGATTTATGCTACATTTGGGCAGCAACGTCCACATTCCATCCAAATCATATCATCTTAATTACCGCCATCATCATAGTTGTTATTGTCACTAACATCATGCTCCTCATAAATACATCAATCATCATTCATGTTAAAAGAATCATTTTGAAGCCAGCGACATGATCACTTTAGTTTTTTCATCCACAAAAAACCATTTGACCATCGCACGACGTGCCAAATCGCTCCATAAACATTATCATTAAAAGCTCTTATAAGCGTCCTAAAAGCTAGCTTTTAAGGATTTTTTATGCACATATTGTGGTTTTAAAGAGTGTACATTAAGCTTATGGTGTCAAAAGATTTTTCAAAGAAAATTACTATATTGGAGGAGGTAAGAACTTAAAAGCGTAAGCTTTTAGGCTTAAACTATAGCTCTTAACTACATTGGTGGGTGGTGGGTTAAATTTTGTCAATCCATTTAACCGCGGGTGGGTGTGTTTTGTGATCAAAATCCGCCCGACCCACCCAATGCCCACCCCTAGTAATTAGTAACTAAGGCATAGATACAACCTAGTCTCGATTCTAATATTTGCTCTTTATTTTTCCATTTCTACTATTCTTCTAAACCTGTTTCTACTATTCATATGAACTTATTCTCTTTTGTGATGTAATTGAGTTTCCACAAGCTAGTCAGATGAGTCTAGTTAATGGACTAATTATTCATTTATTTACAGTTTGGATTATTTTATTTTCATATTAGTTGATTCACTCTCTTAACTAATCGTAATTATAAATTTCATCTTCTAATTCCAGCCAATATCAATTCCTCAAACATTATCTTGAGATTCTTCTAATTATAAAATGATTTATATTCTAGTTTCAAATGGTCCAAAAAAGAAATTTACTTATCGAATCGTGTTGATTATTTTCCTAATGCCATTATAGTATATAGAATCTTGTTAACTATCCCTATGACTATTGCTACTATAGAGAGGAATTTTTCTAAGTTGAAGTTGTTGAAATCATATTTGCGTTCTAAAATGAAGCAAGATACGCTTAATGGATTAGCTATGATACGGATTGAGAATGATCTTCTGGAGAATACGAAAATTGATGCTAATAGATAGTTTTATTTCAAACAATTCTAGAAGAATTAAATGTTTAAATGATGTAATAATTTTATTTATTGATTGAGGTAATAGTTTTTATTTTATATATTTATTTATTGATTAAAAAATTTGGGCCTCAATTTATTTCTTGAACATGGCCTCGAAAATTTAAGGGCCGGCCCTGAATTTGTGTTACCAATCGTGTAATTCACCCCTTAGCCTTCTGACCCAAAATTTTTAATAATATTATTTTAAACTCATAACCAAAATCCAATTCATAAATTTTCTATGGTTTTAAATTCATAATCGAAACCTAATAAAAAAGACGAATTAATAGACAATGCAATTTAATTTATTCCTCACCTGTCTTCTTCTCCTGATCTCTTCAATCCCTAATTCTTAATTCCGATATTTCCCGAATACCTATGACAAATCCCTAATTCTCTCTCTTAATCCCTAATTTCAATACAATTCTCAATCATCGAACCTAACTACAAATTGTCCTTAATCACGCGGTTTCTACCTTCAATCCCAATTATTTTTAGTTCTAGAAAAAAAGCTCTCCATGAGAGACCTAACGAAGATGCTCGTGCTAACCAGCCCACAGGTTGATCATGACCTCTAACATCAGTCTTCCGTGATCTACAGTCGCCCTTGTCGCCGCTAACCATAGCGAACATTCACTCTCAGCAATGAAGGCAGGACAAAACCACTAGTGGACAAGGCTTTCGCAGTACCAAGGCTGCGTTCCATCGCGCCACCGTTGCCGCCACTGCCATCGTATGATCGTCCGCTAGTCGGGGCCGACTCTTCGTTGCCGACAATCATGAGTGAGTGACAAGTATTTGTTTGGCAACGCGTCGAGAAAAAATGGCAGAGATGAATATGTTGGAGAAGATGATACGATGGAGAAGGGCCTCGGATGTGAGGCATACCAATTAAGTTGTCGGGTATTACTGAACTCTATTATATGTGCACCCGGTACTACTTAAGTTTACTGTTAAGTGCATTTCGTTAAAGTTGACAGAATATTCTTGGAATATTCCGTTTTCTAAATTTCATAATTGGTCCTTCTACTTTCCTTATTGTAAAAAAATCATTTGGACTTATGAAAAATATGATTTTTATAATTGAATTATCATGAATGTTGTAACTTTTATAGTCATATTTTCTTTTCTATATTTTTTAACGAATGTTGTAGTTCTTATATTTTGTTTATTACTTGGTTACTTTTCATCTCTTTTCGTTCTAAAGTTTTCTAATTAGTGAAATATGTTGAATTCTTTCTAATTGTGTTCAATCTATCCTTTTTTTATTTTGATGTATTAATGATCGATTAGGTTCTATTTTAACTATTTTGTTTTGGTGAAACTATTTTAACTATTTCTAATGGTGCTTCTAATTGAATTAGGGGGTTTAAAATTTAAATAGATATTCTAATATTTATTTTAAATATTTATTATTATATTCTAGCATATTTATTATTCTTCTTGATATTCATTTACTAGTTTTACTATTTTATTGAAATTTTTATTAGTCATTCTAGTAATAATATGTTTAGAAGATTTTCTAATTATTATATTAGATAAAACAAATTGAAATATAGTTTTGGATGTTTTTAAAAGTTTTGGGTATCAAAACGTAATTAAAAGTTTGGGTTGGATGGAAAAGTAGACGAATGCACATTTTGACAACTTTAATGGTACCCAACGCCCTATTCAAACTAAATGGCACGCAAAGTATTTTACCCCGATGGACAACAAAACTACTTAGTAAAAATAACTTTTATTTATTTATTTTGATATTAAAATGTGACATGGCGACCAGGTGCCATGAAATGGTGTATTGGAGCTGAGGTGGCATCCACATCAGGATTTTGTTAATGGCATTGACAGCTTTTTTAACGGTGTTAAAGTTTTTAACAAATATGGCTAGCTTTGTCATACTAGTTAAAAAAATCTGGCTATTAAAGCGTATTTTTCAAAAAGTGGCTATTATGGTCAAAACGCGAATAGTTATGGCTATGGAAGTGTATTTTGCCTAAAAATAATGTAAATATCCATGTGGGAAGGTCAAAGCGTTCGACTTCTTGCCACATTAGCAAAAATATTTATCTTGCTTAACATTCGAAAAGTTGCCGATTTGAGTATTAAATTATTTTTGAAAAGATTTGGCTATTATTTTATTTAAAATGAAAGGTTTGGCTATTATATTGTATTTATACATGTTTTTAACTACACAGAAAAATTGGACCTATTTGTAAAACTCAAAAGTTTAGGTATCAAAATGTAATACAAAAAAAAATAAGTACTAAAATATAACTTTCCATCAATATCTTGAGGACTTATAAACAAAAAAAAATTAGGTACTAAATCTACATATCTATTAAGTTAAGGTACCAAACTGTAATTTGCAAATAGATATGATTATAAACCCAATACGTAGATTAAAAATCCAACCCAACCCAAATAAATGAGTATAAGTATAAAGTATGATTATACACCCTATCTTACTAGCACATGACCCGGCCCGTTGGCCGGAAGAATTTTGTCGAGAAATATGATATATAATAATGAATATATAATAGAGGATTTGAAATGTACAAAATGATTGTTTTCTAACTTAGTTATCCACATAAAATTTTTGAAAGTGATCCAACTATGCATAATATGTCTAGACCTCCATGAAAAGAGAAAAATATAATATAAGCATTACTTATAATTATTGAATGAAAAAAGAAATAAATATAACTATTTATCATCAATTACTTAATTAAACCATATAATTGAATATTAGAGTTGTTTATCATAATACATACATAATCAACCTTTAAGATGAAAGACAATGTCTCTCATAGAGTTTAGTATGTCCTTTAAGTTTTTCCCAATAGAGAGCATTCTTTTTTACCACACTATTGATAATGAATCTGAAGTTGCTTGATTTGAAATATATATAGGACAAGATGCTAAATTGTCGCTAATAGTTGGAGAATGTGTTGTGTATGGATTTCCAAAATTATTCTCAAATCGCAGACATGTTTAACACCAATGTAGTAATTTTCATGCAGCAAATATTTTTTTCATGAAATAATTCAATAAATAAAAACCTATGAAAATCATATTACATGAAATATATAGTACTCATTAAGTTGATGAATGAGCAAGGGTATAAGTAACATACATCTATTTTAAAAATATAGAAGTTGCAAAGTGTCTTTTGGGTTGAATAAGATCGCATATTCTCATTATCGCTAACTGACTTATGTTTTTTGGCAATAGATAGTTCAAAATGTGCCTTAAAACTTCTGTTTCCACCAGTGTAAAAGAATTGTTTGAACCAAATGATTACAATAGTATAAAAAAAATTTGACACCAGAGTATTTTATACTGAATCATAATTTAACTGTGGTTCAACCGTTTCATATTGTTAAATATCACCTATCGATTTAGCCTATGGTGTGAAGTTTTATGGTCGAACCGCCAGTATGTACGATCTTTCAATTCAAACTTTAAATAAAAGAACCACTAAAATATTGGCATGATCAAATACCCTTAAATCTCATAAATTACCATAATCGTATTAAGGAAAAAATCATCCAAATGATAATACTGATTTAGGATTTTATGGGGTCATTTGGAAGTTGTGATTGTTAAATAGATATTGTGTTGTGAATGCATGTATAATATTATATATGTATTGTCGGATTATATGCATTGTGTGTCACATAAGCTAAAAGCTTAGACAAAACAATCCCAACTAAACTATCTCAACAATAACAACTAAAATTTGAGATTTAACAATACTCATTTTGATTGATAGTTTCGGTCACATCACAGATGTAATCCATGTATTGGTTCTACTAAAAAATATAAAAAATGATGAATTCTAAACAATACATGTATAGTAAATCTCAACAAAACAATCGCAACTTTCAAACGACCCCTTAATCGAAATGAAAAAAATCTATCAAATATAATGTCATCTCCTAAAATAAATCAAAACTCAACAGGGCAAAGAATACCCACTAAGCAAAGCAGAAGGACAATTATTTCACACTACCTCATTTCCCCCCCTCGTTTGAATATGTTCTCTCACTCTCTCTTATGCCTCGTTCACTTGCCATTTTGTTTTCTGTTTTTTGCTGTGACAACAAAAATAAAATAAAAACAAATTGTAAGAAATGTGTTCACTTGCAATTTCATTATCGTTGGAAAAAATCATGGGAATAATAGAGGCAATTGGGCGGAAACAATAAAACATCCTTTGCTGGAAAATGAGAGACGAATTTCCTCCCGTTGCCCATTGGGTTATGACCTCATTCCTCTTAATGAGCTCAGCGTTCGAATCCCTTTGCCACATTTTCTCTCCTTTTGTTCACTTAGACCAACGACGTCGTTTTGCTAACCCCAGCTCCCATCATTCTTCTCCCAGCCTCCCCCAAACTCGACCTCCCCGTCAAACGAAGCTGCTACAGTTCGCCTCTTCTTCCTCTAGCGGAGGGAGAGAAGATCGATCCCACGAAACTCCTTCTCTAGTCGACGAAGCTCCAGCGGCGAAGGACGGGTTTGCTTTGAGATGCCAGCAGGTATTACCCTTCCACCGCTAAGTTAATCATTCTCAAAGGCTTAGATCCTCGAGGTCATATCAACAGAGGTGTGGATTAGGATGGATGAGACAGTGATGGCTACACTTGCCCAGCGGGTCGTCGATAATCCTCTTTGTTTTTCCATCTCTCTCTCTCTCTCTCTCTCTCTCTCTCTCTCTCTCTCTTTGAGCTTTGTATCTCACCACTCTCCCCCTTTCCTTCCTCTTTCTTCCCACCGCCTGAAATTGAGAGAAACCTAGAAACATCCCAATTACTTATCCAATTTTGCATTCGAAATGCTTCTTCTCCATTCACAATCGATAGTGTGAATCAGAGGACCTGAAACCTGGCGACCAAATGGCCGCTTATTCCTCTCAAATGGCGCATTTCTCCATAAAACATGAGTGCACCAATATAGACTATGTGGTGTTCGCACTTGTGCGCGAGTGCTTGAAGTTTAAGTCAGGTATGACCCATGAAGCATTCATACTTGTATAGGGTCGATCCATATACATTGTCTTCATTGTATGCTCTAACTGTGTCATGCTAGCTCGATCATGTGTCTGCGTATAGTTACATGCATTCTAATAATTAAGTTTTTACCTATTCACAACACCAAGATAAAAACAATCATAAATGTTAAAACCACTCTCAGGCACGAAATTTAAAAGAAGACTCTCATTTTCCAATTTTATCATTATATTATGTATAGATTTGTCACAAAAAATGTTATACTCGTTACAAAGGTCCATGTTTTGGTTACACTTCTGTAGTTTGTCTAAACTAAACTACACATACAATTTAATATTAATTTTTGAATCAATACTACTTGAGTTCCGATTTCAGAACTAATCTCATTCTATAAAATATAAATAACTTAAAGATAAAATATAAATATAGAAGCATAATCACCAAACATATTTCTAGAGTTTAATCAAAGAAATAACAATAGATATAATGTAGCCTAGTTGGTTATAATGCTCTTTCTTCATTTAATTGATCCAGGTTCGAACTCCAATGATAACATTTTTAATATATAAAGATAAAGTGGGTGCAATGACAAAAATGACCTTCCTACAATCACTCTCAGGCCACGAAATTTGAAATGGGAGAATTCCAACCCATGTTTTGCCTTTATATATCTTGTAGAAGACAAAGGATATTTCGTTTATCCATCTCTTCTCCGTCTAATCTTATCCTTAATTATGCTCTTCTCCAAATCCCTAGTTCTTCCTTTAAATCCCTAATTCTAATACAATTCCTAATTATCGAACCCAATCCGAAGAATTCCTAGATCTCTCCTTTCTATCAGAAAGGAGAGAGATATAAAGACCGACTAATTTATTTCTAACTACCCCTCATTTAATCCCAATACTGAAATACACAAATAACATCCGAAACTGACAAGCACCCATGATTCCAAAAACATACAAAACCGACAAAATGATCCAAATGGTAAATAAAAAGAAATACATGTTTCTAAGACAACTGAAAACACCAGCTGAAATTGTTGAATATCCAGCTACAGAAAAAAGGGAAAAGTTGTTTAAACCCGCTGTTGTCAGTATACAAAGCACTTCTTTGACAACCAATCTATAAAAAAAGCTTAAACTAGATTCTAGATGAAACTGCAGTAGATACCACTAGCATCTCAGTAGCGTTCCTCCTATGACCAACAGCCATCTACTCAGCCACTCTGCGAAACAGTTCTCTTTCTCACTGGCTGATATGAGAGGGTGGAATCATGTTTAGAGCCTTCAAGATGAAAGTGTATATAAATGCGTCTTCCCGCAGCTTCTGAAATCTGTGACCAACCACAACATAATTATCATCTATGGAATGTCAACAACCAAAGAAGAAGAGAGAAAGAAAGGGAAACGAGAACTGCTGTGTTTTTTCATCAGATCAAAGAAAAGAATTCTTTACCTTCCAGATTTCGCTCTATGCCCAGCACTAAATTCGCATCTAAACAGCAGCATGTTATCATCAGTTTTCATCTCCCTCAGTTTAGCCACATACTTTGCAGGCTCAGAATAAAGAACACGTGGATCTGGCCGAGAAGAGCATCACCACAAGTTTAGGCCAATAAGCATTCAAGAAGGTAAATCATAAAGCAAACAATGATACACCATAACTATTGTGTCTTATGTCAAAATCATTTTCAACCCATATAACATCTATCCGATGCTGCGTGGTCTATCTCTACCATCAAATAGGGGTTCCTCTTGTGTCGTAGTATGCAAGTTATGAAATAGTATGGGAGTCTTAGTCCAAGATCGTTGTTACACTTCAATTGCATGCTTTTTCATTTCACATTTAACATGCTATATGGGAAACCTAGCTGGCCAACCAAATATAAAAGGAGCGTGCAAGACAAGATATGCGGATAGAAGGAGCATTAATGCTTGGGGGGTTTCCTCTAGGGAGATCATATTGCTTCGGTGGGTGTACAAAGATGGATAGTCTAACTACAATTTAATAGGATATATTCCAAAAAGCACATCATTATTAGCATTTCACTTAATTCAATTTCTAGCTGATCTATGTTGCTAAACAGATAAGTCTATGTGCAATGTGGCATAGAACCAAAATTCATGAAGTGAAGCCTGAGAAAAGCCTCACCATTTAAACCAGCGGTAATAAGAATGTGTGGATAGTTTTGTGCAGCAACCTGTCCAAAGTAAAGTGTAAGAATGCACTCTCATTAACACTCACAATTTGTAAGAATGCACTCTCATCAACCAAATGACCCAATATAAGCAATTGCTTGAGGCCACTCTGTTAACAACTCCATGCCATCAAAAGTAAAAAGCTGAAAATAAAACGATGAAGAAATATGAAGCTTACATTGTCCACAGGGGAGTATGACTTCATGTAATGGTAGAATTCCTCCTTCCGAGGATCTCCCCATTCCTGCAATGACAAGATATAATGATGCATACAAGTCCAAAAAACAAGAATATACAAAGTGCACTTAAATTCAATGACTATTTCAGCCATTAACAATCGGTCTGGGGAGGAATGATGATTGTGTAACTAGTGTTACGAAAAAGATATTGATGATCCAGTATGCTGAAGTATGTTTTTCATCCATGCTATGCTGATGCGACAAAATTCCAAATTACCCGTAATATACTGTGTACGTAACTTGTTAATGTGAAATGCAAACAAATAACAAACACAGAGAAAAGAACTATCAGAATACCTCCCACTCTGCAGTTGTCAGAGGAATAGTTGGATCAAGCATTGTGGTTACAACATCAACAAAAGGAACTCCAGCAACAGCTGCATTGAACAAATCAGGCCTCATGTTGAGAACTGAACCGATAAGCAACCCACCAGCACTTCTACCTTCAATGCACAACTTGTTCTTTGAACAGTACTTATTCTGTATCAAGTACTCTGCGCAATCAATAAAATCTGAGAAAGTATTTTTCTTCTTAAAGAACTTCCCATTCTCATACCACTGCCTCCCCATTTCACCACCCCCGCGAATGTGAGCAATTGCAAAGACGAAACCACGATCTAGTAAAGCAAGCCTTGAAGCTTTAAACAAGGCATCTATGCAGACCTGTAAACCACCTCTTGTTTAGTGATAATGAAGCACTCTTTGCCAACAGAAACAACTTTTAAGTTCTCAAATTACCTCATACGACCCATAGCCATAAAGCAGTAATGGGTCAGACCCATCAAGGTTTACAAGACCCTTGTGGTAGACAATTGACATAGGAATCTGAGTGCCATCTAAAGCAGTAGCCCATTTTCTTTCAGTCACATAATTGGATGAATCAAAACCTCCCAATACCTGTTGAATGAGTTCAGTAATTAATCCTTTTGATAGCAATAGTAGTATGACGATCAAATTAAGTATACAGAAGGTTACAACTCAAAGTAAGAATTGAAACTACTGAGAGAAGACAGATAATTATATTGTTCTAGCATAAAAGCTAAACTGCAGCGACACAATCTGACATAAGAATTTATTTTCATTCATAAGACCCTCTGCAGGTGATTTTATCAATTTTCATTAGCAGTATATAATTTTCAGGTGATTATGAGCTGCACCACTTTCATTCATATATATATATATAATATCCTCGGGAAAACACTACACCCAGCCACCACCACCACATTCAGATGATTGGATGGGATGTTAATGCCACTCTTTATGCATTTGTTACCATTGTCCTTAACAAAGCAACAAAATCTCAATACAGGGTTCCTCAATGTGATGGAGGATTATGAAACACAAAATTACTTTGGACATCGATCAAAATAAAAATATTGTTGTAGTTTCTATTTGCAAAACTAGCTAAAATATCTTGAATGTAGGAACCAAATGGGATGAAGAAATCTCCTGGGCCAAGCAAGATTAACAATTCAAAGAAAAATAAAGCTGAAGACACAAATTGGATGAAAGCACAAGGAATGAATTTGAGGCCCCAGGTGGGTGATTGATATATCATATAATGAGCAGAACTTTTTTGTGAGCAAGAGTATCAGGAAACTTACTGTTTCAACCTTCTTCAGAACAGAGATGCCTGTGTTCATGTCATAATCATACACTGAGGTGGGTGTCCTTAATGAACTATAAGAAAACCTCAAGATGCTGGATTCATAAGGTGATCCTTTAAGAGAGGCATCGTATACAGGGTCGGCAAAGTCAACGGAACGACCATCTTTAAGACTTGTAAGTGGATCATCTACTGGCGGAAGTTGAAAAATTGTTATTTTTGGCAGACCATTTTCACGCTCATATACAGCGAGGTGATCAGCAAATAGTCGCATATCCCGAATCTTTATGCTGGAAGCAGTATCAAAATGAACGATTAAGAGTCTGTGATAGCACAAATTTCACAAAAGAAAAAAAACACCCTTTCCCTCTCTTATCAACCCTGGTCAGTTCTTTTACTATCAATATAGTTGAAGTTATAAATACTGGATATTTTTGTCAAATATCAAGTATTGGTTTTGAAGTCATTCAACTAACTTCAATCAGAGCAAGAGCCGGAACCAAGTTGCGTTTCAATATGAATTCTAACAAACCAAATTTCAGAACTCATTCAACTGACTTTACCGAAAAGAGCAGCAGGAAACTAACAATATTTCTATCTTAATTCTAACAGAAGGGTTTAAGAAATGGAGTTCATAGCGAAAAGTATTCAAGCTAACCTGTCACGGTGAGGAATGAGAACCGAAGTTGAGGAAACGTCATCTACTGGGCAAGCAAGCAATTCTGAGTTGAAAATTTCGTCACTTCTTCGCATGAAGAAGAAATGGTTCCCACGATGACTTACTGACGATGCCTCAATGCCAGTCACACGAGGGGTCAAAACCTTGGCACCATCTTCTGGTCTGGAAACATCAACATAGAAGACAAATCCTGTAGTTTTGCTATCAGATGAAATGAACACATACTTCTGGCTCTCTGATAGTTCCAGATTGAGTGAGAACATATCATCTTTCTCATGATAAAGACAGGAGTCAGTTGATTGATCGGTTCCCAACTTATGAAGCCAAGCCTAGGTAACAGACAGACCAAACCATCAAGATACCATATCAGAACACAGCATTATTCATCCCCAATTTCGAAGGACACATTATTATGTAGCATAAGAATCAAGGAGGTAAGTATGCAAATTGCATCAAGTAGTAACCTTGTCCGGGCGAAGGGTTTCATCCATGGTAACATAAACTAATGCATCATCACCTGCCCACTGCAGATAGCAAGTCAAGTTCGTGATAGGTTTCCCAACAGGAGCAAGAGTTTCGGCATCGATGACGTGAACAGTGTAAACTTCATTCCCCTTGGTGTCTTCGGCATAAGCCACCAGCTTCTGGTTGGGGCTGACCTGTGGAAGAAACAAACAAACCAAAAGTTATGGCTGAGCCCCAATGCAAATTGAAGCTGTAAGGGATTGGATTCCCGCGGTAGGAAAATAGCAACCTTGAAAGCACCAATGCTGTAGAATTGATGCTGCTGAGCCTTGATGTTCTCATCCAAGAGAACATGCTCCGGTGGAGCTTCAGGGCCAGAAGGCATGACGTCGTGGACGGTATGGTCAGCGGTGACAACGGATCGCCGGCAGTGCTGAACATACTCCTTCCCCTTCAATGTCCTGTCGTAATAGTAGAATCCCCCTCTTCTAGTTGGCACCGACTCATCGTCCTCCTTAATTCTTCCCCTCATCTCTCCATACAACCCTTCTTCAAATGACTTGGTATCTGAACCCCAACTCTACCCCATTAGTTTCTTCGAGTTAAAACAGAAAGAAAGCGGGGGGAAAAAACCCCAAAAGAGCAGAGTATCACATTACCAGCCATGACGGAGTTGGTATAAGCATTCTCTTGTTCCAGGTGGGCTAGGACGTCGGGATTTGAGCGAGAATCGTCGCGCAGCCAGTAGTAATTGTCCACCCTAACATCACCGAACATCTCCATCACATGCTCGACTTTCTTCGCCACCGGCGGCAAAACTGCGGTTGCCGGAGCCATTGAGGAATGACAGTTGTATCGACCGTGGATTGAGCGGAGGCGATACGAAAGAGGTGTTGGTGGAAGAAGAGAAAGCCTGGAGCTGGAGCAGATATATATAGGAGAGGGAGAGGGAGAGGATTTCTCGCATTTAGAAATTAGAAATTGACGACAATCCCTAGATAAGCTCGGAGGAAATCGCAGTCCTACCAGCCGCTGAAGTCCGGGCAAGACTTTCAGTCCTCCCACAACTCTAGTAGTAGCGGAAGAGGTACGTATCGTCGTCATCTTCCGCATATTCTCTTTTCCTAAACAAGTTGCCGCCTTTTTAGCAGGAAACGGTGGGAAACCGAAAACGAAACCAAAATACAAAAAAATGAGCGCGGCTTCTATACTCAATCGCGCGTTGGGCAATGCTGCCCAGAAGCTCCGATTCGAAGAACCCACCTCCGCCAATGAACTAACTAGCTCAGTCTTGTCCCATCTCCGCTCCAATCACCTTCAAAAGGCGGTCTCCGTTCTCTTTGCCTCTCCTCACCCGGTCTCATCTTCCCTTTACGCTCATCTCTTCCAGCTATGTGCTTCCCGTCGCGCAGTTGTGGAGGCCCGGAAAGTGGAGTCTCATTTGGTTAGATTCAACCCTAACCCGCCTATCTTTTTGTTGAACCGTGCGATTGAGGCCTATGGCAAGTGCGGCTGCTTGAGCCATGCCATCCAGCTGTTCGAGGAAAGGCCTGAAAGAGATGGTGGCTCTTGGAATGCAGTCATTAACGCCTGCCGGCAGTGCCAGAGTCCCGGCCAGGCCTTGAATTTCTTCAAGCATATGAGAATTCTCGGTTGTGCACCGAATGAGATCACGTTCGCAGGTGTTCTGGGGTCGTGTGGCGATTGCTTGGCCCTTGATTTTGTCAAGCAAACCCATGGACTTGTGGTGAGATATGGGTTTTCTGGGAACGTGATTTTGGAGACTTCGCTTGTCGATGTTTATGGCAAGTGTAAGGCTATGCGAGCAGCAAGGAGGATGTTTGATGAGATTGAGTTTCCCAATGATGTGACCTGGAATGTCCTTGTTAGGCGGTATCTTGAGGTTGGGGGTCGAAAGGAGGCGGTGAGTGTTTTCTCCCAGATGTTGCATACAGGTGCTTGGCCATTGAGTTTTACCGTCTCTAATGCACTCGTTGCATGTTCAGGTATACATGCAATTCAGGAGGGAATACAGATACATGGAGTTGCAATTAGGAGAGCCTTTTTCGATGATGAGGTGGTTTTGAGCTCTCTCGTTGACATGTATGTCAAGTGTGGTAGATTGGAGAGTGCTCGAAGGGTTTTCAATCAGCCTGGTTCGAGAGATTTGATTTCCTGGACTTCTATGGTGTCAGGATATGCATTGGGCAGTAAAACGAGGCAGGCTAGGGAACTTTTTGATGAGATGCCTGAGCGGAATATTTTCTCATGGAATGCAATGTTGGCTGGGTATACTCGCTCTCTCCAGTGGGAAGATGCGTTAGATTTTGTTTTTCTGATGTGCAATAAGATTGAAGAGTTTGACCATGTTACTACTGCACTGTTGCTGAATCTGAGTGCTGGCCTTTCAGATGTTGAAATGGGGAAACAGGTGCATTGCTTCTCTTACCGCCACGGTCTGAATTTTGATGTTCTTGTTGGAAATGCTCTTCTGGACATGTATGGGAAATGTGGGAACTTGAGAAGTGCTAGGATTTGGTTTTGTCAAATGAGCGAAGTACGGGATGACATTTCCTGGAACGCTTTGTTGACTAGCTATGCGCATCATGGCATGAGTGGACAAGCTGTGACAATGTTTGGTGAGATGCAATGGGAAACAAAACCAAGCAAATACACATTTGGAGTTCTTCTTGCTGCTTGTGCAAATATTTCTTCTCTTGGAAGGGGCAGACAAATTCATGGTTTCATAACTAGAAACAATTATGATATGGATTTGGTGATGACTGGAGCTTTGGTAGACATGTACTTTAAATGTAGCCGTCTTGAATATGCTATGCTGGTCTTTAGGCAATCGATCTCGCGTGATCTGATTCTTTGGAACTCCGTTATTTTTGGACTCTGTCGCAATGGAAAGGGTAAGGAAGTTATTCAATTGTTTGAATTTATGCTCAGCGAAGGAGTAAGGCCAGACCATGCCACGATCCTTGGAGTCTTGCAAGTGTGTGTTCATGAGGGCAACGTTGAGCTCGGTCTCCAATATTTTGATACAATGAGTCATGATTATTTTATCTTACCTCGACTGGAGCACTATGAGTGCATAGTTGAGCTATTATGTCGATATGGAAGCACAAGCCAGCTTGAGAATTTTCTGAAGAGGTTGCCATTTGATCCTACTGCTTTCATGTTGACAAGAGTCGTTGATGCTTGTTCAGAGTACAAGTGTTCAAGATTAGGTGAATGGGCCGCTCACCGGCTGAATGAGTTCAACAAATTATAAACTTTAGCCTCTGAGTTAACATGAGCCAGGTTGAGAGTTTTCTTAAGAGGTTTCCATTTGATCCTACTGTACCCATGTTGACAAGAGTCTTTGATCATATAGGCGGTGCAAGTGTTCAAGATTAGGGGAATGAGCTCTCACCTTCTGAATGGATTCAACTGTTTATGAACTTTTTTTGCCGAGTTATGATAGTAAAACTGCATATTTGGAGCAATTTGGGTTTATGTTCGTGACAACAGTGATCTCAGAATCAGCTAGTGCCGACATAAATAGATGCTGAAGTTGAGGTGAGCATGTGTACCTGATTGTCTTCTCGTATGGGTGCATGAATTTCTTACTAACTTGAGTTCATGGACAGAAAGAATAATGATCTAACTTGAGAAAGACAAACAGCAATTATGCAGCAGCTTGATAAGTATTCAGAAGTTTTACAATGACTTAGTGTTGGGTCCTTTAGTTTTGCAATTTTGAATATGAGAGACTTGTTGGTGTTTTAATGTATATGACCTCTTCTTTTTAGATGATGATTAGTTTCATGTCTCCCAAGCTAGCCACACGCTCGTGATAAGAGCGGCGAGATTTGAGAAATGGGTTTTATGTCGGCACCTGATTTTCCTCATCAGGGCCATCTGGTACTTGATGAAATGGGCTTTACACATTGCTCTTATCATCAGGGGTTTCTTAACTACACCGTTATTGATTGCCCTCTTCTGACGTAGTTATTTGATCCTCAAATACAAAATGGTGATTGCTCCTTCACTTCCTCGTCCCGCTTTTTTGAAGCTGCTGTCTTAGATCAATCTGAACTATCGAATGACCAATTATAATCCTATTTAGACCGTTTTCCCTTTTCCTCAGATTTTTAGACCGCTGGCTAATGCTTCGTTAATCGCGAGCTTTATATTTCTTTGCAGATGATCCCTGTAAACCCACTTTTTCCAACAGCATCACATGGATAAGTATGCATGGACCAGAAAGCTGTAAAGAAAGTCTCCAGCCTTGGGGATCTTTGATTCAATGTGGATGGTCGAAGTACCCCACATTCCACTACAAACAAGACATGAAATTGAAGGTATTTGCCTGAACTCCATCCTCATTATTAGCGTCTTATATTGCATGCGTACGTTTAGCGATATAATATCATACAAATTATGATGCTCGTTGCTCAGCATTGTCTTTGCTTAGAATCATTGTAAGATTCCTTTACCAGCCTAACGACAACTGGTCAAAATGGTCAACATTGGGTTAACCGTAACAGTTTCTACAACACCAGGAGAAGCATGTTTATGATTACATCAGTGAGAGCTTTGCTTAGACAAACCAAGATGTTATTGTTTGCTTGATTGCTGACAGAAAGTATGAAAATCCTACACCTCCTATAAGAAAAGCTGATTTCACCTTTTCCTGGAAGGTGTTCTGTGGTGGAACAAGGTTTAGAATTCAGTAGTGTCATAGATTAGACAGGCCATAAGTGGGTACTCTGATGGATAACAACTATGCGTGTTACTGGTTAGCTGTAGAAAACGAAGTAGGAGAATGAGAATTTATACAGTAAGGTTCATATTGGTCGAATCTAGTCTGTTTTCATAGAATGATACTTCTCTAAGAAAAGAAATTATTCAGGTCGGGTTGTGTGTCGTCCATATGTACCCCTTTTGTTGGCAATGCAAACCAACTGCAACTATGTGTCAGACCTTAATGACAAACAGATCATGGCCAAGGTGACACATTTCCAACTGTATTTTATTTAACTCCAGAAAGGAATCAATCATGCACAACCCCTACATAAATAAAATCGTTTAGTAGTACTACTGAAAATATTTTGCTAATTAATTGTGTGATGAAAATCTTTATAGGAGGGTTAATAACAGAAACAGTAAGCTTAAGGTATGTGGTTGTGTCCAAAAAGTAATGGGATGTTTGGTTGGGCATAAACGGTTTAATCTTAAATACACATTAGGCAATCAATTATCTAGATTCTGCTAACCGCCCATTCTAACATTGCATCTACCGTTTCAGCTTTCGTTTGTTTTTTTTAATGATTAAAGAAATTCCTGCTTGCATACCTGATTTCCAATATTTCCAGTTATTCTTTTCGATGAAAAAAGTTTGCTTTACATATCATCCAATAATAAAAATGGGGTCAAACTGCAATTTTATCTTGAACTTTTGCATCAAAGAGTATGAGTGAGTGAATTTCTCTAAGTTTGCTTTAATTTTCTCCTTTTGTTTCCATCCTGTGGCTGAGATTAATAGACAACACACCTTTTCAAAGGTTGGAAGAAAAAAACAAATGTGTTGAGGAGTTGTGATGCCCCATGTCGAGTCATTTTGACGTGCAACCAATTCACAAAGCAGTAGGTATTGATGTTAAAAATACGAGTTTTTTCCTTTTCTTTTTGCCGTTTTAAGATTCATTGTTTAGGCAACAACCTCTAGTTGGTTCTTCCTTCCATTGATGGATTGGTTTGGAAGGAGAAATGTGCCTAATTGGTGGTGTCGTCAGAATCGAATCCCTTTCCCCATCCCCATGTAGTTGTTGTTTGCAGTTTGGTATAAGAAAGTGAAGTTTCATGTTTTCCTCAGGTGTATATTGTATCCTTTTATTTCTTACTGGCTTGCTTGGCCATTTGAAAGAGCAGCAACCCACGTGAGCTCAACTTCAGTTTTAGTGTTAGTGTCTCACTGTCTCTTGATTGTCAAAAGAAAAAGGTGTTAGTTTCTCTAGTTTACTCCCAAAACCCATATTGCATTTTGCAGATCCCCATGTTCCCTCCATTCCCAGCTTTGTTTTTCACTCACGAAAGAAGACATCCCTTTCTATTCAGCCATAAACTAGTGTGGTTGTGGTAAAAAAAATAAGAAGTTAGGTGCACCAGTAAGTATTGTAGCCCAATATATTTGAAAATATGGAAAATTTGGTGTGGTGGGGTGGGTTATTGGGCAGGACTAGGAAAGTTACATATTAACCACCAAATTATAGCCTTGCTTTGCTTCTTCGGTGGGACTTAGTTGTCCCTTTATGCACTGCTGACACATCAGATTGTCCTTGAAACCCAGGGAAGGTCGGTGGATGATTGTAAGTATCATGTTCTCGATGCCCCTTTCCATGCCCTTCTTTTTCTTTTTCAACCCCCCTTTTCCAAATCCTTTCTCTCCTCGGACTCACCTATTCGCCTACCCCTTTTTATTCATCTCTTCTATAAAATTTCTCATGCTCACTTGGTTTCCCTTGCCTCCCCTCTCCTTCCACTCTGTCTCTTGAGTTGTACAAACAAAATTGGGAAAGAAACAATAAAGTAAAACCCAGAATGCTTTTGGCTTTGTTTTGTTTACTAATTTTTGTGGGCCTGAGTGGCATCCCATGTGCTGGGGAATCAAGTGTATCATTCATTCCTTTTGTGCTTGCTGCGTGATATGTTCACCGTCAGTTCCCTCATTCATTCTTAACTAACTTTTTTTTTTTTGGGTCCGCCGCAGGTGTATTATCTATAAGTATCAGCTCCTGCTTGTTAGCTATTTCCTCTGTCCTCCTGGACTGGAACTCTCTCCTCTGTAGAACTCCTATTCCTCCTATTTTTATTTCAGACAAGTCAAAGGTTCTGTAATCATTACTGCAAATGGGCGAGGAAGCTAAACAGGTACCAATCCTCTTTCATTTTTTCCTTCTTAATCAAATCCCGTTTGCATGCATGTCATCGTTGTAGTATTGGTCCGTATCACTTCCAGTTTCATTCAACTATCCTAATGGTTATCAAATATTCTATTTGGTTTGCAGGAAGAAGCTAAGCCGGAGGTCAAGGCCGAGGAGAACAAAGAAGAGACAACAGAGGATAAACCAGCTGAGGCGAAGGAGGGCGAAGAAGTTAAGCCCCCACCTCCCTTCATTCTGTTTGTGGACCTGCATTGTGTGGGATGTGCCAAGAAGATAGAGAAATCCCTCATGAAGATCAGAGGTCTGGCTTGCTTGCTTGCTTTCTTTCGTCTTCTTCCCACGAAGAAGGGGAAATCATATAATAGCCAAGTTTTGATAGGAAAAAGAAAAAGAGCATGCAAGGCATGTGCATGAGTTCAAGGCCGTTAACTTTTGAAATGAAACAGGAGTGGAGGGCGTGGCAATAGATATGGCTCAAAGCCAGGTGACCATCAAAGGGATAGTGGAACCTCAAGCTGTCTGCAACATGATAAGGAAGAAAACAAAGAGAAGAGCCCAAGTTTTATCTCCATTGCCTGAGGCTGAGGGTGAACCTATGCCCCAAGTTGTCAATTCCCAGGTCTCTTGTCATCATATAAACAATTCTGCTACAGAAACTCGTTCTAACATGACCAGAATGTCAGAACTCAGGGAATGAAATTCAAATGACTATTTAGCAATATATATGTTTCTTTTTATTATATAATTTCTTTTTGTTGTTTCCCTCTCACAGGTTGCTGCAACATCAACGGTGGAGCTTAATGTAAACATGCACTGTGAGGCTTGTGCTGAGCAACTGAAGAAAAAGATACTCAAAATGAGAGGTAAACCGAATTCCATTAACTAATTATTGTTTAGTGAATGCAACCAAGTGCATTAATTTAAATGCCCTGCCGCAATGCCATATCTGAAATAGCTTTGGTTGGTACCCCACCTTAGAAGTTAGCCACCACACTGCTTTAGTAATGATAATTCCAGATTTTTCATACTGCTGCTGGAGGCTGAGTTGCCTTTTTCTTTCCCAATAAGTCTGATCCCCTCATAGTTTATGTATGGATAATGGTGATTATAATCTGAAGTAATTCCCCCGTGTTAAAATTTGCAGGAGTTCAAACAGCAGTAACAGAGGTACCAGCAGGGAAAGTGATAGTGACAGGAACCATGGATGCCAAAAAGCTGGTGGATTACATTTACAGGAGTACGAAAAAGCAAGCCAAGATTGTTCCTCAGCCGGAGCCGGAGCCACAGCCAGAAGCAGGAATCGTCGCAGCAGAAAATCCAGGAGGCGGTGAAGACAAAAAGGATGAAGGCCAAGGTGGGGAGGAGAAAGGAGAGGAAAAATCTGAAGCCATTAAAGAAGCAGGTGGTGAAGCAGCAGCAGCTGAAAGTAACAAGGTCAAGGAGGAAGCCAAGAAGGAAGGAGATGTAACTAACATCGTCATGAACAACAACAACAACAACAACAGTGACTTTGCGGCAGAGGATGAGAATATGAAAAGGTTGATGTACTACCACCAGTACCAGCCGCTGTATGTGATAGAGAGAATTCCGCCACCTCAACTCTTCAGCGATGAGAACCCAAATGCCTGCTGCATTTCATAGTATATATAGTATTTGTAATTAATACAATATATATATACCTGTAAATCTGCAGGTCATTTCATTTCTTGAAAATAAAGATCCCAAGTCGCACTTAACCACCGAAAATTGTATCGAAAAAATTATCGAAAAGGTTTTTAATGTTGAAAACTTGAAATAGTGGTTACACTATAATTCTATTATTGCATAAAGCTAAAATAATTTGTCAAAGTATATAGAGTATGATAAAAAATTTCTCCTTTTTCAACATTACTGACAAGGTAATTTGTGCTCACTCATGGTTATATTGTAATTCAATTATTTCGTAATGCTAAAAATCACTTGGAAATTTAGTCCAACAAATTATATTCTTTTAACAGATAATGGAATGCGATACAATTTTACAAATACCAAATTTTTTCCCTTCCTGACTCCTGAGTGCCAACCTCACCAAACAATAGCTATTCCTACCTACGAAACGGTCCACCGTCCACCTCTCTCATCGGCGTCAACACAATACAATACAATACAATACCGTGGGTGTTTCGAAAAGGAAAGAGAGGATTCTTTTCCTTCGCCGCCAACGCCATCGTCGTCACTCGCCATTTTCTACGGGAGGGGAAGTGGATTAGAACGTCAGGAAATTGAGTATTTGGGGTGAGAGGATTGGACGGAGCTTCTGAGAAAGAAGGTGATAAGATCAGTTGCAGATTTGAGAGAGATAGAAATTGAATGGTATACTAAAACAGGCAAACAAGAGTTCAAGCCAGTCAGGTATTCCTCTGTCGTTCGTGGTCTCTGGCCTCCAGCTCTAGCAGGTCGCTTATCCTGAACCCTATTTCCACTTCTCGATTCGCCTTCTTCCTGTTTCCTGAACTTTTTTTTGCCATTTCTTTTCTTTTGGGTACTTGCTTGTTCCGTTATTGGCATAATATTGCTGGGCTTTTGCGGCCTATTTGATGTGGGAATCATGTTTCTCTGGCGTCTCTCAGTTTTGATTATCATGTGATGTCTTTGATTGTAGGTTTTCTTCTAGGTGATATGATGATGGGTGGTGGGTATTACGGAAATGGAGTATCTTCGTCTTCCTCATCGAATTTGTCGGCTGCAGCTCCCCCTTTTACTGTCGATCGCTCTGTTCCAAAACCCTTCTCCCCACTTATTGACTTCACTGACCAAACTTACCATCTTCCTGTTTCTAACTCAAACTCTGGTCTGCATAATTGGCTACCCTCCAACTCTAGTCATGACTTCTTTTCCATTGATGACAACAATGGCGCTGTATTTGAACCTATCCCTTCCTCAATTGATTACACCAACTCGCCGAAGATTCCCCATGTAGCTACCCTTAACCCTGCCTCCCGTTCAGCTGATGACGGTCACCATTCCCATCCACCTCCAATTCACCCTGAACCTTCCAACCCATACCACCAGCCATTCATATCTTCGGACACCAGCAAATCGATGCTTCCTCGCCAATCTGGACATGGAATATTGTCTCGCACCCATGCAGTGACGCCCTTGCAACCTTCTGGTGATATTTGCTTCCCTCAAACTTTGGACCACACCTCACACTGGAAGGGCTTGTGGAATAGCTCAGATTGGCTGCAAAACAGTCAGGTGAAACTGGATGATGGGTGTTTTGTTGCTCAAGACAATTATATGAATGAAGGTGTGTTTCTCTTACGATTATCGTTATGGCTAGTTGAATTAGATTTCGAACTTCAAAGATGTACATAAGCATTGTCTGTCTCTCATAGTTCATTATTTTGTGTTTATACTTATGAAAAGTTTTCAAATACCATTTTCACCTTCTCTGGTTGGCTTGTTGGTTGTCCTCCCTTAACTATTTTTCAAGTAGCCTTTTTCTTGTAGTGGTACATGCCAGTAGGTCAAGTTATGAGTTGAGGAAGGCGAATCATACTTCACAACTGTTTTCCAGCTTGGTTGTTTTGTGAAATAATTTCAGTTTCATCTCCCTCTATCTGCAGATTGTACCTTCATTCATCGGTTCTGAAATGTTCCTATTCCTGCTGTTCAACTTCTATTTCAAAATGTTATATGTAGTTTAAACAAAACATTGCAGAGACCAGGATGGAGTTCAGAAAGTTAGTGGAGCAGGAATATAACTTCCCCGCTGACATTTTTAACAATGATGCTTCATCTGTATCTATATCACACGCACTGGTGTATAATTGCCTATATTTACGGTTATATATGACTTGACTCTGGGCTCCGCAATATAATATGTCCTCTAGTGTCGCCTTTTGTAATCCTATTAGCTAGTTGCAAGTTGTAGAATTAACTGTATAGGGATAGTGGTTTTGGTTAATTACTTTTCTGTGTGAAACAGGTCGTGGTTTTCCATTGGTAATTGTTAGAGAAACAGATAGGATTAAATTGAATTGAATTGAATATGATGTTTTAAGGGACAAATCCATCAGTGCAAGTATAGTTCTTGGGTTGGTACTCTTGCAAGCCAGAAGCTAGGTACTTGCTTTTTTGTTTCTATTCTTCATTGTGTTATCGTCTTTCATTTTCTTGCATCTTTTTACAACAGAAGCCTTTGAAGACAGGGGTATCTTTTTCTCATACTTGATTATAGAAAAACTCAACTGACAGGTCTTGGCTAGTGTACCTCTTAATACCTAGTCATTTACAAAACGATGGATGCCTGGTTCTTTGCTTAATTTAATTGCTCAGTGAAGCCTGTTACTTGATTTTGATCTGTAATTTTTTCAGGCTCTTATGCACCTAAGAAGATTTTTTATGGTGAGGGATTCAATGGCACTGATGTTGTCGGAAGTGAAAAGAATGTTAAGCGTTCAAATATTGAGCAGATGGATTACCAATCCGTCCTCTGTGAAAACCCAAAGTTCGTTAACACGGATTATCCAACAGCATTGACCTGCACAGCCACTCTAGCAGGAGAATCTGGAGGCTACGTAACTCCTTTTAGCGCGTCACTTGAACTGGGCTCAAGGAAACAATCTCCCAGTGCAGTGGAAACTCACTTAGTTACGAAGTTGCCTTCAGTTACCATCAAGCCACCACATCAGGACATGTTCTCTCACAAAACTATGCGTCCTTGGATTGGTGAAGGAAAAGAGTTTGGTTGTGTTAATCCCGTAAGTATTAAAGAGGCTCATCCAGACAGAAAGGCTGAAGGCAAACCTGATCTTGATACAAGGCAACTCAGGCTTCACTTGGGGAAAAGTCAAGAAGAACTGACAAGCAACACAAGTATTTTTAGCGAGGGCCCTTTTATAGCAAAACCTGGGTTGCAAGTTCCTCGTATGTATCCGGATGGTTTTAGTGTGTTAGTTGATAACAAGTCCCTCAACTCTGCGGACAATATTGCTGAGAATTTGGCTCATCACAGTTCTGCTTTGGACTCTCCATGCTGGAAAGGGGCTTCCATATCACACAGGTCCGGGTCTGAAGTGGCTAGGTCATATGATTTGAGAAAGGTGGAAGATTTCAGTGGTACAAATCTTCTAGGGCCTGAAGTTTCTCCTTTCACGCCCTATGGTGCAGATCTAGTAAATCCTCAGAACTCAGGTGATTGTGAGACACACAATGCGGCGAGGGATCCAGAAGAGTGTTTAGGTCCTTTTAAAGAACAGACTGGTGCTAGTGCTAGTATATTTTCAGGTGAAGGAATAGGTTGTGGTATGAAACTTGAAACTCATAACACAACAGTTAGTTGCAGCCCTGGAGTTCAATCCTCTGATGGTATCTGTACGCTCAATAATGGAGACGATCTATTTCGCCAATCAGTGGAGACTTTTGATGGTGAAGCTCCCAAGAAGCAAATTACTGGGGAAGGACAAGGTACAACTGTTAAACATGCATGGTCTAATGATCCTGAGACAAATAAGAGTGATTACCCCGAATATTGGTCAAGCCATGTATCATTCCATGCTATAGAGCAAGTGTTACTTTCACCGCCTTCAGCAGAATCTAGCCCTACTCTGGAAAAAAACAAAGCAGAATGTAGGCCTTCTGAGCTAACTAGGCCAAGTAACAGGAAATCAGCCCCATATGTTTATATCAAAACACTGGTTAATTCAATGCATGACCTCTCCGAGTTGCTTCTCTTGCACTGTTCAAATGAGGCTTGTGAATTGGCCGAAGAAGATTGTGAGACTCTTAAGGAGGTGCTTAAAAATGTTCATTCAAGTTTAATGAATAAGGCAGAGGAGGTGATTAACATGGAAAAGTTATTGATTCCAAAAAGACAACGTCAATTTTGTGCATTTAGAAAGGTAATTGTTTATATTTCAGCTCAGTCTGAGTTTTGTGTACAATGATTCTGAAGTACCTGCTACATAGATGATCGAAGGATTTGCATTTGAGCTGCTAGTTTTCTTTGTTTGAATCGCTTGTGAAAAGAAACAGAAGGAATGCCGAGTTATAATCATCAAATTCTTTAAATGCTGATGTCAAATTCATATCTAATGGAATTGAATCCTCTTGAAACTGGATCATCTTTACAGGGTCCTAATGTGGAGGCTTCTCAATATCAGGGACTTGGCAGTGGTAAGCTTCCATCTCCAGTCCAGGTCCAACGTCTCCAGGAGTATCATAGCACTTTGGATGGTCTCAGAGATGAGAACTTACTCAATCACGAGTCAGTGAAGCATGCCAGCGTGACACAGGTAGCTCCCCCTCTCTGTTTTCTCCTTCCCCCCTCCAGCTTCTTGCTGTGCTTATATATGTACCTACAATTTCATGGAAGGCACAGTCAACAGGAAAGAGAAAGAAGGGGGGGGGGGGGGGGGGGGGGGGGGGGGGGGGCAAATGGAAAAATGGGAAACAAAATAACTTATTAACATTGAACGTCTTTGCTGTGAGCTGTGATGCAGGCTATAAAGAAGATTCTTACTGAGAGCTTGCACAATGAGGTTGAAACTCAACCAGACATAATTTTGTATAAAAATCTGTGGTTAGAGGCAGAAGCAGAGTTGTGTTCTGTTAATCATGTAGCTCGTTATAATCGGATGAGAATGGAGATGGAGAACGGTCATTCGCAGCAGCTTAATGGTAAATTTATCATCTCTGCCAAAAAATTATGTTAAATCATTTGGTTCATTGTAATCTGATTGAGGATTAAGATGGAGACACGATGTTCTAGCAGCTTAACGGTAAACTTATCATCTTACCTGAAACACTTTAAAATGACAAATATATGATTAAACAATGGGGATGTCAGCTTTGTTGGGGACTAATTTTTCTATGTACATGCTTAAAATCTTTCGAAGTTTGTTTAGGTTTTTTTTCCCCTGCTACTCCAGTTTTACCAGAGAGAACAACGGCAATGAGGATGTTCGGAAGACCAGAGATTTCTTCTGATATTTCTGCTCAGGGCACTATGGGATTGGATATTAACTCTAGACAAGTCGTGGATACTCCTGATTCAGATACCTCGATCTCAAGCGCAAGTAGTAATTCAGATGACACGCTTGCCAGATCCCACGTCTTAAAATCCCCTGTTGGCAAGTCAGTTGCTGCTATTTTTTCTGTAGCGGGTAAAATTTCGGATCACAAGGAGGCTGGCAAGGCAACACTAGAAGTAAAAGATAGTGCAAAAACAGATGTGTTCGTCCATGAGTCTCATCGTTCCAGAAATATTGGCCACACCAATGATGTGGATGCTTCTGTGATGGCCAGATTCCAAATCCTTAAATGCCGGGCTGGCAGCTTGAACTCCACAGCTACAGAGGAACACCAGCCAGAAGGTGCTGATCTTGGATATCCAGGTTTAAGAGACAATCCTTCAACCTGTAAAGAAGTCTTGGAGAACATACCGAAGAATGGAAAAGTGAAAACATCCCTGCCGATTAGTCCAGTTAAGTGTACGGAAGAACATGTGGTTATTGAAGACAAATGCAACAAGAGGAAGGGGCATGGTAAATACCTTTTCCCTCATACTTCGTGGATATCTACACTACTCTGTTTAATTAACTGTTTCTCTATATCTAATACAAACTTCATTCATACTAGATACTCTTGCACTTGTAAAGGCCCTCACAAGGACAAATGTATATGATGCAGGAACTATGAATGTGTCGACAACCAACGTGGACCCTGTTTCAGTTCCTCTCGAATCACATACCTTTTACAATACCAGTGATCATCCTGACGTGAGTTCTCGATTTTTCATTTTGAAGAGTCGGGATGAGAAACACGATTCCAAGAGCACATCGGATGTGGAGAAGTCATCGAGTCCTGTGATTTCTCCTTGTAAGGTAAACTTGAGACCTCTGCAGGAGAAGAATGATGTGACAGGTTCTGAAGATACTTATTCTGTGGAGCAACTCCATTTACGTGTCCGAGACGCTCCTGCGGTTCCACATTGCTTTGTGAATATGCCTGGTTATCAGTCTCACTCCAGCTACCAGGAGAGCTCTTCTTCATCAGACTGGGAACATGTGCTGAAGGAGGAGGTTACTGGAGAGAAGTGATGAAGGCTGTTAATCGTGTTATAATTCATGCGTGGAGCATGAAATTTACTTTTGTTCACTTATAGAAACGTAAATAGCACGTCGGGATTCATGCTGTTTTCAAATTATGTATAATTATGTTGGCTACGTACGTGGGTACTATAGTTATCAATGGGTCGTTGCTTATCTCAAAGACGGTTGATCCTGAATAGGAAGCAGTTTTCGAGCAGTCTATTTAGTGGTATTGCTATTGCACAAATTGGGACTACTAATACGAGCTGAAACTCCTCCAGTTATTCCTAGTGCTCTCCCTTCCAACAAAGAATTCAATACAAGTGTCAAATGTGGTGCAGCGCTATACTTTAAACAACCAGTTAAGCTTCAACCAATTCCTGTCAAGGCTGGACGCGAAGACTTGAGAAGTAGCAAAGGAGCCAAAAGGGCAACTCGGTACCACAAATGAATATCATTTCCTGTCAAGGCTGGACGTGAAGCTTTGAGAAGTAGCAAAGGAGCCAAAAGGGCAACTCGGCCCCACAAATGAATATCATAGGATGGAATGTACGATATGAAGGTTTGGGGATTTTTTCAGAAATAGTAATGTTTAAAAAAAATTCCAAAATAGCACCCAATCACTAAAAATTCCAAAAATAGCACCCTTTTCCAAAAACCACCGCCCGAACCAGCGGTTTTGACGAAAACCACCATCTGGGGCGCGGATTTCGATGAAAACGCATAGATAGGGGGCGGTTTTGCTGAGGGCATGGGCCCGAGGTGGTTCGGTTGCAAACCGCACCCCCATCCGGCGGTTATGATACATAATTTTGTTTTTTTGAACAAATATCATAAGTGGTCTTGGTATAGTTTAGTTGTTTATTGTGTGCAAGAAGTCTTGGGTTCGAATCCCCACCATTCCATTTGAAATTTTTTTATTTAGTAGAGATTACAAAAAAAAAAGTTTTAGCAGTGGTGGTTTGAACCCAGATAATAAATACTTTACTAAATTTGGCACAACATCTATACAACTCAACTACAACTCTTCTCTTGAAACAATAATATATTGACAAAGTTTTACTTCTTGAACGCTAAAAATCCTCAATAACTTTAAACAACCATAACTTTGTGCTCCAAAATCCGAACGTTGTGAATTTTTTTTCATTTCGCATAACTTTTTAAGGACTACAACTTTTACTAGGAATGAATTTTCAAAACTGAAATTATTTTTGGATATACAGGGTTATGGGAATAGCTTACCTTCCCTTTTAACAAATCCACGTACATTTAGAAATTATGTCTATGATATGTAGTCCTTAAAAAGTTATGCGATATGAAAAAACAAATTCATGACGTTCGGATTTTGGAGCACAAAGTTATGACCGTCCAAATTTTGACGAAATAACAAAAAGGCTTGTTCGGGTTAGCAAATGACATTTTTTCGGGACGAAGGCGGGACCAAACCGCCTGCGACGTTTGCAGCTTGCAAGATCTCGAAAATTTATGCGGAATAAAAAAAAATCGCGACGATCGGATTCCCGAACACAAAGATACGTTCGTTTGAAGTTTTCACATAGGTTATAATTTTTCATAAAGAAAAAGAAAAGAGACCAAAACCGCCGGGTGGGGCAGCGTTTTAGGACCGAACCGGTCCGACCCTAGGAGGTCATGAAAACCGCCCCCTAACACTGCAGTTTTCATTGAAAACCGCTGGTCCGGGTGGCAGTTATTGCGAAATGGTGCTATTTTTGAAAATTTTCGGGGTTGGGTGCTATTTTTGGAATTTTTTTTAAACAGTGCTATTTCTGGAAAAATCCCAAGATTTGGTGGCCCTCTATCTTCCAACAATCTATTAGTGGTATTGTGATCGCCTTTTCTAAGTGCGACTAAATAAGGTAAGTGTACCTGTCGACTTCCAATATAATGAGAAGCAATGTTGTATCCCACATGGATGATGACTACTAGTAATGGTTTATGTTTTCTATTATCTAAAATCGGTTCTTTTAATGATTTTGATTTAATTGAATTTATACTACTCTACTAAAGCACAAAATCGACAATAACACAATTTACCAAAGATTAAACCAAGAAGATAAGGAGTTGTTTAGATTAGAAACCCCCTGGCTAGTTATTGAGAATCAACCAAACACAGTACATATGTGATTTACTATTCCCATACCTTAGGAACTCTCAAATTAGCATATAACCCGATCCTCTCGCGTGTTAATACTCTATTAGTCGATTAAACCTAGATATGATAATCTCTTTGGCCTGAATTTATTTACCAATACATTAATCAATCTTTGATTCCCTCTATTAGGTTGTACCCTAATCTATAAGTCCCTCTCCCTCCATCTTCTAGTAGTTCGAGCCTTCGAGGTCCCTTCTGTCACTAAGTGTTCTATCATTCGTGTGGGGATCTTATCCTCGTCAGACGAAATACTCCACACTTGAACTTTGCTTGTTCACAAAAAAACACTACTCACAATCATACAACTCAATAAAAACTAAGGAACATCACACGAACCCGATCTTAGGTAGCGGATCAAAAGCGAACTTACAAGGTCAACATAGCACTAGCGAAGACTTTAACCATATTAGCATGTATGAACAACAAGATACTCATCTCAATCATAGACAACCAACCACACATGAGTCTCAAAACACAATAGGGTGAAACTTATGAAAAATGATTTAGAACATTAAAATGCTTCTACCATCTTTATGACATACCCTTTAAGCACATTTTCCTTTCACAAGCACAATTTTAAAGATTTTCTATACTTTTCTCATCACTATTTTTTTCTTTTCCGTGTGTATAGTACTCTCTCCATCTGTGTCATCGTCTCATATATCTCAATTCGCTGGAGGGTCAATGAAATTAAGGGGTGTAGGAAGCTCTATCTGTGCCCTTAAAAACATACCTCAAGTTAGATATCAATTCCACGAGTGAAAATTTTACTTATGCTATAGAAGAACTAGCATTGAACAAGGTCACAGAACTAAATTAGTATCTCTTCCAAAATGCAATTTTGTGCGATGAAAAGATGCCTCGCACATTGGAATCACTTTATTTCTTTGCATTTATTGAAGACACAGTTCACCTTTTGGTTTTTTTTTTTGAAAAAGTGAGACTCAATGTATAATCAACAATCTGTAATAAATTACACATTAAATTTTTTTCACAAAAATCAGGGTAATTGTACTCTTCAAAATGACATTCATTTTGATATATTTTTCAACAAAAAAATTTGAGACATATATAACCAGTCCATACCATGGAGCTAATGATTGGTAGTACATAAGATTATAACATTATGATGTGAAAGTGTACCATGATGATATGAATACACCATGGTGTACAATGGTTATGTACATGATAGTAGGAATATATTAACTGTCATTTACCATTTTTCATCATTGTGTACCCCTAGTTACCACTCTATACGAAGTGTATAGGGTGGTATATTTGGTCCTGATTTTTTTATAAAATTTTTGTAGATTTAATAGATGAGGATGAAATAAGTCTTGGGTAATGTCTATTTTTATCCAATTTTTTTCTAGATTCTTATATATTATCCAAACCTATTAAAATGCTATTAATTAGCCAAATCTTTGAGAATGCATCAAAATATTAACCATTTTTATGTTATCATTAATATTTTGTAACTATTTTCTTAGTTAAAATACTAAAATTTTGGAATGTTGACCTTCATGTGTCTCTTCCAAATCAGTATCATGTTGCCAAGTCAATATTACTAACAAAATTGCTAACTGAAAGTTAACATTTGGCTAATTCTTAATATTTCGATAGGTTTGGCTAATAAAAAAGAATTCAAAAAAGTTTTGGCTATAAATAGTCATTACCCTAGGTCTTAATTCAACAAATCTTATACAATAAGACCAATTTAATTAGGAACAATAATCGACGGTTATGATTCATTATAATACATGCGACAAACTACATACACCATATTAGGGTTTAGGGTATATGATTGGGATAACTAGGACCTAGGGTTCACTCATTAAGGGTTTGGCCCTATTGTATCTTTTGTTGCTTTTGTAGAAGCAGCTTCTAGCTAGAGCTTTTAGAGAAGTACATTTTAAAAAAAAAACAAGTGAGTGTTTGACTGAATAACTATTAGAAGTGCTTAATATAAGAGGTTACGTAAAATGACTAAAAATGATTTATAATATAAAATATGAATAAAAATTCTAAACAATAAAAAGTAGTCTAATGAATCTTGTTTAATTTTTTTATATTAAATAATATGATTTTATCATTTATTTTAATTTTTCAAAATAATATAAATGAAATAAAATTATATTTTCTAAAATAAAGTTAAAATATGGCAAGGATAATTTTGTATTTTCACAATAGCGTTTCGCAGAAACTTCAAATCGGAGCTTTTGCTTTTATGTTATACAAAACATTTTTTTTAGTTTTATAAAAACAGGGATTTTAGAGATGTTTGGTCATACTTAAGTTTTTGAAGGTTAAAAATATTTCTAAATATCGGATCAAACATAGGTAATGAGTCCCACCCTATCACTGAAAAGAAAAGGAACTAAGAGAAATATGTCTTTCTATTAAGCCTTAAAGACGAGCCTCCTTACCATAAAGGCTAAGCATATTAAACTTGTACATCCAAAGCAATTACGGTTTGCTTTTCTATTTTGTTGATATCACATACATAACTCATCAACTCCACATTATTATGTGTTGTAGCTTTCATTTTTTTTGGACATATCAATAGATAGAGAATGAACACATACCTAAATGTATATTTAACTTCTTTGCTCTCTATTGATTTCTGGCTATTGTTATCTTCTTGAGTTGTGTGTTTCTTGTTGTTTGAACGGTGTATATTTGATGACAAAAATAAGTATATTCGAAAATGATCAATATGTTGTCTGGTTCAAAATCCTTTGTGGCAATTATAGTCTATAGAAAACACCAATATAAGAGAATAATTGTCAAGTTCTGTATCTTGATGATAATTGGGATTTATATTAATTTTGGTTCCAAAACTAAAACGATGCCAACAGTTTTTGGTGAGAAGGCCCAGATTCAAATGTACCGATGTTTCGACCTTAAAAATATTTTATTGATAGATAGTTTTTAGTAGTATCACTAATCTTTTCGGTACAACTTTCAATATGATGTCGCATTTAAATACATAACTCAAGTGTTAGGTGAGTGAAGATGATATATGCTCCTGATTACGGTTCATAAATTAGGATTTGGTAAAATTATTCGTCCGTGGAAATGAAAGTTTATCTTGGCATATTCTATTATGTGAAAGAAACAATTTAGCGATCCAACATTGAGATGCGCTCCTGGCCAGCCCCGTCGGATCACAAGAAGAAAGTCCAATACGCCCCACACATAAGTAGAACGAGAATTTGAAGAATAATTATCTGTACTTGTATAAGATTTTCATCCAGCAAAACCAGTCATCTAAATAGTTGAAATATATTTCGATTGGATGATTGTAGAAAAAATTTAAAACCGGTCTAATAAATTAAAATCGAGTGGCCTGACCAGTCAAAATCAAATTTGAAAATGAGAATTGATAATTTTGTAATATATTTCTTATAAAGAAATAATTTGGTAATATATGAATGTAAATGAGTGAAATTGTTTTAAAATATTTCAATAATATGCTAAAATCGATCCTCACATATTATATTAAAATCGACTTGAACAGGTTGAATCTGATCCGACTATTAAACCTCAAATCACTTGTCTAACCGACTGGATCGCTTAATCCGGTTTGGCAACCATTAACGAACGAAATGTCATAAGCTGAAATGACACCTTACCAAACTAGGCTAGACTCTACCCTTGGATGGAAATTTCCGTATAATTAAATGATTCCTTGAAACAAAAGAAATATAGTCCCAACCATATATTATTTCGAAATAATTATTGGACATATTAACAGTGTCATGAGTTATAAGCATCTTTTGGAGGTTGATTATGTCCGTACAAATGAGCATTATTAGCCCTTATGTTCTGTTGACATCGTACTCGACATTTCATTAATTTAACCACTATGCTACACTTCGCTTCTAATGTTTTTAAACTACATTTTTTTGTTGAAATATATGTCATGATTTCGGTAAAATCCTTATATAGCCACTTGTTACTCGTGCGACTTGTAGCCAAAAAACAAAGAGTGTAATTCCTTTTAATTTTGTTGATCGAAAGTCTAAATCTTTGACTTGGCCACTCACTTTAATAACTCTTCCTCATCTAAGATAGAGTGCATAACCAAATTTGATCCTTTGGTTTTGAGTCGGTCCTTATTTAAGAGACGAGATTATGTTTACTACTAAAAGTAATTTAGTGCCACATTGATTAATTTTAAGGAGTGATTGTGGTTTATAAGGCCAATTTGATCATATAAATTAAAGTGGTCTAAGACGGGCATAAGTGGTGGATTTTGGGCTACTCATGTCATCATGCAAGGTACATCAATATACACCCTCTCAAATCCCAAGCACACTAGCACTCTTCGTTGCCCTCAAGCGTGCCTCGTTACCCAAATGGCAAGTATGTTTGTCTCCCACCTACCAAACACTGGGGTATCAAGAATGAAATCATATGAGGGTTGGGATGCATATCCCAAGTACCCGCCTATCAAGCATCGACCACCCAAGCATACAACTGTCAAGTTTGTTACCTAGTCGACAAGGTCATCAAAATTCTATGTGTTAGCCATGAGCCATGTACACTATCACGTGGTAGACTTCCTTGTCAAGACCTACAAACATGATGTCATCCCAAAGAGGTCAGTGTACATTCATAAGCCATGAGACACCCAGCTAAGTGATCATCACCCACATCATATCAAGCGTGTAAGACACTAGCACATATATAGTAGGGACGAGACAAGCACCATGCAACATTACTCCATGGCACAAGGGGTAGACCCCTACCTATCGAAGGGGTAGACACAACACATACTCATCCCAAGTATTCAGACATTTTAGACCTCATGGGTAGCCAAGCATGGCACCTAATGAACAAGGTCATCAAGATTCTAAGTGTCATCCATGTACAACATCACGTGGTAGACCTCATTTTCAAGACCGTACAAGCATGATGCCAACCCAAAGGAGCCAATGTGCATCTATCAACTCCCTAGTTAAGAATGAGAGACTAACTATGTGCAAGGCACGAGACACCCATCTAAGTGATCATCAACCCACATCCTATCAAGCGTGCAAGCCACTAGCATATATAGCAGGGACGAGACAAGCCATCAAGCAGGATACCTCCTCGGCACAAGGGCATAACTATTAGTGAAGTCGTCAAGTGGTCAGGGTACCAAGTAGTATGCATGGAAGCAAAGGCGTCAAGAGAGCTACATCAAGCACCAAACATTAGAGGAGTTGTTTGAAAGAGACGGTTAGACCTAATAGCTATAAATAGGAGAAACAAAGAAAATCAAGGGTTTTCAAAACCAGCACTCTGAGACACATGTCAAGTTTATCATTTCTCTGCAATGTAGCTATAGTTGTAGCTTTCGGTTTTGGAGCTCTCGATGAAAATCCATAGGAGTTTATTAACTTAATTTAGTTTTATTATCCATCAGAAACTTCAAACCCCATCAATCAAACTATGATTTGAGAGGTGTGAACCGTGTTATTAATTATTGTATACAAGTCAAAGATGCAATGTATTGAATTCAAACACAAGTTTCCTCCCCGAAAAACAAATTGACACACCTGGTATGACCATTGTGTTTGATTTGATGGCTCTATAATAGAGACAACGAGAAGGTGATCTTTCACCTGGGTTAGTGAAGAAGTTGAAACTTGACCAAGCAACAAGAGAGGTTGTTGAAAATAATGACATGGTTGAGGTCTTGCCACTGGCGACAGCTTCGGCCAATGTAACCATCACTATCATGTCACTACGGTTAATAGTGGAGGAGAACCACAAGATGGTGGTGAAGAACTGCCAAATCATGGAGGAGGGTTTGGATGGACTTGTTAGAAGTTCACAGACAAGCCTCAAACTTGGTTCTTTTAATGAATCATTGGAAATTTTAGTTCTAACTTAGGTAAATGTTTGAATAAACTATTTGAAGCGGCCATAGAAAATCAAAATTGCTTGGATGAGTTTAATTTTTTTTATAGAACTAGTGGTGCAAGAAATGTCTTTACCAAAAAACGGTACAAATACACCACCAAATAATACAACTGGGTCCAACAATCTTATTACCGGTGATGGTCAAAATACCCAACCACGGCCAGGAAACGAGACAAGTCAACCACCTCTTCGAGATGGTGGTTATGGAGAGAATCTCGCTCTCATGTTCTCCACCCACGTAAAGCAACCGCCTACATAGACATTTACTGTATAAACTACATGGGAGGCTAGACCATGTCTCAGCGTGAAAACAAGAGACGAGAAAATGGTTAGGTGCAAGTTTTAATTTTCTTAAATCTTTCTTCTTAATTTTAGTTTTTTTTTTGGGTACTATATAATGAAATATCAACTTCGGAGCGCCCATAAAGGAATTTTTTTTTTGTTTTTTCTCTGAAGCTAGGGTTGAGAAGAGAGTTTCACGATTTCGGCCGACGGCCGCCGAGCAAGGCGCTCCCGCTAATTGGGTGCAGCTGTTCGGCGTCGGAGAATCCAATTGCCTGCAGTATGTTGCCCCAGATATAGTCAACGGATCCTTGGTCATTCCACGAGCGGCGCGAGAGGAAGGTGCTGTTCGTTGGTGGCACGCTCTGGTAGGGCAGTTTCTTTCGTCGGCGCCAGAGATTGATCAACTGAGATGTTGGGCGAGGCGGTTCTGGGGGCGAGACACAAGGGTAACAGTCTCTCACTTTGCGGATCATATGTTTCTCTTCCAATTTTCAGATCCAGATGCAAGCACCTGGGTGTTTGAAAATGGGCCATGGCACTATAACAAAAACCCCCTCTTCCTTCGACGCTAGGTTCTGGGAATCCAAACAGTTAATATGAGTCTGAAGTCGCTTCCTATTTGGGTTCGACTCAGTGGGTTGCCGCTTGAATACAGTACAGTGGAGGGTTTGAGCAGGATCGCTAGCCTTTTGGGCAAACCACTCTGGATGGATCAAGCAACAAGGCTGGGTGCCCAAGCTGGAATGGCTAGAGTTTGTGTTGAGATTTCTGCTGATTTTGACTTCGGACAAAATAAGTGTTACACCAGAAGGGGAGGGGCCGTTGTATATGGGGGTTCGTTATCTTCGTGTTCCTGATATGTGCAAGCAGTGCAAGGAATTTGGGCATTGTGAGGGAGAGGTTAAGGAGTGCAAAGTAGTGCAGTCTATCAAAGGTAGTGAGTTAATCAGGGCGGAGGATATGATTGATGAAGTAACTTGGGTGTCTAAAACCAGGGCAAGCTTGGCAGGAAAGTCTAATGAAGGTGGATCAACTCTAGTAGCTGGTTCAGTCAGTGGAGGGAGTGCAATGGCTGCCCAGACAACTGAAGGAGGCCCAGTTCTAGTAGTTGGCTCAACAGACGATAGTCCAGCTCCTGTCTCTGGTACAAATGAAGGAGGTCTAGTGAAAGGTAGTCCAGTTCCAGTAGCTGGCTCTTCAATGGCTGAAGGCTTAGCTCCAGGAGTAGGCCTAGGTTCAGCAGGGACGTCTACTCCTCTTCATTCTCTCTCTTGGTAGCTGATTGATGAAGATGGATTTCAATTGGTCATAAGGAAGGGCAAAGGAATTGCATATGATACTGCTGTTAAGGCCTTTCCTTCTGCTACTCAAGGTCAAGCTTTGGTTATCTGGGGTCCTCCTAAGAGGGGGAGGGGTAAGAAGCACAAATGAAGTTTCTTAGCTGGTATCTCAGGGGGGTTTAATGCCCCTGAGAAGCATAGGTATATTAGTAAACAGTTAATAAAGGTGAATATAGATTTTGCAGCAATTTTAGAAACTAGAGTATTAGAAAAGAATGCAACAGATATTATACAACGTCATTTTAGTGCGTGGAAACATTTGGATAACTATGCACATTCGGCTTCAGGGAGGGTTTTGCTTTTTTGGAAGCCCAGTTTGCAAGTTCAGCTAGTTAAAATGGGAGAGCACTTCATTCAGGTCAGGGTTGAAGGATTGTCAAAATGTAATGTTACTGCTATTTACAGTCCTAACAAAGCAAAGGAAAGGTTGGAGATGTATTCAGAGTTACTGCCTTGGAAGGTTAGCGGTGAACCAGGTATCTTTATGGGTGATTTTAACGCTATTCTGGATTTAAAGGAGGGATCTAATACCTTTGTTATGACTCAGGGGGGATCGGATTTCCGGGACTGGGTTTCGGAAATGTGTTTGATTGATCATAAGATCCTTGGCTCGCAGTTTATGTGGTGGAATAAGCAATAAGCAAACCCCATAAATAAGAAACTTGATCGGTTCCTTGTGAATGAAGACTGGTTTCTTTCCTTTCCTCGGAGTGTTGCAAAAACTCTGGCTTCGGGGGTCTAAGATCATTGTCGTCTGGTGTTGGATTCTACTCCTTTGCTAGGCTCACTGCCCAAACCGTTCAAGTTTTTCAAGTACTGGCAGCCTCAATACCAAGTGTTGTAAGAAGAAGCTTGGGCTGAATCAGTTCGAGGGTTATACTATCAGCAATTCTATAGTAAGCTAAAGGTATTAAAGGCCAAGCTAAAAAAGCTAAAATAAGTCAGTGTATTCTAATATATCTGTGAGGACAAGAGAAGCAGAATGTGCACTTGAATAGCAGCAGCAGATAGTTCTCCAAGATCCTACTAAAGAGGATGCACGAAAGGAGCTTGAATTGGCTGATTTTTGTCATAATTTGCAGTTGGTAGAAGAGAGTTTCTTCAGGAAAAAGTTCAGAATTAGAAATATACAGGAGGGTAATGCAAACACAGCTTACTTCCATGCCATGGTGAAAATTAGGAATCATAAGCAGACTATTATGAAGCTGATTAAAGATGATAATACTGAAGTGACTGAGGTTAAGGAAATGGGTGATGAGGCTGTTAAGTTTTACAAAAAGCTTTTGGGGGAAGTTGATGCAGAAGTTAAACTTCTTCCAGTTACCTATTTTCAGCAGCGGCTCAGAAGGAGATTAGATGCATAAGGTGTTCAAGTTTTATTGACTCCAGTTACAAGGGAGGAGATCAGAGAGGTGTTTAAAAAGATGCCAAATGATAAAGCACCTGGCCCGGATGGCTTTACTGCTGAGTTTTATAAGTCAGATTGGTCTATTGTGGGGGAGTTGGTGGAAGAGGTGGTTCTGGAATTTTTTCGAACAGGTGTAATGCCGCAACAGGTAAACTCCACTATTCTCTCTCTAATAACTAAAGTAGATAATGCTGATAGAATGAAAGACTTTAGGCCCATCTCTTGCTGCAATGTACTTTATAAAGGAATATAAAAAATCATAGCAAATAGGTTAGCAACAGTACTTCCTCAGGTTATCAGTAAATCTCAGTCAACTTTCATAAAAGGAAGGTTAATCAGTGACAATATTCTGATGGCTAGTGAGTTAGTAAAAGATTATCACTTGAAGAATGTTACATCGAGGTGTGTGCTGAAAATTGATTTAATGAAGGCGTTTGATTCGATGAATTGGTCTTTTTTGTTTAATATGCTCCTAGCCATGAGTTTCCCAGAATCATATGTTAAACTTATTGAGGCCTGTTTTACAACCCCAAAACTAAGTGTCTCTTTTAATGGAGGGTTGTGTGTTTATTTCTCTGCTGGGAAGGGGCTTAGGCAAGGAGACCCCTTATCTCCATACCTATTCACAGTGGCAATGGAGTATTTCTCATGTCTAATTCACAGAGCAGCTGTTGATAATCAAGTGCCATATCATCCACGCTCTAAAGTGCTAGAGATCACCCATCTGTGCTTTGCAGATGATTTCTTAGTGTTTACAAATCGATCCATAAGAGGGGTGGCTGGGATACAAAGGGTGCTTGAACAGTTCTATATGGAATCTAGGCTTCGATGTAATCCTGCTAAATGTCAATTGTTTTGATGTGGTATTCCTGAAGATGAGAAGGAATGGATCTCTTCTTTTACTGGGTTTTCCCTGGGGAGTCTGCCTGTCCGTTATCTTGGAGTGCCACTTATCTCAGGTAAAATCTCTTCAGCTGACTGTTTAGTGCTTGTTGATAAGATAACAAAAAAGATAAGAACCTGGCAAGCAAAGAAGCTTAGTTATGCAGGTAGATTGCAATTAGTGTCATATGTTATAACAAGCATTATGCAATACTGGGTGACCTTGTTCGTACTGCCACAAAGGATACTGAAAGATGTTGAAAGAATCTGCAATCATTTCCTGTGGGGGGTTGGAGGAATGAGTCTAAGAAAGAGGTCTCTGGTTGCTTGGAATTTGGTGGCCCTGCCAAAGAATGACGGAGGCTTGGGGATCAGGGAAAAAAATGGAACCAAACTTGTGTGGTTCGCCACATTTGGAATATGCTAGCAGAATCTGGCTCCCTATGGGTAGCATTGGTGAAAAAGTATCGCTTGAAGCTCAGGTCTATATGGGATGTGGTAACTCAGTCTGCAGGCACTTGGATCTGGCGGAAAATTCTTAAGTGTAGAACTGGAGTCAGGTCACATATAACTGGTAGTGGATCAACACTTGCTTGGGATCCTAAAATTCTGCCAAAATATTCTGTAAAGCTTGTCTGGCAATCTATCAGGACCCCTCAACCTATTGTTGAATGACATAAAGTTGTTTGGGGGAAGCCATATAGCCTGAAACACAGTCTGTTGCTATGGCTTGTTATTCTCAATAGGATTGTCACTAAGGACAAGTTGCAGAGTTGGGGGTTTGCTGGTGAGGGGTTATGTGTCCTTTGTCCAGGTGGAGTTGAGTCCAGAGATCATTTATTCTCGACCTGTTAATACAGTAGGCATGTTTTAAACTCTGTTCTATCACAGTTCTGCAGCATTCCTGTTTTTAGCTCATGGCAGGATCATCTAGCTTGGGCAGTGAGGCAGTGGGACAATGGTGCAGGGAAGAAAGGTGAAGGGCGTTTGCGATGGTCTTTGTGTATCAGTTATGTGTGGAGAGAGCGCTATTGCAGAGCTCATGATGCTGTGATCTGTAATCCCAGTGTGCTGATTAGAAGAATTGAAGATGAAGTTAAATGGCTGCTTGATGTAAAGCCTTATGATGCTCTAAAACACAACACCTAACAATGGCCAAGTGTAACCAATGAAAGGGACTGCAGTATAGTGGCACAAGTAATAAATATCAAATCCACGGGTCTCTAGAGTTACTATTACTCAGCTTCAGTTCATTATCTAGAAAACTAGATTAAGGATTGATTTATAAAATACTCTACTAACTACTCTACTAATTACAAGTTGTGAACTCACTTAGGTATGATTCCCCCTAGCTCCTCAATTAGGTCCAAGTTGTAATTCCTTTTGGTTGTTTTACTGTTGATTAAACTGCGGAAGATCCGACAATAGCTTGGAATCTCTTAAGCTGACCAAGCCCTCTCAGTCTAACTATCTGGCAGACGACTAGTCTTCACCGGGATAGAAAGCTGAAGCAATAAGCACAGAACTCCACTACTAGAATTGGATTCCAGTACAAAGCAGTAAACTGACTAACTCTCGTATAGCCAATCTCCTACTATCGAATGATGAGACTCTAGCAACCTAATCAGATTCTATCTATCTCAGGTTGCAGCAGAAATCAGGAAAAGTTGATCAGACTTCAATTGACTCAATAAACATGCATCATTCGATTATAATCAAACAATATAGCATCAAAAACTTCATACAAGAAAGATCCTAACTCATGGAACTAGGGTTCCTCAAAACCTAAGTGAAGGGAAGTTACTCCATAGAGAAGAGAGAGACTGCAGAAACCTGATCTAGATCTTCAATCTCCATCTCCAAGCTTGATTCCCAAGCTCCAATGGCGAAGAAATCCCCCAAAATAGCTCCAAGAATGTTCCCAAGTCGCTCTCTCTCTCTAGGGTTCGTCCCTTGGGTGTTTTTGAACCAAAACCCCAGCTCTCCCTTTCCTTTGGCTCTAATCTGCCTCAAAAACCCGATTCTGGGCGAATTACGGTCGTAATTCTTCCATGCCCGTATTTGGCCCAAAACACGCGTTTTGGTTAAGTTTCAGCGCACCCAAAGCTCCTCTCGGCAGTGAAATTACGGGCATGGGAGGGGAAATTACGGTCGTAATTCTCATGCCCGTAATTCTTCCTCCACCCCTGTTCAAAGCTTTGTTTCTCCCTCGTCCGGACTCCAAATCAGTCGCCGTTTGAACCCAGACGCTCGTACTCTCGTCCTATTTCTTTTCATGACAAGATTCCATGATTATTTGTCCATAAGATGAGGTGGTAATCCATTCTTCCTCAGGTCATGCTCGTGTTTCTTCTCCCGAATTGCCAAATGATCTCCGATTGACTTGAAACTTGCGCCTACGCTTCACTTTATGTGCTAGGGCCTGAAATGTGACAAAAGAACACAACCTAGCGTAAAGTAGGCCAAATAAGCGATAATGCAAGCTTAAACGATCAAGAAACAAAGGGGAAAACATGTGCAAATATCGAGTCATCACCTTAGCTGAAGCAAATGATGCATAGATAGAAAGTGGTTTTTATCTTGTCCTTTGAGCTGTTGCTATTGCTTAATTGTTTGTACTTAGGGGTTGGCAGTTTGCAACCCTAGAGCTTAATGCAATTTGTTTGATTACCCATCAATTTTTTTTTTTAGTTTTTTGAGTAAACAATTTCTTGTCAGCTGTCTTGTTATCGAAGACTGTATCTTTATTGGCCTCTAATGGAAAACTTTACAAGATAAAATCTTGACACACACTTTTTAAATAAAAAGGACAAAACATAAATGATCATTTAGCTAAAGGTTTGTATTTTTAGTTCTATTATCTTACAAAATTTTATTAGCTTGTGTAAGGTTATATGTAAAGTATTATCTAAAATACTAGTTAATCGACTAAAAAAAGTCTTTGCTTGTGGGTAATAACATAAACTGCATTTGTACTAGGTAGAAACATTACAGACAATATCATGTTTGCTTTTGAATGATTTCATGCAATGAAGAATAGGAAGGAAGGCAAGAAAGGTTTTGTTGGAGCAAAATTAGACATAGCCAAAGCATATGATATGGTTGAATGGTGTTTTCTCAAGATTGTAATGTTGAAATTGGATTATAATGTAGTGTGACAATAGTGACATACTCGACATTAGTGAATGTACTTCAGACTGAGATCATACAACCAACTAGAGGACTTAGACAAGATGATCATATATCTCCCTATATGTTCTTATTATCAGCTCAAGGCTTTTCGATCTTATCCAAGAAAGAGGTAGAGGCTGGAGACTAACAAGAATGGCCCTATGATGTCACACCTTTTCTTTGCTAACGATTGCATATTCTTCTTTTGAAAATAGGAGACATGAATGTAAGATACTAAAGCAAATCCTTGAGGCTTATGAAGGGGCATCAAATCCGAGCTATCTTTCAATGCAAGTATAAAATAATAAGGAAGGAAGGAAATTGCATACTTTTGGGGAATGAAAACAGTGATGCAACATGGAAAGTATTTGGTACTTCCTACTGTGATACGAAGATCGAAAAGGCAGTGTTCAGGAGATGCACAAGCTTTTCTCTGGTTGCTAAACCTAGAAAATCAACACAATTTCAATATGATGATGGTTGAGACGACCTGTCAAGTTGTGGTAGTAAAGATGAAAAAGAGGAACAAGCTTTGGAGGTGGGTTGGGTTGGCAAGGAGATAAGGGAGAAAGCTAGGGAAATAGGGAATGTTTGTTGGAGATTTTGGGAGAATAATGACAACCAAACAACACATGTAATAGCTCGCACTGAATGTAGATGGGGATAAACGAAAATATAGTTTTCAAGAATCCTTATTTTTTTTCATTTCCATTTTTATTATTATTATGCAGGAACTTCAGTCCACATGCCACTTTGAACCAACGGGGCCTACTAAAACAGGGGGTCGCCTGCAATCAATTCAAACGCCGACGGGGCTTTGCCCTCAATAGTCTCATACCTCCGGGAACACCAACGAGCCTCGTTTAGATTGAACCTGGGATATGAAACTCCCAAATATTCATTGTTGTGGCAGCTTGACAGTTGGGCTATCTTAACTTTGGCTCATTTGCATTTTGTTAGTAGACGGTAATGGCATAAATTTGCAGTAAAAAATATAAGAAAAGTTAAAAAACAGTATAGAAAAACTTTATATTGAAAAAACAGCAATTGCACCAAATTTTTATTAATAATACAAATACAATATTTAAACGACACATGTACACAACCTGGGGTTGCAAGAGGAGTTCCATTTATTGCAAACTTTCATAAATAAAGAGGACACCCACATTAATGCCACTCCAAGGTGCCATTGTAAGTGCTTTGGAACCACTTGCCATGACATTGAATCTTTGTCCTTTGATCTGATGGTAACTGTATGTCTACCCCCATGTCTAGCTCAATTATTGGAAAAAATCAGATCAGATACATTCAGCTGGCTCAGTTATTTTTACAGAATATCAAATAGCCACAACATTCGTAAGTGTAATACGGGGTTTGTGAAACCGTACTATATCTCTGATTTGTTGACTTTGAATGAGATGAAATTCTTGAATCACAATACTCAGCAACACTCAGTTTGACAGTTTTTAGAACAAGAAAGATTTTATTCAATGATGAAAGAAACGATTCGGTTACAGACACCAACCCTAGCCAAGCCAATCACGTTGGCTCTTTGGAATCACAATAAAGACCTAACTACTTCCCAAGTTTTAAGTCATCCAGATTGACATCACTATGACAAAGCTATTGAAGCAATAGATGGACCTAATGCAGAAGGAACACTCTACTATATATTTCACTCACTGCAAACCGCCAAGCCATTATAGCTGAAGTGAATACCTAATTTATACTAGGAAGGGCATGAAGCCGTTTGAAGAAGATGAACGTTGCTCAGGGCTCATCATGATCCCGCCTTAGGAGCTTTTGTAGATGCGGTGCCTCCTACTCCTTGATCAGATATGAGAGCAGTGGAGCTGGAATTCGTGCCAAGCGCTTTTCGATGAGATCGAGAGCTTTTCTCGATGAAGATGAGAAGGCATGCTGTTTGATTTGCTGCTTTGTTGTTTGTGTTAGAGAGACTTGGAAGATCGAAACATCATCGTAAGACAGAAGCCAAAAACGATGTCGTGGAATCTTCGTGAAGCGGTGCCGTTTCAAACAACAATTTCCCCTTCGATCAACAAGTATGGAGAACCTGAAACATGAGCAACAAGCAGACAACAGAGCGCGAGGAAACTGGAAATTTCATTAATAGAAATGACATAGGGAATACAAAATATGGTAGATGAACCTTAGAAGGTTCGCCCTAGGCATCTGCAACTCTTAGAAGAGTGCAGGACAAAAGTAGGAAGTCCAAAACACAGCGGGCTCCTTTAAAAAGAAAACATACTAAAGCAAAGTTTCCCCCCTAAACTTGTGTTGTACTTACACGAAGAACATCATTACAAAGTTACTTGTTGCATTTTCTGAAATGCAAAAGCATTCAGTAAAATTTCTTAAGAAACAGAGGCAAGAGCAGATGCAGCAGAATCTTTAGAAGATGAGCTGCCATCATTCACAGTAAAGACCAGTCCACCAGCCTTGCTGGGCTCACCAGCGGATTTAGCCTTTTTAGAGGAGGAAGGCTTAGGACGAGGGCCAAGAATGGAATTAGAAGGGAGAGGAGGAGGAGGAATATCAGTAAGAAGGTCAAGGACCATCAACACATTCAGAGCGCTGACATATATTGTTGAAGAAATACTTCTAAAATCAGACAGGTCGATTCCCAGATTTATCAGCAGGCGGGTGATGATTGATCCAAAGAGAAGGAGACCTTGATAGTTCTCATCTCCAGCAGGGAGCATGTGGGCAAACAAAAGGCAGGAGTAATCAAGCTTGCGCCTTGCAGTGGCACTAAAGATGATCCAGAGGTCCATAGGGAGCACTCGATCGAGATTGAAAGATCGAGGGAAGAAAACATGGGTGAGGAAATGATGAAAAATCCTCAAGCGAGGAGGTAGCCAGCTAGTTGGGATTGGCACATCAGAACCTCCAGTTGGTTCTGTGGAGAAGTTTGCATACTCATGGTGATCTTAAACTCTTGCTTCCAAAATTCTGGCGGGTGAGCAATGTCGAGTCCTTGGGATGGGAAACCAAGTATCCCATTTAGAGCTTCAACAAGAATGGTCAGGAGGTGACCATACACGACAGTGGTGAAGCTTCGAGTGCTCACACCTTGACATCGAAGGTTTGAGTAGAAGTACTTCACAGCTCTAGGACATGCAGGATGAAGAGGCTGGCGAAGAAGAAAATCCCAGCCTAATCCTTCGATGAGTGAGATGATGTCATATTTGTAAAGGTTAAACTCGTATGGATCGAGTTGAGTAATATGGTGGAGCCTTCTGTTACTGAAGTGCTGGAGATGGCGATGATTGTTTATGACCACTGGTTCATGAAACATATACCCTGGGTAGGTATGAACCAGTCCATCAAAACAAAAAGGTCGAGGAAGGTGATCACTCATGTTGGAGGTGTTTCTTGGTTTGTTGTAAATGGTGAGGAGAAGAAGGGTATAAGGTAGAGTTTATATAGCAAAGAAGGGTTATATGCATGAGAAGTAGTAATGATGGTTGATTATCAGCATGCATAAAGTTTTTTTTGGGAAAACGCAGGCATGCAACGTAAAGTAACTTTTCTGCACAGATCAAGAGAAGAAAATGCCTAAAGAAAGTACACCAATGAGGTTTTCAACTTTTCAGATTTTTAATTTGATCAAGAGATCTTAGCCCTATTTCTGTACACAGCTGAAGAAAACGTTCACTTGATAGGGGTTTAGTAAATAGGTCTGCTAATTGAAGGTGAGTGGACACAAAATGTAAGTGTATGTGTCCTGCTTGAACTAGATCCCTTATAAAATGATATTTTATTTCTATGTGTTTTGTTCTTGAATGTTGTACAGGTTTTTTTGCCATACAGATTGCACTAGTATTGTCACAGCTAACATGCTCAAACACAACACCTAACAATGGCCAAGTGTAACTAATGAAAGGGACTGCAGTATAGTGGCACAAGTAATAAATATCGAATCCACGGGTCTCTAGAGTTTCTATTACTCAGCTTCAGTTCATTATCTAGCAAACTAGATTAAGGATTGATTTACTAAACTACTCTACTAATTACAAGTTGGGAACTCACTTAGGTATGATTCCCCCTAGCTCCTCAATTAGGTCCAAGTTGAAATTACCTTTGGTTGATCTACTGTTGATTAAACTGCGAAAGATCCTAAATTAGTTTGGAATCTCTTAAGCTGACCAAGCCCTCTTAGATAGAGAACCCGGCAGGCGACTAGCCTTCACCGGGGATAGACTGCTAAGGCTATTCACACAGATCTCCACTACTGGAATGAATTCCAGTACAAAGCAGTGAATTGATTTCCTCTCGCACAACCAATTCACCACTATCAATCAAGGAAGCTCTCTTAACCTTATCAGATTCTATCTATCATCGGTTAAAGTAGAAATCAAGAGAAGATGATCAGGATTCAATTGACTCAATAAATCATGCCTCAATCGATTATAATCAAACAATATATCATCCAAAACTTCATACAAGAAAGATCCTAACACATGGAACTAGGGTTCCTCAAAACCTAAGTGAAGGGAAGTTACTCCATAGAGAGAGACTGTAGAAATCTGATCTAGATCTTCAATCTGCATCTCCAAGCTTGATTCCCGAGCTCCAATGGCGAAGAAATCCTCCAAAATAGCTCCAAGAATGTTCCCAAGTTGCTCTCTCTCTCTCTCTCTCTATCTCTCTCTAGGGTTCGTCCCTTAGGTGTTTGGGAACCAAAAGCCAGCCCTCTCTTTCCTTTGGCTTGAATCAGCCTAAAAACCCCGATTCTGGGCAAAACACGGTCGAGGACACGGACGTGTTTTACTTTTGTCCGCCCGTGTTTTGCCTCCAGCAGCCCTCATAACATGCCCTCGGCAGTAAAAACACTAGCGGGGGCCAGATAAAACACGGCCGTGTTTCTAGGGTGGTCTGTTCGTGTTTTTACTGCCGAACCTGTTCCCCTATATTCAATGCTTCGTTTCTCCCTCGTTCGGACTCCGAACCAGTCGTCGTTTGATCCTAGACGCTCGTAGTCTCATCCTCTTTATTTTCATGACAAGATTGCATGATTATTTGTCCATAAATGAGGTAGAAATCCATTCTTCTTCAAGCCATGCCCGAGTTTCTTCTCCCGAACCGCCAATTCATATCCGATTGACTTGAAACTTGCGCCTATGCCTCCCTTTACTCACTAGGAACTGAAATGTGAGAAAGGAACACAACCTAGCATAAAATAGGCCAAATAATTGATAATTCAAGCTTAAACGATCAAGAAACAAAGGGGAAAACATGTGCAAATATCGAGTCATCAAATCCCCCCCACACTTAACCGTTTGCTTGTCCCCAAGCAAACCTGACTCAAAGAAATGCAACTCTCCAGACCTTTATAGCAACACGCAACCTCGATCGTCGTTAGCGGACTTCCTAGATCATTTAGCATCTTACGAGGTTAATCGGTCCTACGTCCCCTATCTCTCTCAATGCGAGTACTAGACTCAAACCAGGATCAAGCGAAGTAGTAGATCTAGGATGTACAATTCATGGATAAAGAGACTCACACAACACACAAAAACTTGGACTCTTGTATCGGGTGCTCTTCCATTCATTTCAATAGTTGGAATCCCTTTTTCGCACTTTCATTTTATGTTTATTTTGTTTTTCTCATTCACACTTTGCGGGGGTTCCAACTGCAGTTTTTGTGCACGGTCGACCCTTATTGGTTGATCAAGAGCAATTTATGTACATATGCCACTTGCTAGAGTACTTCTTTTAACTCTTTTCCTCAACTCTTGTGGAGGGTCAATGAAATTAAGGGGTGTCGGAAGCTCTATCCGTGCCCTTAAAAACACATCCTTGAGTAGGCAAATCGTTCAACGGGTGGAAATTTTACTTGTACTAGAGACAACTTAGCTCACCTTGTAGGGGTACCCCACTAAGGTTCACTAAAATCTCTTCCAAAACCCGATTTTGTGCAATGAACGGTGCCACACACGTTGGGCTTACCCCATGTTTAAATTTTAAATTTTTCTAACATAGAGGACCAACTGTTTTATCATTACCCACCTGAGCACCCTTATACGAAACATTAGTCCACACAGAGCAAGAGAGAATCATCGATTACTTCAACATCCTCCATAGTGCTACAACTACCTCCCTAGATTGCATAGTACTATAAAGACTGTCAATTCAAAGCATACTGAGCACGAAATTATAGGGATCACGTACTTGGAGCCCTCAAAATTAAAAATTTGGACAGTGGACTAGGCTCCAAGCACACACATACAACCAAACATTCACACACATACATAATCGAACATCCCCCCACACTTAAGCACGACATTGTCCTCAATGGAGGAAAGATAAGGAGGGTATAATGAAGTTACCAGATCAAGGGTGAATGATGGTAGACGGGGCAGGCGGTGCATTCCAGGAGGAGAGAGTAGTCGGAACACAAACACCACACAAAATCTCACAAAGGTTGAGTTATTGACTCTAAAATCAAAGAAAAAAACTGACTCAACCGAGGAGAGATAGGGAAAGAAATGCAAACCAAATGGTTGGGTTGCCTCCCAACAAGCGCTTCTTTCACGTCGTGAGCCGGACGATGGCTCTTAAGTTTCGGTCCATGCTAGAACCTCCTTGAAGTTGAGGTTCTCGTCTACGAGGCGGAGTCTCAAGTCACGAGCATGTGGCATGACAGGTGATGTATTGTGTACTTGATGAATATGACGTCTCCACCCTCGAGACCTCTTCTTCTCTTCTCTCGTCTCATTGCCCCAAACTAGATATGACAACATCGATTGGCCACCATCGCGTCCACCAAGAGGGACCAATGTCGATGTGGCCTTGGTCTGGCAAAGAGACACTGCAAATGGGTCCTTGCTAAGTAGTTCCTCAAAGTTTGGTGGAGATATCACATGTAACTCATGACCGATGCAAGCCTCTTCCACCTCAACTTCATCCTCGGTCTGGACGCCAATTGCTTCTTCAACCCCCAGTCCGTCTTCAAAATGTAGTATCACCCTTGGGAAACAATTAAGAACTCCTTTTGCTTCACTTTCGTCATCCTCCACAACTTCTTTTCGAACCCTATCTTGCTCTTCTTCTTCCAGCACGGATTGGAGAGCAAGTCGCCAAGCAATTTCTTTGATGAGATCATCTTGCATCTCATCACTCATACCCGCATCTGCCAAGCTCGGTGTGGGGTGTGGGAAGGTGTGGTCGGCTACAACAGGACATTCCTGATCATGATCATCACTGGATCTCTCCGTGACAACTTCTGTCTGCTCCACAATGTCATCGTAGCCTTCTTCTTCCTCCTCCTCTTCTAGTATGGTAGCATAAGGGTAATCTTGATTACGCTGTGCATAAGATTTCTCAAGATCCTCGAGGCTCTTCTTAATGATCAGGAGGATCTCCTCTGTTTCACGATAGGCATGGGTACAAAGATCTATCTTGGAGTATGATCTCTCAGTGTCTCGAGCAAACTGCTCCATGAGAAGCCTCAATTAATAGTTTGGATCTGGCCGTGGAGTGTACCATGGCTCTGCAGAATGGCCCATGAAGGCCGCCATGGCCAACTCCAGCTCCGATGGCCCTTCTGGTTGTGAGAGAAATTCTTCTTGATAAGGAGGTTGTTCTTGATATGCCCAGGGGTCTGATTGTTCTCCGTAGTAATGGGGTTGGTACTGGAACCCGAATCAATAGTCTTCTCCTCCTTGATTGCTCCAAGAAGTCTCGAGGTAATACCACTCCGATGGTGGTGGATACCCCCAATGGTTGGAGAAGCCATGAGGATCCATAATTCAGAACTGCACCAACAAAAACAAAAACACCCAAGTGAAAAGCAAGGGTGGAAAATAAAAGAAAACTGCTAAAGTAACAAACTTCTGCCTTTCCTAATAATGTAAAGTCCCCGGCAATAGCGCCAAAAACTTGACACGCTAAAACACAACAACTAACAATGGCCAAGTGTAACCAATGAAAGGGACTGCAGTATAGTGGCACAAGTAATAAATATCGAATCCACACGTCTCTAGAGTTACTATTACTCAGCTTCAGTTCATTATCTAGCAAACTAGATTAAGGATTGATTTACTAAACTACTCTACTAATTACAAGTTGGGAACTCACTTAGGTATGATTCCCCCTAGCTCCTCAATTAGTTACAAGTTGCAATTACCTTTGGTTGATCTACTGTTGATTAAACTGCGAAAGATCCTAAATTAGCTTGGAATATCTTAAGCTGACCAAGCCCTCTTAGATAGAATAACCGGCAGGCGACTAGCCTTCACCGGGATAGTCTGCTAAGGCGATTCACACAGATCTCCACTACTGGAATGAATTCCAGTACAAAGCAGTGAATTGATTGACTCTCACACAACCAATTCACCACTATCAATCAAGGAAGCTCTCTTAACCTAATTAAATTCTATCTACCATCGATTAAAGCAGAAATCAAGAGAAGATGATCAGGATTCAATTGACTCAATAAATCATGCCTCAATCGATTATAATCAAACAATATAGCATCCAAAACTTCATACAAGAAAGATCCTAACACATGGAACTAGGGTTCCTCAAAACCTAAGTGAAGGGAAGTTACTCCATAGAGAAGAGAGAGACTACAGAAATCTGGTCTAGATCTTCAATCTCCATCTCCAAGCTTGATTCCCGAGCTCCAATGACGAAGAAATCCTCCAAAATAGCTCCAAGAATGTTCCCAAGTTGCTCTCTCTCTCTCTCTCTCTCTCTCTCTCTCTCTCTTTCTCTAGGGTTCGTCCCTTGGGTGTTTGGGAACCAAAACCCAACCCTCTCTTTCCTTTGGCTTGAATCTGCCTAAAAACCCCGATTCTGGTCAAAACACGGTCAAGGACACAGACGTGTTTTACTTTTGTCCGCCCGTGTTTTGCCCTCAGGAGCCCTCACGACATGCCCTCAGCAGTAAAAACACTAGCGGGGACCAGATAAAACCCGAACGTGTTTCTAGGGTGGTCTGCCCGTGTTTTACTGCCGAACCTGTTCCCCTATATTCAATGCTTCGTTTCTCCCTCGTTCGGACTCTGAATCAGTCGATGTTAGATCCTAAACACTCGTAGTCTCATCCTCTTTATTTTCATGACAAGCTTGAATGATTCTTTGTCCATAAATGAGGTAGAAATCCATTCTTCTTCAGGCTGCCCGAGTTTTTTCTCCCGAATCTCCAATTGATATCCGATTGACTTGAAACTTGCGCATATGCCTCCCTTTACTCACTAGGACCTGAAATGTGACAAAGGAACACAACCTAGCATAAAATAGGCCAAAGAAGTTATAATGCAAGCTTAAACGATCAAGAAACAAAGGGGAAAACATGTGCAAATATCGAGTCATCAACAACATACAGGGATGTTTTCTAGTTTAAAATTTATCCACATAAGTTGAGTACAACAGCTTCCAGCTACCATGTACTCAGCCTCGACAGTAGATAGAGCAACTGCTCCTTGTTTTTTGCTGAACCAGCACACAAGAGCTGGTCCTAGAAATTGTGTAGTTGTTGTTGTACTTTTCCTATCGATAAGACTTCCTCCAAAATCAAAGTCACTATATCCTACCAACTCAAAAGAGTCAGTTTTGGGGTACCATAAACCTACTTCAGATGTTCCTTTTAGATATCTAAAACTTCTTTTTACGGCTTTGAGATGACTTTCTTTAGGGTTAGATTGAAACCTTGCACACAAGCCTACACTATACTGAATGTCTGGATGACTTGCTGTTAAATATAGGAGTGATCCAATCATTCCTCTGTATTTTTTCTCACAACAGGGGATGCAAAATTCATCCTTGTTGAGTTTAAGATTTTTTTGCCATGGGTAAAGATGTAGGGTTCGCAGATTCTAGTTTGAACTTTCTAAGCATAGATTCAATGTAAGCAGTTTGACTAATAAACATACCTGATTCAGTTTGTTTAATCTGAAGTCCCATGAAGTGTGATAGTTCACCCATCATGCTCATTTCGAACTTTGCCTTCATAGACTCAGAAAATTTGGTACACATAGAAGGGCTAGTTGATCCAAACACGATGTCATCAACATACACTTGTACTATTAAAGTGTCAGAATTTTCTCTTTTTATAAATAATGTTTTGTCTACATTTCCTTGAGAAAAACCTTCACTTATTAAGAAAGATGACAACTTTTCAAACCATGCTCTTGGAGATTGCCTTAAACCATATAGAGCTTTTAACAATTTGAACACATGGTTTGGGTAATTATGATCAACAAAGCCAGGAGGCTGACTCACATATATTTCTTCCTTAATCTCTCCATTTAAAAATACACTTTTCACGTCCATTTGAAACAATGGTATCTTCATGTAGCATGCATAAGCGCAAAGAAGTCTAATAGATTCAATACGAGCAACAGGTGCAAATGATTCATCAAAGTCAATTCCCTCTTCCCGTGAGTAGCCTTGCGCTACAAGTCTGGTTTTATTTTTAGTTATGTGTCCCTCTTCATCTGTTTTGTTTCGAAAGACGCACTTGGTCCCTATGATTAACCTATCAATTGGTCTAGGGACTAGCTCCCATACATGCAACCTAGCAAATTGTATAAGCTCTTCTTGTATAGCAACTAACCATTCGTCATCATTCAAGGCTTCCTTGTAATTTTTGGGTTCAAGAAGAGAGACAAATGCATACTGACCTGGTCGATACTTACCTCGAGTATGAATACCATCATTGAGATCTCCAATGATTTGAGATGGAGGGTGTCGCCTCTATATGTGTGCAGGAGCATTGTTTCCCTCCACTGACATAGTTTCTTCTTCTTTGGTTTCTACAGTATGCACCTTCTCCTGCTCATTCTCCTCATCTGAAATAGGAAATAGGAATTCTATGCTTTCTGTGTTTATTCTTTCAGAACAAGCAGAGTCGTCAAACTTAACAAATACTGATTCTTCTACCCTTTAAGATTTCAAATTGTAAACTCTGTAATCTTGACCTTTTGTTGAATATCCAAGAAATATAGCCTGTTCAGATTTCACATCAAACTTATGCAGATGATCTTTGGTATTTAAAATGTAATACTTACATCCAAAAGGGTGAAAGTACCCCAGATTTGGAGTTCTTTGTTTCAGAATCTCATAAGGAGTTTTATTCAGTGTTTTTTTTTTATTACTCTTTTTATGACATAAACAATTTGTCATCACAGCTTTTTCCTAGAGAAACTTAGGTGTTCCATACTCTAAAAACATAGTTCTAGCTGTTTCAATTATTGTTCTGTTCTTTCTTTCAACTACACCATTTTGTTGTGGTGTTCTAGGTGCGGAGCAAGTGTTATTTATTCCCTTATCATCACATAAGAAACTGAATTGATCAGATATAAATTCTCCTCCATTATCACTATGTATAGATTTAATACCATTCTTTGACTCATTTAGTACTTTTGGCACAAATATCCTAAACATTTTGAAGGCTTCATCTTTAGATGCTAAAACATAAACCCAAGTAAAAGGAGAGAAATCATCCACCAATACAAGAGCATATGACTTACCTCCAAGACTTACCACATTTGTTGGGCCAAAAAGATCCATATGAATCAGTTCATATACTTGTGTAGTGGTGACATCCATCTTTGATTTAAAAAATTTCTTAGTTTGCTTACCACAGACACAAGCATCACAGAAAAACTTAGGGTTTTCCTTTAAAGTGGGTATCCCTCGTGCAGATTTCATTTTGGATAGTTTAGATAATTTTGACAAACTTACATCTCCTAGTTTTCTATGCCATAGCAGCTCAAGATCATGAGATATAGCCTGAAAACATGTTTCATTGAATGTTTTGAGATTATTCAGGTTCACGGCATACATGTTATTCCTCTTGGTTCCACTAAAAAGCAGTTTGTTGTCTTTAATTCTAAAAACCTGACAAGAGGATGCTTCAAAGATAACTCTGTTTTCTGAATTGCATAGTTGAGTTATAGAAAGCAGATTATGTTTTAAACCTCTAACAAACAATACATCTTTTACTTCAGGAAAATGACTTTTACCAACAGTTCCATTTCCCATGATTACTCCAACCCTGTCATCACTGAAAACTACCTTACCTCATTTCTTGTAATTTAAGGATGAGAATAGTTGCTTCCTACCTGTCATGTGGTGGGAGCACCCACTGTCCAGGTACCAGACATTTTCATTTTCTCCCATGTTCTGCAATCAGTCACAGATTAGTACATTTTGGCCAAATGACCCTGTCTTCTACAATGAGTGCAAACATATATTACAGGATAATTTGTAGTTTTAATTCCAGAAGAACTTCTGTTATAAGCACTATTTCTTAGGGGATACCTCTTCTGCCAATGCCTTCTTGACAAATGCAAGTTATTTTTAGTCAAGTTTATATCTGTCTTTGAGTGATCACAGCGACAAGTTTGTCTTAATTTCTCATTTTCCTCTTTTAGATAAAAAATTTCTTTATGCATCAACTTTTGACACTCATGCGGACTGATTGTTTCCCTTCTTAGACTATCAATTTGTTTTATCATGACATGATTGTCAGTCATTAGTAAGCAAAATTTGCTTTTTAAGTCTGTTACATTCTTCCTGAAGATTCTTTAATACATACAGAAAATCTGGTTTTGATTTGCAGTAGATGCTATTTTCAGAGTCAGAGTCAGGAATTACCTTATAACTTGATGGAAGTGTCTGATCATCACTTTCTGAGGATGTATCACCTTCCTCATACTTGGTGGCAAATGCCATGTATGCTAAATTCCTAGCTTCCAGTTCTTCCTCTGAGTTGTAGTCACTCCGAGTGGCTATTAGTGCTCTTTCTTGATTCTTGGAGTTTAAGGGGCATTTGGATCTCACATGTCATGTCTTACCACACTTGTAGCAAATTGTCAGATCCTTCTCACTGGAAGACCTATGGTCTTTCTTACTTTCTTGTTTGAGCCTTTCTCGTCCCTCATTTGGTTTCTCAACATTTCTAAAGGAGCTTCTCTCAGCATAAGATTTATTAAAATTACTCCTATCAGTATGCCAGAAAGGTAGTCTTTCAGTACCTTCTCTTCTAGATTCAAAAGGTCTATTAAACTGTCTGGATTCATTATAGGCCTTTCTGTCTCAAAAGTCTCTTTTCATTTTTAACATTCGATGGAAGTTCTTACTGATTAGAGCAAATTCCTTTTCAAAATCCTCCCCTAGTTCATATTCTGTTTCATTATCATAGTCTTGAGCTTTGAAGGCAATAACCTTTTTACGTTGATTGTCTTCTTTGTTCATTTGTATGATTACTTCTTCGTGACTTAACAAGGAACCTACCAGCCTTTCAATAGATAGCACATTTAGATCCTTAGCTTCTTCTATAGTAGTTCTCTTGGGTCTGAGTATTTTTCTAACAAGTTCCTTGGCGGCAAACACTTTTCCTAAGCCTTTCAGCCTATTAATAAGATCATTGAACCTTTTATACATACTAGATATTGATTCTCCAAAATTCATTTCAAATGATTCATATTCGTTTAACGGCATATCTATCTACTTTCTTTTACTTCTGACGTACCTGATAGACCATTGATTGCACATATTTTTACCTCCATTTTTGAGCCGTTTGAGATGTTGATTCTCGTGTTTTAAGCTGATTTCACGCTAGGTTGTGTGTTTATGTCATATTTCAGGACTTGGCGTTGACGTGAAGGCGAGGAAATGAGTTTCGGGTAAAAAAGGAGGACATGGGAGTGAAGGGTGCTGGAAGAGCAAAATACCCGGCCAGGAGTTAAAATACCCGGCCGGGTAAAATTCTGAGGAGGCCAGGGAAAAGCAGTTTTGGACGCCCAGAAGGCAGACGAGGTCCCGGCCAGAGAGCAAAAATACCCGATCGGGTATTCTTGACCTCGATCGGGTATTATCCCCTGTACCGCTGCGCTACATTTCGAAATCCCCGGCAGGGCACCCGAAATACCCGACCGGGGATTATGACCGGGGATCGCGGCTTGCTGGTTTTTAAGGGAAAGAAGGCTGATTTTTGGAGGGTTCCGAGTTTTAGAGAAAGAAAGTGATACCTAGAGAGAGAAAGCGACGAACGAGAGTTCCCAAGCCCCTTAGATCGATCTTCATCATCAGTGGAGCCCAGATAACGCTTGGAGAAGTGCCGATTGACGACCAGAAGCAGAACCCTATTCTTCACAGCATGTTTTCTGCTTCTGAGCTAGAGTTTGCTTCTTTCTTCATGGAGTAACTTCCACATTCACCTGGGTATGAAGAACCCCTAGATTTGTATGTTAGGTCTGATTGTATGAACCCGAGTTTGAATCCATTGACTTGATTATATTCAATTGAGGATTGATTTTATGAATGGCACGAATCCTGATCAAATTCCTGTTATTTCTGCTTTGACCTAGAAAGGGAATATCTGCCTAGGTTGATAGAGCACCCTTGATTGGAGGTAGTGAATTGACAACTTTAGTCGAGGAGTCAATTCACTATTATGTACTGGAGTTACTCCGGTAGAGGAGGTTTGGTTTATTAGGGCCTCAATCTGTTTACTCCGATGGAGGTTAGTCGCCCGGCTGGGGACTCATATTGAGAGGGTCTGGAGACCTTTAGTCGAGACTGCAGACTGTTTAAGAACCTCCCGCAGTATAACTATCTTTGAATTAGAGCTTGGTAAATTACAATCTGCCTTAACTGCAGTCTAAGGCGAACCATATCCAGGTGACCTCTCTCAACTTGAAAAAAACCTTTTACTGCTTTGCTTGTTTGTTTACTTGGACCTTCACTACATTTTCATTGCTAAATAATAAGAATTCCCAGAGTAGTCATCACACTTAGGACCCGGGTTGACATTAAAACTCAAACCCGCTATACTAAGCACTAGTAGGTGGTTGCACTCGGCCATTTTCTAGTGTGACGGTAAAGGCGAGTCAGTACCTTCGTGGGTAGTCTGAAGAGACTCGCATATTTACTTGGCAATTTCGCACTGAGCCACTTGACTCCTTTCTTCTGGACAGAGGGCAGAGAACAGGATGTGCATCGCCCTTGAATCTAGTTGGGATGAGATCATTTGCTCATCTTCCCACTTTTCTTCATCTTCTTCATCCATAGGAATGGGTCCTTTGCGGACAATTTTCCAGATGTCTCCATCAATGCCGCAGAGGTCGATCCTCATTATCTTTTTCCATACCGTGTAATCCGTCCCATCAAACCATGGCGGATTTGTGCTCGCAGAGTATGAAGCTGATGCAGGTGATAATCCTGTCATCCTGAACGGATCCTCTTCACCGATTGCTAATCCTTTGAAGAGCCTGCTCTGATACCAATTGTTGACTTTGAATGAGATGAAATTCTTGAAGCACTATACTCAGCAACACTCAGTTTGACAGTTTGTAGAACAAGAAAGATTTTATTCAATGATGAAAGAAACGATTCGATTACTGACACCAACCCTAGCCAAGCCAATCACGTTGGCTCTTTGGAATCACAATAAAGATCTAACTACTTCCCAAGATTTAAGTCATCCAGATTGACATCACTATGACAAAGCTACTGAAACAATAGATGGACCTAATACAGAAGGAACACTCTACTATTTCACTCACTGCATACCACCAAGCCATTACAGTTGAAGTGAATACCTAACTTATACAAGGAAGGGCATGAAGCCGTTTGAAGAAGATGATCGTTGCTCGGGGCTCATCATGATCCCGCCTTGGGAGCTTTTGTAGAGGCGGTGCCTCCTACTCCTTGATCAGAGATGAGAGCAGTGGAGCTGGAATTCATGCCAAGCGCTTCTCGATGAGATCGAGAGCTTTTCTCGATGAAGATGAGAAGGACTGCTGTTTGATTTGCTGCTTTGTTGTTTGTGTTAGAGAGACTTGGAAGAGAGAAATGTTGTCGTAAGACAGAAGCCAAAAACGATGTCATGAAATCTTCGTGAAGCGGCGCCGTTTCAGCCAACATGATTGACTGTAAAAATATCTCCTTGTTAGATGATTTTTAGCACTATAAAACGGTTGAATAACGATTTGATAGTAAACTAATAAATTATAAGAAAAGTAATAGCATCGTGGTAAAAGGAAATAGGTTTCGTTCACCCACCTATCACCAATTGTGATGGGGTGTGGGAGAATGATCAAAGTTAGAAACTCTTTTTCACCCTGAAAGGAGAACCGGTGACAAAAAGAATCCAAGATTGCCAGTTTTTGTACCTATACGGTTTTGGACTAGAGTCGGCTTTTTTATTAGTTTCCTATGTTTTGTGTGGCAGTCCCTTTCACTTCATATTTAACTTTAATCACTACCCATAACTCATTCTTCTTCTTCTCCTCCTTGACCAGGTTCTTCTGATTCCTCAGCTCTTCATTCAATGCTGAAGTTTGCACTTGTCCTCATAAACACAAATTAGCCAACAGAAGGGAAGAAGAGGGGGGGGGGGGGGGGGAAGGCTCTTTGGCTGCTGTAGAATGGCTTTCTTGGAGAGCTCACAAGGTATATGCATCAAAACTTTGGTTACCCTTAATCGACATTCCAGTATTTTACATCCTTTTCTTGGTTTCTTTTTTTCTTTTTGTTTTGCAGCAGGAGAGCTTCACTGGATTTGTGAAGGGAAGGTGGACTTCACCTCACCTTGTACACAGAGAACTATCATAGACACCATAAACCTCATCTTCCTTTCTCTTTTCTATCTCTCCCTTCTCATAAACTCTATCACAAGGCAGCCATCTACTAACAAACCAAGCTCTAAAAAGGACTTCATATCTGTGATTGCATCAGTCTTTTATGGACTCATCAGCATTACATACTTCATCACTAGTCTGTGGGGCCTGCTTTTACCTGAAGATGAAAAACTTGAGTAGTTTAACTACTATGATAGTTTACCTTGTGAGAGGGGCAATCTGGGTTTCCTTGACATTTTCTTTGCTTGTAGTCAGCAACACTTCTAGGTTTGGTAGGGTCATCATTCTGCTATGGTGGGTTGGATTCAGTATTTTGGTTACAGTTCTCAACATTGAGATTCTGGTCATCAGAGAAAAACTTCAAGTCATTGAATTCCTGCCATGGCCTGTGAACTTCCTCCTTCTGTATTCTGATTTTGGAAACTACCTCAGCCCTTTGGCTTCCATAGAGGAGGATTGTGATAACGGAACCTCAGAACCTTTGTTAAGTGAGAAAGATTCAACAAATGAATCCAAAATAGGTAAAGCTAGCTTCTTTAGCAAATTGATCTTCTCCTGAATCAACCCTTTGCTAACCTTAGGCTACTCGAAACCGTTATCACTTGATGACATCCCATGTTTAGTCTCGGAAGATGAAGCTGGCATAGCTTACAGTAGATTCAAACATTCTTGGGAGTCTCTTGTGAGAGAGAAGGGAGCATCAAACCATAGAAACAACCTAGTGGTTTCATCCATGCTTAAAGTGTTTTTCAAGGAAAACATCATTATAGCAGTACTTGCATTGCTTAGAACACTTGCAGTTGTATTTATTCCTCTCCTCCTCTATGCATTTGTGAGCTACTCGAATCTTGAAGACCAGAATCTGTACCGAGGCCTTCGATAGTAGGTTGCTTGGTCTTTGTGAAGTTAGTGGAGTCATTGTCTCAAAGGCATTGGTTCTTCCTTTCAAGAAGGTTTGGAATGAGAATGAGATCAGCACTAATGGTGGCTTCATACAAAAAACAGCTCAAGCTTTCTAGCTTGGGAAGAAAGAGGCACTCGACGGGGGAAATAGTGAACTACATTGTTGTTGATGCTTACAAAACGTTTGAATCTACTGTGGATTTCTAAAAAAAATACCCTTTTCTAGAGCCCTCCAAAATTGTCAATCCGAGTTCATGGTTGCTCAAGAATGCCAGCACCATTTTCACAGTACTTGCAACTCTGAGAGGGATGGGTGAGCCTGTGAGGATGTTTCCAGAGTATATGTCGATTTTGATCCAAGTTCATGTTTCCTTCACTAGGATCAATTCATTTTTGCTGGATCATGAGCTCAAGAATGAAAATCTCAACATAGATGAAAACGAAACTCCTAATAGAAGTGTGAGGATTGAAGATGGTAAGTTCAACTGGGATCCTGAGCTGCCACTGCCAACTTTGAGCCTAATCAACTTGGGAATCCAACCTGGGCATAAGGTTGCAGTCTGTGGACCAGTTGGTGGAGGGAAGTCTTCACTCCTTTATGCTGCACTCGGGGAGATACCGAAAATCTCAGGAACTGTAAGCAACAGAACAACCTGTTACTTAATCTGAATCTTTTGTCTCAATATCACTAACTAAAGAGTTCCTCTCCATTGGTGTTCTTGTATCAGGTTTGTAACACCCTACCCTATACGTATTACCTAATCATATTGTTCATACAATTGCAGCGGAAATAATCTCGGGTGTTACATTAATTATCAAAATTTACCTAAATAAAATTTCGACATGAATTACTCGCGTAATGGGCTAACAGTTCTGGCAACTTATCCTGCAAAATAATTCATCACAAACATATATACTCACAACCATAAGCATTGGCTTTCATAGCCAAAGTCACAGTTTCATACTACACAACTGCATACTATACTGATACAAGCCATAATCGTCACAACTTACATAATTACAAAAATATACACATATCATCAACTTTCCACACCTGTGGATATCTCACACTACATCAGAAGCTAGTATGCACATGAAAAACGTTCTCAAAACATTTTTACAAAAAGGTGTGGATCACTGGCCAAAATCCCGAGTAGTAGTCCAAGCACAGAATAGTTGAAGACCATACCTCATCTTGCCTTCAACTCTTGCTCAGCTCCCACCTATACACCTATCTACTGCTGCTGCTGATGATCTGCTTACACATGGCATAAGCAGAGAAAGATGATAAAGAGGGTCAGCTCATAGCTGAGTGAGATAATCATAGCATCGTGAGTTCATAACATAGCATACCACTACCATACATCTAGCAAACAAGCCAAAGCACTAGGATCAGATCTCAGCCCTCCGACATCCCAATAGGCAAAAGACTCAACCACCTTGACTTATGCATATGCATCTTATCATGTTTTACTTATAGGCGCCTGGCTACTCCCATGCTAATAACTCTCCCGGGAAACATACCCCACATCCCGTCGGATGTAGTCATACATACCCCAACATCCCGTCGGATGTGGTCATACATACCCCACACCACTATGGGTGTAGTCATACCCTGACACCACTCTGGGTGTGGTCATATCTCGTAAGAAATCTTCAGTCACCACCACATGAGAGGTGTGACTATCATACATATCATAATAGAGTAATAGCATAGGGAGCCCTAATTACTATGTAATTGACCATGAGACCAAAATACTCATATTTCGTATCCTTATACATGATTCATATCTTATCCTGCTTAATCATAATTCGTTACTTGCACATGTACTTGACCTGGCCATAATTGGCTCAACATAGGTAAATCAGGAGTCGTATAATTGCAGTTCCTCGGGATAAACCCTCGTGCAAGTCATCCTCCTTAAACATCATAATATCACCAGGGAATATATATTTTCCCACTTGTGCATCCAAATACAACAATCATGGAAAATCATACCTAATCACCTTCTCGAACCATCGTAAAGCATATTAATAGTCAAGCCCACAATTTGCAATATATACATAATCATCAGCATAAACAAGGTTCATATCGATTAGGGCAAGTCAATAATATCATACAGCAATCCAGGGTTCAACATATAGCACAAAAGTTCATACACCCCTAATCATGCCATTCTAGTTCACCTAGATCAATTCTAAGCATCAATATAATTATCGTGATACGACAAACCCGGTATGCCGTGCTAATCCCTCACCAGTTCTGGTCGTTCAAACACCGGTTTAACCTTCCCGTACTAAAACGTCAATTTCTCGAACGAACCCCGAATTAAAATCCGAGACCGTCCTAATATCCCCTGCAGTATCCCCGTCAATATTAGTTCTAGGCTCCGTGTCAAATTCTCGATAAAAACACATCAAACCCTGGCCGGAGCTAAATTCAGCGGTTTGGACCCCGGCCTAAATAATAGCCGAAATTCAGGGATTAGAACTATAGGATTGATTACCTCACTGCAGGAAGCTCGTATATGAAATTTGGGCTCAATCCGGCTTCCGGATACTCCGAAACCCTAATTTAGCTTATCGGGAATTCAAGAAATTCCTGAACCAAAAACTCGTTTTAAAACTCTAAATCGATAAATCACGATGAATGGATGAATTAGCCATTACTTACGGGATTTTTGGATCACTGTAGCTCAAGAATTGAGCTTTGCAATTTCTCCCCGAGCTCCCCTGTTCGCTCTGCTCGGCTCGCTCTGTCTCGTTTCCTCTCGGTGGAAAGTGAAAATAAGATGGGGAAAATGGAATTAAATGGACGCAGTGTATATATATATATATATATATATAAAATTAATTAATACGTATACTTATCCGATCGATCGATAATCCGATTTTCGCCGAAATATTGTCAAAACGCTCGATTTTAAATCGCGAACTTTCTAGCGATCGAAATATGAGTTTTACCGGAACGAGATGTTACAAGGTTGATGTCTCGGGATCGGGATCAATTGCTTATGTAGCTCAAAATTCATGGATTCAAAGTGGAACGGTTCGAGAGAACGTGCTCTATGGGAAGCCAATGAACCAGGCAAGATATGATGAAGCCATTAAATCATGTGCACTGGACAAGGACATCAACAACTTCCCACATGGCGATCTCACAGAGATAGGCCAGAGAGGGCTCAACATGAGCGGTGGACAGAAGCAGAGAATTTAACTTGCTCGAGCAGCTTATGATGATGTTGATATCTATCTCCTTGATGATCCTTTCAGTGCTGTTGATGCTCACACTGCTGCCACACTCTTCCATGTAAAGAAACAAAATAAAAGCTTATTCATTTCTTTCCTTTTCTTTGTTTTTTTTCTTTTTGATCTTCCATGCTAACTGAAGCATTGTTTCTGAAAATTTTATCAGGATTGTATAATGACTGCTCTAGAGAAGAAGACTGTGGTTCTAGTGACCCACCAAGTAGAGTTCCTCTCATCAGTTGACAGAATCCTGGTAAGTTACAGTAAGAAAGAGGGTGAAGAAAACAAAATTTTCTTCAATCAAAGATGATAGAATTTTGATTATTTCTCGATCTATGTCTGACATATAGGTTATGGAAGGTGGGGAAATTACACAATCACGAAGCTATGAACAGTTGTTGATGTAGGAACAACATTTGAGCAGCTAGTGAGTGCTCACAAAGATTCCATAACATTAGACTCTTCAACCAACCAAATGTATGTATATCAACAAGAACCTTATTCTTATGATCAGCCTGAGAAAGTTCACCACCAGAAGGAAAAAGAAACCATAACAGCTTCTACCAAGGGAATGTCTGAAGGAGTACAGCTAACAGAAGAGGAAGAGAAGGAGATTGGTGATGCAGGATTGAAGTCATTCTTTGATTACCTTAGTGTCTCAAAGGGAACTCGTCTTTTAATCCTAAGTGTGGTGCTCCAAATAGTCTTCTTTATTCTTCAGGTTGTTCAACTTACTGGCTGGCATTTGCCATTGAGATTCCTAGCATTAGGAATGGAACCTTGATTGGAGTTTATGCTCTCATCTCGCCGTTGAGTGTTGTTTTCGTCTGACTGAGATCCTTAGTTATAGCACACTTGGGACTGAGAGCTTCCAAGAGCTTCTTCTCTAGTTTCACCGATGCAATCTTCAAGGCTCCTATGTCTTTCTTCGATTCTACCCCGGTTGGACGAATCCTGACTCGGGTAAGTTCATCACAATAACTTGAATTGTTCATAAAATGTGTTAAAAATCATGCTTATATTTACACAATAGTGAATTGTTGAAAGAGGTACAATAATAAATTTTGTATCATTCCCTTATAAGCTCCTCTCAAATGAAAACTAACCTATGTAACATACAATGTGTTTAAATCAAAGTGTTCCTTTTTTATCAAATAAAGCTCTAATGTTACGTTAAGAACTATAAATTGGTTCTCGATATAATATCTGAGCCTTTGATTACCAAAAAGTTTCAGCTGACATGTTTTTTTCTTGGCTAATTGACAGGCATCGTCTGATCTCAGCATTCTGGACTTTGACATCCCTTTCTCCATCCTCTTCGTCTTAGGACCTCTCATAGAGCTAGTGGTCACTGATAGGGCAAAAGCGTGATGCCTGAATCCTATCTCGTAGTAAAACCGGAAAGTCCGGGTATCGTCTCTCAGGGACTGGTACAACCTTATATTCTATCAATTTATAGAGCAAACTGTAGGTGAAAATGGTTTAATTGGTGAAACTATTATCTAATAGAAAAATAATTAAACAAAACAAGCAAATTAAAGTTGTTGGGAGAAATTCAATGGGAGAAAGCTCTGGGAGAAACACCGGGATTCACTATCTATCATATCCAAATTAATTCACTTTTCTGATCAGTTTAATCCAACTCTATACAGCCAGGATATCACTACTGTGCTAGCTATCCCTGTCGGGAATTACTACGTACTAAACAATTAAATCAAATCCTACTGTCGTAGCTCAATCACTTAATTATTTAGCCTGAAGATCGATATCCTATTTAAGACCGCATAGCACCTTATTTAATCTACTGTCGCTTCGATAAGTTACTATGTCACATGAAATATGTTCAGTCTTTAGGGTTTCACTGTCGCTAATAACCTAATTAACTACAAATCGATGTATTGGTGGCCAGTCAACACAAAGCATTAAGTAATGTCATGCGATAGAGATTGGAAGAAAAGAAATATGAATCAATCCATCAAATCTAAAAATAGCTACATCCTATGGTGTTTCCCCCAGAAATTGGGGTTTAGTTAATGACGAAATCAAAAGATATAATCATATTCTTAATCATCATGTCACGAATCGAAACAAAAAGGAAAAGAATACTGAATTTTTCGAAGGTAATCCGGCTCCAATTCCTTCTTGCTCCGATCGCCACTCAGCTGCTCCGCGAGTCGCCGCCTTCTCTCATTCCGCGCTGCCGCTCGCTCTTTTTGCTCCCAGAGAAGTCGCGTTCCCGATCCAAGTCTCTCCCCTCGAGCTGCTTCTCCGCGATCCAATTCTCCCCGCTGCCAATGAATTCCGTCTCCACCAACTCCAGTTCGCCTCCGTCTCAAATTAATTCCTCTGCCCAGCTCCGCAGCTCCTGCGTTTCACATCCCCCCTCAATGCCAAACAAGTTGGTCCATATATATTTTTAAATTGCCCAAAAGAAATTGCCTCCCCACGTTTTCAATCCGGGTCCAAATCTCCTCCTTAGAAAAGGACAAAGAAGATGGGCCAAATTAAAGAAGTCTCCCCCGGTCCATTTAATTCCCCACCGATGGCCGCTACTCTTTTTTTGCTAGGTAATGGAAGCTGATACAAGCCGGTTCAGTTTTAATTTGGATCGAGCATTGATCGGACTGTTTGTGGTATTTTGCTTGTGATTGCATGTTATGTCTCTTCGTGTTTTTCACCTAAAATTTATCAAAATACTAACATGAAGTGGTAATGGTCTTATAACCATTCCATAGTTAGTTGGCCCGAAAACAAACATTATATATCTCAAACATATCACGAAATAATCTCAATAAGCATATAGAATCAATATGTTTTCGACAATTATCAGTCACCATTATAATCATGGCTTCAGTCACATGGCAAGTCCTCATTGTAGCGATCCTAGTCCTGATAGCTTCAAAATACGTTCAGGTAAAAAAAACAAACATTACTTCAGTTTTAGTTACTTGATTCACAATCAACTGATTAACTAAAACTGAATCTGAATCTCCTTATTCTAAAAGGACTACTACTTAGCAACTGCAAGGGAGCTCATATGAATAAATGGCACGACGAAATCCCCCGTGATGAACTATGCCTCCGAGACCTCACTAGGTGTAGTCACCATCAGAGCATTCAAGAGGACACAAACCTTCTTCAGCAACTACATCAGACTCGTGGATCGAGACGCTGTAGGCATTCTTCCACGCCAATGGCGTGCTCGAATGGCTCGTGATACGAATCGAGACGCTCCAGAACTTCATCTTGTTCACTGCTGCATTGCTCCTGGTCCTGCTCCCTTAAGGGCACCATAGCCCCAGGGATCATTGGCCTGTCGTTATCCTACGCGTTGTCCCTCACCGGTACACATGTCTTCATGGTTCACTGGCACTGCAATCTGGCCAACTACATTGTCTTGGTTGAGAGGATCAAGCACTTCATGCACATTGCTCTCGAGCCAGCAGCCATAGTGGAGGACAAGAGGCCGCCGAGCTCGTGGCCCCAAAGGGGAAAGTAGAGCTACAGGATCTTAGGGTTAGGTACATGGCAAATGCACCACTTGTGCTCAAAGGAATCAACTGCACATTCGAGGAAGGGTGCAGGATCGGTGTGGTGGGGAGGACTGGAAGTGGGAAAACTACGTTGATAAACGCCTTGTTTCGGCTTGTGGAGCCCGAAAGTGGCAGGATCCTTGTCGATAGGCTCGACATTGGCTCGATCGGGCTTAAGGATCTGAGGATGAAGTTGAGTGTGATCCCTCAGGAGCCTACTCTCTTCCGAGGCAGCATTCGAACCAACTTGGACCCGTTGGGGCTTTACACTGATCATGAGCTATGGGAGGCATTGGAGAAATGTCAGCTCAAGGAAACCATCAGCAGCCTGTCAAACTTGATGGATTCATCAGGTAAAGAAAGACAGTAGATTCTTTTTCGCCTTTGATATGCTTAATTGTCTTGCATTCCAAGTAACTTGAATGTTTTCGAAAACTATTAACAGTAAGTGATGAGGGTGAGAACTGGAGTGCTGGGCAAAGGCAGTTGTTCTGCCTTGGGAGAGTCTTATTGAGAAGGAATTGAATCCTGGTGCTCGACGAGGCCACTACGTCGATCAATTCGGCCACAGATGCCATCCTGCAGAGGATCATTCGACAGGAATTCACGAAGTGCACAGTGATTACAGTAGCTCACCGTGTCCCAACAGTTGTAGACAGTGACATGGTCATGGTCCTGTCTTATGGTAAGTATGAATATTATATTCTGCAATTCGCAGCAACAACGGTTGGTGTTACCAGGCAGGATTGACGAATTCTTGATGCTTGGGTGTTTAATTTTTTGTAGGGGAACTAGTGGAATATGATGAAACTGCGAGGCTCATGGAGACATCCAATTCATCGTTCGCTAAGCATGTAGCTGAGTATTGGTCTAGATGTAGAAGGAACTCTTGTCAAAACTTCTAGGCAGCGATCTTCTCATTTGACTTATTTTAAGAGAGTTTAAAATAAAGACAAAAGAGCATTTTAATTTCCTATGGGCATTGACTACTTTTTCTTATGGTTATTCACAAATTGCATTAAGCACGGTAGCTGCAAATTGCAAAACTCCTCCAAACACAACCAGCGTGTCAAGAAAATTAAGAACTATCTTACAAATGAAACACCAATAGTGTACCAGAAACAAATACTACTGCTTCACTCTAACTTTAGGGTTTTAGTTTGCTCGCCCTTAACCACTGAACCTCATTTTCATTTCTTCCAACAAGCTGTCTTGGGGTGCACATACTCGCATTGCTATGGCTTCGACACCATCTCTCGCGCCAGATGTAGCTGATGCAGAGTGGCCAACACAACCGCCCTTCAACTGCCAAATCTGAGTTGCTTGACCACTACCTCACTGCCCAATCAAGATGATCAGGCCAATTAGTAAAAGATTGGACCTGAAGAGTTTGCTCAACACACTTTTGATATAAGGATATTGACAAAACAAATGTTCTTTGGATTCTTCTCCACGTGGTCAAAGAAAGAAAGCTCAATTAACAAATAATCCCCATGCTACTAGCTTATCCTTTGTGGTTATTCGATTTAACACAATCAACCATAATAACAAACTATTTTTAGGGCTAAAAGGCTTGCCCTACGCAGCCCGAAACCAATCAACTAGAGGGTTGAGGGGTACGTATAGACTTCCTGGCCATCTTGACAGAGTACTTAGGCGATATTTTCCCATCCCAAGCCAATTGAGATCCACTGCCTGATAAATAAGATTGAATACCCTCTATGCACTTCAATATTCTTTTACATATCCAGGTCCCTGCTAACTGAACTGAAAGATCCCAAAATTGCCTTTTGCTTCAATTTATACTTCTTCACCCATACTACCCACAAAGATCCAACTTCAGCTAACAGATTCCAAATATGGAGGACTACACAAGCCTGGTTCCACTTCTTGAAATCACGGATTCCTAAACCCCCCTCTTCCTTAGGCAATTCTACGAATGTCCATACCACTTGAGCTTGTGTCATCTTGTTAGGACCTCCAACACCCTAGCGAAATTCGATTATAGTGCATGATGTGACCAAAGTACGCATATTTCCTCCTTTTTATGGGTTTTGAAGCTTTTCTCCAACGAATAAGAACTCGAACAAAAGATAATGATGGAACACGATCAAACAGATTCCAGCTCATGTGAAAGGCCAATTGGTATATGAAACCAATCAAACAATCACCCACTCATGAATAAGGCCAATCGCAATTGGGTAGAAGCTCGCCACAACTAGACGTGTTCTCTAGTTGATAAGAGACACGTGAAACTCGTGGAGCACTCTCGACAGAAGCTTGCACAAAGAACCAATTCGTATGAACTTGAAACTTGAAACTTGATTGATAATTGAATGAGTTACAATGAGGAACTCGGCCCCTTATTTGTAGACTAGCTAACACAAATCTAAAGCTTAAAATGAAAAACAAATCCTACAAGTAAAAGGAAAACACAATCCTTAAAAGACAAGGAAAAGACTTGGTCAACAACTCCCTAGATTCTAGCCTTGCAATCCGACAGCCCTTCCATTGTGTTCCCACCTTTGATTCCTTTCCCACCTTGATCATTTGCACACTTGAGACTCCTCTTCTCTTCCTTAGTCGAATCCTCTTCTCTTTTGAAACCCAATTCCCTTCATTCTAGTCCATGAATTGTAACAATGTAACGAGCTTCCTTTGATGTAGATCCTCGTCCATGTGAGCATAATGACGATCCAAATAAGCATCAAACTCCTCTCTTATCCTCTTGGCTTGTAAACGAGTAATTGGACCTTCATGTGATGAAATGGACTTGGATTTTATGCCCTCATCAGTGCATCTCAATCTCCTTTAGGATCTTCTGTGACAAACATAAAAGGGGACATCCAGTTTCATTGTACTGGTGAAAATAGAGGAAACCAATTGTAGTCGTCCATTATAACTAAGCATACTTGCCTACCATGTTCTGATTCTAGCTGTAATCTTATCAACCAGAGCAGCACAGTCTTTAGAGGAGAGCTTACCTATAATTAAAGGAACACCAAGGTACCTTACAGGCAAGACCCCCCAAAGGAAACCCAATATAATTTGAAATAATTTGTTGCTCTTTTTCAGAAATACCAGAACAAAACAGCTGAGACTTGGCTAACTTACACCAAAGTCTCGACTTACTATAAAACTGGTCCAAAAGTATCTTGATGTATGCAACTGCTCTGATTTAGCCATTTTTAAATGGTAAATACAATATATTAGCCACAACTATTAAGAAGCGGGAAATTAATAGCCACAGCTATGTAGTCACAATATATTAGCCATAACTATTGTTGCGGGTTAAGATATGGCTAACAACCCATTACCGTTATCAAATTTTTAATGGAGAAGGCCATGTCGGTGGCCACGTCAAATTCCAATTAAGTAATAAATTTCTTTATTTCTTACCCTTTTTACATTTATTAATTGATATTTTTCCTGGGTAGATATATATGGATTTTAGCTAATTCATATTTTAAAAATAAAAAATTAAAAGAAAATTACAACTACCCGTACCCTCTTATCCCTCTCGCACCCTCTTCTCTGTCCATTGATCTTCGAAAACAAGATATCTCCCAAAATTCCTTCTAGCCATGATCGATTCTCTTGGCAGCGTAGCTGAGAGCGATCTCTAGTAGATGGAGATGCGAATTCAGGCCACTGCCACCGGCGCCCGTCACTAGAGAGTTGCAGATCCAAGTTATTTCACAGGAGGAGGAGAAGAAGAACTTGTCGTACCTGACCACCTCCCGGTGGAGATTCTCATCGAGGGGATCGAATATCCCCTTCCAGTTGTCTCCTTATCTATGAAAACACATCAACCACTAAGCTAAAAGGATATGTCCCTTCATCAAATTAGAATATTTGATTTTGCTAGTCAAGCCCACAGGGTTTGGACAACCAATCCCAAACCAGTTTGACTTGATTAGCCGGGGTGGTTCATCTCGTTTCAAGTTAGAAATTAGGTTATTAGTTGATAGTGGTCCATAAATAACCGTCCATTCAATGAATCGGACCGCTATAGTAACTGGTTTGACGGTTCTACTGGCCAAACCGTTAGATTCGATTCCGTTCTTATAACAATGGTATTATTACAAAATTTTACTTTTAGACTAGCGTACATACATAAGTGCAGATGAAAGCATATATATATATATATATATATAAAAGTGTATATGATATATTTGTGCCAAAATTTCGATGCTAAGATAAAATCTTTGTCAGCCCATTGAGATTGAACGTTTTTCTCTTCTTTTCTTCTCAAACTATTTATTACAATCATCTGTTTCCTGTTGTCTTCTAGGGATAACCACCCTTGTTACCCGTGATGTTTTTTAAACAAAAGCTAGGTAGCCACCTTTCCAGGTTTGTATCTGCCGATATATAGATAGCTAGGACTCCATCTGTTTTTTCAGGGTCGAGATATCAGATAAACTCACAATGGCCATTGTGTTGATTTCGACATTGTTGTTACTAATTTCCTTGTCGTCCGACCATTGGTTTTGCTCCTCCTCGTACGTAGAAGACGCGTGCTGCGTGACAAGGTACCAGGATCTCTGCATTCGCTCCCTGTCCTCCTTCTCCCGTACAGCCAAGTCCAGTCCAAGCAAGTGGCCCCGGGCTGGGGTGTCAGTCACACTAAGCGAGTCCAAGAACACGACCCAGTTCCTGGTCAAGATGCTCCAGGACCGGGAGTTTTCTGGGCCGGAAACTAATAGGAACCGAATCGCTCTGTCAGATTGCGTCGAGTGCTTCAGAGAAGCAGTCGACGAGCTTCATCGGTCCTTGGCACTTCTCATGAGCCTCCTCGATGGGGGACCAGATCAGGTCAGTAACTGATGGGTCAGTAACCCATCAGTAACCCCTTCCCTTGTCTCCACGTGTCAGTCCCTTTTTTTATTTAAATTAAATGTGAAAGGACAGTAAAATAAAATTGCCATTGCCCCTATTTATTGCCAATCCTGACATTTGACCAGACCACGTCAGCGCCTCCTCTCTCCTCGAAAAACCTTTAATTTTCATTCTCTTAATCTTTAACAGATGATTTCTCACTCGTTTTAAGTCGGAATTTAATTTTTTTTTGCACAGTTAGATCAGATTAATTGTGCTCTTCAAAATGATATCCACTTTGATATTTTTTGGACATAAAAAAATTTGCCAGTTATTACCAGTCATACCATATGGTATTGACTGGTATTAAATAAGATCATACCGTTACCACCCAATACCATATGGTATAGTGTGGTAATATCAATATATATCTTTCGTTACCACCCAATACCATATGGTATAGTGTGGTAATATCAATATATATTTCGTTACCACCCAATACCATATGGTATAGAGTGGTAATACTAATATATATTTCGTTACCACCCAATACCATATGGTATAGTGTGGTAATATCAATATATATTTCGTTACCACCCAATACCATATGGTATAGAGTGGTAATACCAATATATATTTCGTTATCACCCAATACCATATGGTATAGTGTGGTAATATCAATATATATTTTGTTACCACCCAATACCATATGATATAGTGTGGTAATACCATATGGTATAGAGTGGTAATACCAATATATATTTCGTTACCACATAATATCATATGGTATAGTGTGGTAATACCAATATATATTATCTAAAATAAAGGGGGAAAACAAAAGGAGGGAGAGAAAAAAAAACTTGTCTTCTGTCTCATCTCATTTCATCCGCAACCAAAGAATACCAAATGCCAAAAAAGGAGAAAGATCGAAATTAAAGGCAACGAGTTGATGAAGAGAAGAAACGCAATTAAAGAGGGTGACTTCAATTTTTATTAGTAGATTGCTAGAGAAAAAAAATAAAGATGGAAGAGAGAAGATCTAGATTTGAAAAGGAGATTGTGAGAGAAAAAGTAAGAGAGGAAATAGAGAAAGGATCTGAAAGAGATTGGAAAAAGGAAGAGAGGAGCAAGAGAGAAAGAAGAAAATAGAGTTGCAGAGAAAAGTTTATTCTTTCTCTTTCATTGAAAAGTCAGACATTGAAATGCGGAATAAATAAAAAAAAAGTAAAAATACAAAAACGGACAAAAATGCCCCTCCCCACCTCCGTGTCCAGCCAACCACCCGATTGCTCCATCCCCATATCTACGGTTCTCGTGTATTTACTGATAGGTCAGTAACCATTGGTTACTGACCCTATCCCAAACCCCTCGATGGTGCCGCCGATTTCGAAGCCCAAATGGCCGACCTGACCACGTGGGTTGGGGCCGCCCTCACCGACCAAGACACGTGTCTAGATGGCTTTCGGGATCAAGAGGAGGTGTCGGTTAAGAGCAAGAGTAAGAGTAGTATGAAAATGGTGAGGAGACAAGTGCGGAGAGTGGGCTACATAATGAGCAATGCTCTGGCTTTGATTACTAGGCTTGCATCCACTGGCTTAGCCTGATTCAGTTGATACTTCACTTCATTCATTACTTCGGTTAATTTGAAATGGGGTTGCTTGGGTATTATGATAGTAGCTCTTTCCACTCCTATATGGCTATATCATTAAAAATATTGTACGTAATAGCTCACAACATTTTGTGACCTAGTACTGTAGCACATAGTTCGGCTATGCTTATAGCTCAGGTTTTTATGTAGTGTTGCAGTATGCATAATGTTTTTTTTTCCGTATCTGCTAGCAATAAATAATGATACGTTCGCCATTTGTTTTATGATTAATTTTTTTAACTAGTTTGGACCCGGGTGATTGGTCTGAATATTTAGCTATATTGTTTGATAAAGTATTCCAGTTAATATTTTTATTAAGAATTCTCAATGTGATATTTTCATTATAGTATTAATCAACAAAGTCAAAATTGTTTCAATTTTAACCTTATTTTATGAGTGGTTTCTCTGGCACAATATTCAACCTTTTTATGTAAATTTTTCGTACTCAGATCAAGATTTTTCATCACTTAACTTTATTATTCAACCTTTTACCGGTATTGAGATTGACCTAATATGATTTCATTTCACCCTGGTAAAATATAAGACCGAGGTAATGAGATCCTAGTAGCTGATTATGCGCTTGTTTATGTATGCAGCTACAACTGGGATTTCGTGCTACTTTACCTACCCAAATCAAACTATTTGGTTGACCAAGCCAAAAAAATCTCAAAAATAAAACCCTAAACATCATCAAATTCAGTTAACCATCATTGCATGACGGGCCGGCAGCCCAATTGGCCAAAATGCCAGTCGCATGCGCATTTAGACCTACGGACGCGGGTTCGAACCCCGCTCTTAACCTTTACATGAGACCCAGGTTCGAACTCATATATGAAGACATCTCTCCTTAAAAAAAAAATTCCAACTCCTTGGCTGACTCGGTTCCAAAAGTTTCAAAACCATTATATTTCAAGAAAGACAAATTTTATGACAAAAATCAAACTGGAAATCAAAATTGAAATTTTTTCTTCAATAACAAAGAAATAGAATGTTACTCTCTTGCAGTAAGTACAAATATATGAAACATGGAGAATGGGAGATCTCCATGTCCAAATAGTATTTTTCGAGCTTACTGAAAAACATCCAAATAGTAAATATAAATATGTTTACTGCATATATATTGTCATAAAGACTAATAACATCAATAAAATTATCCACATTATTAAGGCTATACTGCCACTACGACCAATGACATCTATAAATTATCAAAATTGTTCAAGTTAAACAATGTCATTTTGCTTTTTAAATTGCATCAAGTGGAACTCCCAATTGGTTAATTGATTGGAATGTAGATGCAATGATTTACTTCACGAGCGAGCTCTCTAGTTCAAAAGTGAATAAAACCTTCACCAGACCCAAAATCCGTCAACACTGAATTTTACCATTTTTTACAAGATCCAGTCAGGTTGAATACCCGTGAATCCATTAAAATATCGTCCATAATTGTATTCATATATCCTCAACCTCACTTTTCCCCTCCATGTCCAAATAGTATTTTCGAGCTTATTGAAAAACATCCAAATAGTAAATATAAATATGTTTCCTGCATATATATTGTCATAAAGACTAATAACATCAATAAAATTATCCACATTATTAAGGCTATACTGCCACTACGACCAATGACATCTATAAATTATCAAAATTGTTCAAGTTAAACAACGTCATTTTGCTTTTTAAATTGCCTCAAGTGGAACTCCCAATTGGTTAATTGATTGGAACGTAGATGCAATGATTTACTTCACGAGCGAGCTCTCTAGTTCAAAAGTGAATAAAACCTTCACCAGACCCAAAATCCGTCAACACTGAATTTTACCATTTTTTACAAGATCTAGTCAGGTTGAATACCCGTGAATCCATTTAAATATCGTCCATAATTGTATTCATATATCCTCAACCTCACTTTTCCCCTCCAGATTAAAGATAAATTAAATTAGTTTCTCGTAGCTTAAATTCTCTTTTCTTTTTCGCCTAATTACACATTTGGCCACTCAAATTAAATAAATCTTTCATGTTTGCCACTCAAGTTACTTTTCTTTCTTATTCCCCACTAACTTTATGAATCATTTCACCATTAGTCACCGGCCGTTATTCGCCACTCAAGTTACTTTTCTTTCTTATTCGCCACTAACAGATTTGCTGACTAGACAGTTAACTTAATGACTTGGATTTAAAAATTTAAAAAATAATTAATTAAGGAAACATACGGAGAACGAATGGAGAGAATAATTGGAATGCTCCCATCTCCATCACCGCCAAGTCACCTCCAAACCTCTTTCGTCCTCGATCATCACCGTCGTACCCGCGCATCCTCCGCTGCAAAAACCTCTAGCCACAGCACCGCGCCACCGCTTAACGAGGCTCCTCACCGCACACCACCGTCTTTCCCGGAACCTAGATGTTGCTTCCCGTCGGCACCATTAGCGAAAACTTCAAATCTGAGGCTCTGACCTCTGCCGATTCCTGCTCGCACTTTCCCTCCGAATCTATTTCCAGCCTTGTATAGTCGAGCCGGGCCGCCAAAATTTTTCTCACACCTTCGACCATCCAAATGCCCAGTTCCCACTCTCCTCTCACAACCCTGCTTCCTTCGTTATTCTTCTCCACTTCGAAATCAAAGTGCGTCTATTCACCAATTAAATACGACCTATTCAACAAACACATCATAATCATTGCTTACATGAGCATTTAGAGTCAAATTGGTTCTTCAACTATACCGAATCACAAGCAAACAAAAAAAAAAGCGGAAACGAAACCGATGCAAAACAATCAAGAGATGCGGCGGAGGCAACGATGGAGGTCAGAGGAGTCCTGCGGTAGAGAGAAGGGAGACCAGGGAGCATGCTATTGAAGGGAAGAAGGTCAATCAATAGTAGACCTGGCAAAAATAATCCAATCCATTAAATCAATCCAATCCAAATCCATTTAATCCATGGATTTATGGATTGGATTCAGGGATATCCACTAACCTAAATTGTACGGTGTCCAAAAAGAAGGGTAATTAGCATAAACGGTCACAACCCTATTCACTTTGTACGAAACGGTCACAAACCTTTGATTTTGCACGTTTTAGTAACATACATTTGAGAGAATAACGAAATGGTCATTCCGTCAATCTCCATCCAAAAGAACCGTTAATTTTTTGCAGTCAGCATGCCACATCACTTAAAATATTAATAACAAATTTAATGACCAAACCAAATTTAACCGGAATGCCCAACCGAAAGCCATAACTCTATACCACCCAACAGAGCGAATCAGCGAAGGGTCACCTCCCAGGTCGCGCCGCCAATAGCCGAAAACCATTGAAGGGTTGCCGATAGCTTCTCCGGGTTGCGTTGCCGGCCGAAACTAACGAAGGGTCGCCGCCTCTTTCCCCTTCTCAAATCGAATCTCCCAGCTGAATTGTCTATTGCTTTCGCTAATGGTTTCCCGGATGAACGATGTAGATAATTTATGTTTTTTAGTATTGGGTGGGTGTTTTCTCGATCATTGGTAATTGGTTTGGGAAACTTTTGTACAAAGTGAATAGGTTTGTTACCTTTTATTCTAACAAAACATATCTATTTTACAAAACAGATCTATTTACCCTTATTCTAACAAAAGACTCGTCGCCTCCAAATCTGAAATTCCGATTCTGAATACCACTGGTTCGCACAACGTCGGCGGCGTCTTCGCCACCTTTCTGTCCATCTTGAAACCACCGACCTCGTCTTCTCCTATTCCAAACAACGCTGACATAGTGATTTTTGTTCTCCCAAGGTCACCGTCGACGGCATCTTCGCCGCCTCCCTCCCTCTCTATCTCGAAACCCACCTCGTCGCCTCCTTCACCAACTCAGAACTCGCCTTCCTCTCCATTCGTTTCCCGTCCAGATCCATCAAGGAAGGTTAATCACTCCATTCGCCCACACCCACGAAGAAATTTTGTTCGCCTTCTCCACTCCGTCGTCTCGAAGGTACAACATGCACTTCTAATCGAATCTCTTCACCATTGTTCCTGTGAATGCCTAGTTCCTGTGATTGTATGTTCTGGGATTACTTATGCACATCTAATTCAAGTCTGGGGCAATCATTTTTAGTCTCTGGTTTTCTGTAGATGACTAGAGATGGAACTCACCTCCATTGTGCAGCTTTGTGGGGACTGTTACTGTTGTGTAATTTGAATTGTCAACATCCTGTAGTCTCATCTAGAAAATGGCTTTACACAATTTATATTGTAGACACCATAAAGGAGAGGTAGCTTCTCTTTGTCTGGTTATTCTTCTTCGCAAAACTGACATTCTGGTTTTGATGAGGGCTTCCTTTTGATTGCTTTGTTGTTCATATTCTTGGATGGCTTCCTATTGTCACCCTAAGGGACAGTTTGATTAACCTAGAAGATACCTTCATCTTGTGCTAACGGTGTGATTGCTCTGTAGTTTGTTGTAGTGTTTTGGTTTCTATATAGTAAAGTAGAACAGGAGCCTTATGTTTGGAGCTTGGTTTAGTTGCAATTTGGTTTAGTTGCTAGGTTTAAATTGTTGCTGGAACTTTTATTTCAATTGTTTCCAGTTGTGCATTCATAACTAAGTCATGGAATTGGACTGATTTCAGGATGTCAAGTCAACTAATGAATGTTACGAAAAATGATGATGGTAGTAGTTCTGGAGATGAGGATGATTTTGCAACAATGTTGACGTCTACGGGTGGAACAAGTGTTCAGAGAAAGCAACAAAGAACTTCTAAGGCATGGGAGACATTTACTTATATCCTTGGGAATCAGTTTGTAGACAAAAAATCAAGAGCACAATGCAAAAACTGTCTCAAGCTTTATGTGGCTGGTAAAGGTATTTCTAATCTCACTCGTCATAGTCGTAAGTGTATTGGACGTGCAATTGAAGTGCCAGTGTTGAATGTTGGAACATCCTCTATGGCTGCTGATTTTACTCCTATTTCAGATGAATGATTGAAAACTGAACTTGTTTTTGGACCCATACTGACTTGGTAATTGTAACTTGGTTTAACTAGTACAACAGACTGACATTTTGAGAACCTTCATTCTTAGAACCGTTCAGCTCTCTAGAAAGACAAACACTGAGATCGTTTCACAATTTGGTTCCTACCTATGTTTTGGGATCCAAGTAGAGAAGCACTAAGAAATGAATGTGTGAGATTTGCTTGATCTAATAAGAATATGTGACTGAAGTTGTGGAGGCAGAATGGCCAGGGGAAAACATGTCTATTTAGCTGGGGGTGGCGGCTTATCTTTCTTGGCTGCTGCATCGTCTTTATCTTTCCTTCCCTGCAGAATCATGGAAATCTGGAGGCCTCTGCTGAAAGCTTGATTGAAGACGAAGAGCATCCGAGTTTGGAACTCGTTGATAAACGGGAACCAGGACAAGATGACACTTGGGGAGAACTAACGGCGGACTTATTATCTGTTTCAGGTAGAGAAACTGACGGCGGTAATCAGGGAAGCAGAGGCAGAGGCGGGGAGACGAACGTTGAATCTGGGGGTGAGCATACCCTGGAATGGAGTCCGATTAGTCCCTGGAATGGAGCCTCCATTGAATCTGGGTTCGGCGGTAATTCCTCTGTGTCCGGCAGCCACTTGTCATGCTCGCCATCATTCTTCTGCCGCCGGCAGACTCTCGCCGCTGGTAGACTCTGTTTTTCCACGTGCAATCGTTTCCAATACAGAAATTAGAAGGAAAAAATTAACCTAAAATATTAATGAAAATTTACATTAATGGTTTTGAAGAAGGCTATTGAAGGGAAGAAGGTCAATCAATAATTCAATAGTCTTGAAGAAGCTCTGCCGGACGCAGCGAAAGAGCGTCGGAAGTGGTAGGAGGGAATGGAGGTGATGGAAGGAGAAGAGGAGGGAAGCATTGGGAGTGGAGCGTTGCAGTCTTGTAGATGATTGTCGGTAATTGACTCAGCTTTGAATTGGTTATTATTGTTTTTTTAATTAAAATGTTGGTCCACCAGTCAGCAAGTCTGTTTGCCACGTCATCAAAAAATTGGCAGAGTTAATGGAGTGTAACGGTCGGTGACTAACGGTGAAACGATTCGTAAAGTTAGTGCCGAATAAGAAAAGAAAGTAATTTGGGTGGCAAATGTGAAAAATTTATAGTGACCAAACGTGTAATTTAGCCTTTCTTTTCCTGAATCACTATTCGTCGCCCTAAAATTCAAATTTTATCGCCTTAAAGCATAACAAATTGACATATTTACCCTTCACTCCAATTTCAATTCTAATCTTAACCAAACAATCCATTCCTCGCCTACCGACCAAACATCCGCCGCCCTCACCCATAAAAAAAATCGTTGCCTCATCACCTCCCCTCCCATGCTCCTGCACTAACCCCAATTTACTGACTGCCACAGCTACTGCTACTCGAGCGCCCGAGGGAAGTAGGAAGAAGAAGCAAGTTAACGAGGTGGGAGAAAAAAGTGCAGAAGGTCACGAGGAACTCGATATTCCACTTTCCCTTTCTTGAATTCAACTATTGCCTGAAATAAAGTCCAACATATAAGTTCACTATGGATTGGACGAGATCTAGGGTTTATCCAATTATTCTTTTTTTTTTTATATACCTTTTGCACCAGATAAGTGGAGAAAATCAAATGGGTTGGACAAAGTTCAGAAACGAATGACAATCATGGATAAGAACAAGAGTCTTCCTATTCCTGAAAAAGTGGATCTCGAGCTTACATAGGATTTGGCGAGCCAGCCAGAAAAATAAATAAATGAACTAAGGGCATTAAAGTAAATGTAATTTAATTAAGGCGACGAATAAGGAATTTTAGGACGACGAATAGCAATGCCCTTCTTTTCTTAATAAAAGAATCTCACATAGCCACTTGGGAATGGAAAAAAAATCTCACAGTCGCAATTCATGAACAGTGATAATTAACTATAAATCTCTATTAGGCAATAAACGTGCCTTTGGTGATTGGTCTCTGTCTCTATCAATCAACCAAACCAATGATTAACAAAAAAAAAAAAAAAAAAAAGCTACAATTCTACTAAGCAAAATAGAGGAGAAAAGTGGGAGAGATAATCCACCGTGTTAAAGGTTCGTTGGAGGATCAGCGGGGCTGAACTGGACGTTGCAACAATACTTTGGAATAATCAGGAGATTACAAGTTTAAATCAATTAATTAATTAGGAAATAGAGAAACCCCCAACACTCTAACTAAACCCAGAAAAATAAGTTAGTAAATACTGGCTGGATGGATCCACCGAACTTAACAAAAGGCGAATCCTTCCTCCCTCTCCGATTCATAACAGAAAGCTTTTTTTGAAATCCCGTTAAGGACGGGAGGGAGGAGACCTGCCACTGCTGCCAGTGTGACTGATCATTGACGGCCGGAAGGAAGGAAGGAAGAGCAGCGGCGGCGCCACCGGGAAGGGGTCGCATTCGGAAGGCCGTCGGCAGCACCGATTTCACTTTCCTTGCAAATCACTCATTTGTTCCACGCCGACCCATTTGTTCCTGTCTCAATCTCACTCAAACCCACCCCACCATTTCCCCCTTTTCTTTCACCTCCCTCTGTCTTCCACGTTCTAGGGTTCTCTCCTTTTTCAGCTCATTTCATCCTCTTCCGTAGCAGCAGCAATGGCGGATCTCCACTCCAAATCGGACATTTCCTTCGCTGAGGTTTTCTTGTGCAGCGCCTTTGCTGCTTGCTTTGCCGAGGTAATTCGACCTTGCATTGTCCTTATGATGTGTTGATTCCACCCCGCTGCTTAATTGATTGACCATTTGGGAGCTTTTAGTGTGTTCAAGTCAAAATTGGTCGCAGTTCCTGATCTCTCCAACCCTTTGTTTGTTTGTTTGTTTGTTTGTTGCAGTTCTGTACAATTCCATTGGATACAGCAAAAGTGAGGCTACAGCTACAGCGAAAGACAGCTCCTTCTGGGGATGGAGGTACAACTGGTGTACCTAAATACAGAGGTTTATTGGGCACCATGGTTACAATTGCGAAGGAGGAAGGTTTGTCATCACTCTGGAAGGGGGTGACTGCTGGACTGCATCGTCAGTTCATCTATGGAGGCCTAAGGATTGGATTGTATGAACCCGTACGTCTCGAAAGACCAAATGTTTTTGTTCAATCTGGATGCTTGCTGCTCTGCTACTAATTTTTTGTTGGTTAGACATTGATTGACTCTGTGTTCTTTTGCACGTATGTGGGGAATTCAGGTGAAATTTCTTCTGGCTGGCAGTGATTCTGGTGGAGTTATCCCTCTATACCAGAAAATACTTGCAGCTTTGATAACAGGGGCACTAGCTATTATTGTAGCTAATCCAACAGACCTTGTGAAAGTCAGGCTGCAAGCTGAAGGAAAACTACCACCTGGTGTGCCTAAGCGGTATGCTGGGGCATTGGATGCTTATCGTACTATAATGAAGCAGGTCAGCTTCTGTATCTTTTCTTTTCTTTTCTTGTCACCGATGATTTGGATCTCTGGAGTTTTAGCTTACCACAAATGGTTTTGTTTATATCCAGGAGGGGCTAGCTGCCCTGTGGACCGGACTCGGGCCGAACATAGCAAGAAATGCCATCGTAAATGCTGCTGAGCTTGCCAGTTATGATGAAGTGAAACAGGTGATTGGTTTGTGACTCTACCATTATTACCTGGACTGCTTGTTTGAATTAATGGTGTTAAAAATGGGGGCATACCATATTTGAACAATGATTCCTTGATCTCTTTTTATACTTATGCAGACAATTTTGCGAATTCCAGGGTTCAGGGACGGTGTTCTTACTCATATACTAGCTGGCCTAGGTGCTGGTTTCTTTGCTGTGAGCATAGGGTCACCCATTGATGTGGTAAGTATCATCAGCCTTGTTTCGGCTCTAGGCCTATCTAACTAAGAGTACGTTACATCATAATATTGTCCAACCAACTGCTAGACCCCATTTTGATAGACTGGTACCCAAGAGGAGAAGTGGAAGTACTTTTATTGATTTGTATTTCTGATGCTATAGCTAGCTAGGGGATCATCTCTTTATCTCCTCATTAACCATGCGGTCCTCTGAAGTTCACTTAGACTTTATAATTTGACGTCTCTATGTCGACTTTTTCTATCATGATTAACAACACAAACAATGCCCGGGCCTGAGACCTTAAGGAAAAGGAACTGTGGCAACAGAAAACACATGAAAATGGTTCAGCAATGGTGGTCAAAATGGAAACTGACATAGGAAGGAATGCCCATTGGCGATGTAATCAATTGGCATTGCTGATCTCTTGAAGTTGTTTATTGGAACGAAGAGTGAAGCTTAGATTTTGGTTAGTTCCAGGTCTGTTAAGTTTGTTGTTGCCTGGTAATTGATTCAGGTGAAATCAAGAATGATGGGAGACTCTTCCTACAAAAGCACTGTAGATTGTTTCATCAAGACCACGAAGACTGAGGTGATTACTTCATATCAATATCCATATCTCCCCCACTGAATTTTGCTTCGGAAGCTATGAACTGGATGTAGTACCTTTGCCTGCAGTTGCATGACTCACTCAAGTATTTATGATGTTGCAGGGTATTTTTGCCTTGTACAAAGGTTTCTTTCCCAATTTTGGCCGGCTAGGGTCTTGGAATGTTATAATGTTCTTGACTCTGGAGCAAGTAAGTTAGATCCCAAGGGCAAAATGAACCAACCACTTGATCTTCTCTATTCCAAACCCTGAATTGTTTTTGCTGCCATTTGTTTTCTATGTGGATACAGGTGAAGAAAATATTTGTCGGGGAAGTATACTATGATTGAGCGCAACAAGGTGGTCGTCTCTGGCAAGCAAGGAAGAAGCCATTACTACTTCTTTGCCGGTAGATTAAAGCTTCAAAGTATTGATATCAACTCCTTTTGATGGGAGCGAAATAATGCATCAGACTGGCGAGATATGCCGCCGCAGGAGATGCAGAGTAGATGTTGTAATTGATTTATTGACCTATATCATTTATATTCTGAGCTCTCATCTCTACCAAATTCAATCCGATTGTTTCATCCACAATCTTGCTTGTAAAACAACCCAGACTCGGGTTCTTTTTGGATACGGATACCCGAGAAACAACATGACAATTACATAGTCTTGATCATAGCTTATCACATTACAATCTTCAAGATCAAACATAAACTATTAGCGCCTCATAACTTGCAGATGACACTCGACCCAAAGCTTGTTATGTTCTGGGTACCAGATAAACCCTAGCCTTGACAATCGATCCGTTCCCAAGCTTAAACCCCGGGCAAACTGGAAACCCAACAACCTGACCAGCCGGAACCCTTCCACCGGAAAATCTCACCACACTTTCCATGTACTGAGCATGGAACTCAGCTCCCCTGCTGGCCTCGAATTGGTTCGGGGCTGGATCGAGGGAGAAAGCCAGCAAATGAAGCAACCAAATGGCCTTGGCCAATCCCAAGAACTCCCCGTAGAACTGGCTCCTCGGATGGTTCCCTGCCGCCACCTGCTGCCGCTGCTCCAAATTGCCGAACAAGGATTCCTCCATCTTCGGGTGCACGATCGCAAGGTACTTCTTGGAGCAGAACTTGCCGAAATGGCAGGTGGGCAGGATCCCCAGCAGCTCCACGGGATCCATGGCTTTCATGTCCCTGTACTGAGTGAAGCAGTCTCGCCGGAATTGGTCCGGGTTGAGCAGGGAAGACAGGCTGCCGTCCATGTAGAAAGTCTCGTGGTCGAATCCTGCGAAGATTTTCCTGGAAATGTACGATTCCAGCGCGTACTTGGCGTGGTGCGTGGCTGCCGTGGAGGCGATGGCGTTGATCGTGGTGACGGTTTCGGTGGTGGCGTTTGCCGCTGCGGCTTCGATTGATCGGACTGCCGCCGGGATGTCCCAGTGGGCGGCTCGCATCAGCGACAGGAGGATCGCGGTGAAGCCCTTGGAAGATTCTTTTACCTGGCTCATCGTCGCCTCGAAAAGCTCCGGTGCCGGCGCCACAGCAACTGTTTTTGACGGCCGGAGTAAACGTCAGCAATTCTGTTTATTTATGATGAATCACAGGGGCAAAATGGGAATTTCAAAAACGTTTACCTTGGGTAGCGTGACTGCAGCTGACCTTCCGCTTTGACTGCGACCGACCTTTCTTCCCTCCGCCGTTGCTGTGACACGTGACGGCGGCGCTCTTCAACTTCTCCTTCAGATTCACAACCTCCGCCTCCCTCGCCTTCACTTCCTTCTTCAGCTCCTCCACCGCCGCTTCGTACGGCGCCACCGCCTCCTTCAGCATTCCCACTACACTTCCACCGCCGGCGTTTCCTCCTCTTCGCCTCCGCCCTCCTCCGCCGCCGCCGACGCTGACGGACCGCCTGAATCTCTCTCTCAAAACACCCAGCTTCCTCAGCTCCCCGACCACCGCCACGTCGGAGGACCTCATCCGCTCTGGGTCCCACGGGCAATGGGCGTCCTGTAAGTTAACGTACGCCTTCTTCATCAACGAGACAGCGTCGAAGACCTCGTTGACTAGCATCTCCATCTCCATTACCCTCTCCATTGGAACCAGCTTCGCCTCGCTCTGGAGCTTCTTCTTCCTGCTCCCCTGTTTCCAATCCCTAATTTCCCCATTTTCCGTTTCCTCTTCCGTTTCGTTTCCTTCTTCTTCTTCGTCATCTTCTTCCTCCTCCGTCGTCTCGTACTCGGACACATAATCCTCCTCGGTGCCGGAACCATTATTCCCCGACGGATCGTGCTTGCCGCCGGTGGTGGCGAGTGGGTGGAGCAAGCAAGATGCGGTGACCCGTTGAATCAGGTCGGAGAAACCACACACCTTGGTAGCCATTTCTCCTCTCTTGTTTGTCGTCTTGATGTCTTCTCTATTCCTGCACAAACAAAAAAGACGGGGGCAGACGCAATGTAAAGTATAATTCAGAAAAAGCTGGAAGCTTTTCTAGGATGGTGGCAGAAGAGCCCCATTTGGGATCAGACCCACCTAATCGAAAAGCGAAATAATTTTTTGGGGTCGACAGAGAAAGAGAGAGATGCGGAGGGTGGATCATGTGGTAAAGGTTGCACACAAGGTGTTTGATGAATTGACGCAATGAAGTGAGATTTATTTATGAGTAGTTGAAGTGAAGAAGGACGGACCTGCAGCGAGTGGTGTGACAGCGGAGAGCGAATCTGGTTGGGTAGACGGACGGATCTCTATCCAATTGAGGCGAGTAATTGATGGAGCTGAAGCCGCCGTCGTCCTCGTCGGATTCGATTCCAGCGCTTCCCTTCTGCTTCTTCTTCCTGTGAAAAACACTGAACTGAGGGATTGTATGGTAAACTCGTTTTATCGTTATTACATCCTCGGTACACGTGGGAGAAGTAAAGCCGTTGGATTCCGTGGGGATGGGATCTAATCTAACTATCGGAGTTGTAAGTTGTAACCACGTGGGGACTTGAAGTGAAGTCATTAATGCACAAAGGTAATTAATTTGATAATGAGCCATAACACTTTTAAGTGCGGGATGGAATTGAATTGTTAATATTTACTAAAATATGAAGAGTATTTGATTAGATTAGTTACTTACCTTGTGCAGTTTGAGTTGAGGGAGCAGAGGAAGATCCCAGGAAACATGGCTGAGGCTAACAATTAGATTAGCTTCTTACTCCAGAAAGCAGCAAAAGGGCAAGTATGGCAGATTGCAGTTATCATCAATGGTGTTGTTGATTATATTATATAGTGAGATTGGGGTATCAGATTGCGGTGGAGTATAGGAATGGACAGCGGCGGATTCGGACTCAGTAGAGTACTGGGCCACATTTTGAAAATAGGTGGAGTGTGTTGGGCCGTAGTTCGACGAACATTTAAACGAACACCAAAAATAAAAAATTTACAAGTATTATTTTAGCTTTGATCCAGAGGAGGGTTGGGCCGCGGCTCAAGGGCGGCCCCCCTGGACCCACCCAAAACAGGTCAAACAAGTCGAGTAAGTTGGATCAGTTCGAAATTGTCATCTCTAGTGGAGCGGAGGAGATAATGGACAGGGGGAAGGAGGCATAGATTGGGGCCCCAATTGACTACGGTATTAGTTATGACAATGTATTAAGGGTTAATTTAGATTCATTGGATATCGACTTGGTATATTTACATTCGTTGTTGGTCTATAGTACTAACTGAGAAGACATATAGTGGCTTTGGTGATTGCACAGTAAGGAAAGGCAAATTTAGATTTTGAATTAATTGGAGTTTAGGGTATAATATTCTATTTCAATGTTGCCAATTTGTGGGTAGACTCGACGATTGACTAGTATTGATTCTGATCCGGTGAGAAAAACGGGTCACATACAATACCAGTGAGTCGACACACTGCAAAGATATCGGGTTGGAGGTAAAAAAATGCGTCGTTTTTCCCTCTGGTTTGCGAAATACGCCTCTTTTCCGGTTTCCCTCTTCGCTTAAACCTATCATTGGAATTCTAAGTTGTACATATGAATATTAATGTTATATAAGTGTGTGTGAATTTTCACTACCTGTTATTTTGATGTGATGTTATATGTTATTGTTCATATGTTAGATGATATTTGATATATTTGATATATGTATGAACAATATAATTAACTTTTTCATATATTCGAGCTAAAGCTGGCTAATGCAATAGGATTATTAACCCTTAACACACTTGTTTGACCAAGCCAATGGGCTAAACTGGGCTAACAACCTTACTACATTCTGAAACCATAATAAGACATACCTAGCTACATCCTAATTCTTTAAATTATATAAATTCAGATCAATTTAATTAGAAACGATAATCGATTGTTTATGATCATTGGTCAAATTACATTCAAAATACTTGATGCACCATATGAGGGTTTATAATTTTAGTCTTAGAAAATTAGGAGGTAAGGTTTACTCAGTAAGGGTTTGAGTACAATATTATGCATCAAAGTTCAATTAACTCAAGATCTAAATAATGCCTTTTCTATATGGATATGTGATACCCTTAGATCTACAATCACTACGATAAATGCTATTAATAGGGATGACAATTACCCATCCTTGGGTCATTTTACCCAAACCCCAAGTAAACCCGTTGTGTATGACAGTATGAGTAAGATATATGTGAAGTATATATGAATTTGAGGTTTTGTAGATGGGTTTAGATAGGATATGTATATTGTTTTTATACTCTAAATGAGCTTGGCTTGGATATGAATACCCGTATACTTGAAGTTATTTTAACTGCACATACAAAAATTGGACCTATTTGTAAATATTAAAAAATTTAAATATAAAATATAATATAGAAAAATTCTAGGTACTAAAATATAATTTTTCATCGATATTTTGAGTACTTGTATGCAAAAATAATTAAATTTAGGCTCTAAATTTACGTATTTATTAAGTTTAGATATCAAACTACAATTTATATACGTATATTGGTACAAATCCAAATCCATAAATACAAAATCCAACTCAACTCAAATAAATAAATATGAGTATATAACCATCAAATTCTATTCATTTACCATATATTTGATTTCATACTCAATGCAATTCAATTGAATAATAAAATACTCATGAGTTTCTACAAAATTCTCTCTCTGACAGAAACCTTCCTCCATATGAAGGCCCAACAATATGGACAAGTTTTCTACGAGTACTAGAGCATCAGAGCGTTGAGAGGCCAAGAAAACTCATGTTCAGCCTCGTTTTCTAGGTAATTAGCTCGACATTTATAATGAAATCTAGTGATTGATTTTAAAGTGATATAGATGTGAGATGGAGAATTATAATCGACAAAAAATAGTAGGAAAAAAGGGACTCTTTTCACCGGTCAGCTGAAAGATAAACCGATTTGATCACCTTCTTTGTTTTCAATCTTTTGATTACGAATTGCATGAATTTTGAAAATTTATGGACATTTAAGAGTTTTGAAATTATTATAGAGTTGAAAATTTTCATAAATTTCATAGTGAATTTTGTTAACTAGATTTGTATGTATGAAGTGAAATTGACTTTTATAATTTTAATTGATATGAGAAGATAAAGGAAATAAAAGAGATAGATTAGTCACAAATGATGGACTTCAAAGAAGATTATCAATTCTCATCTAAATGGCTGAAATTTTCAAAACTGTGGGGTTCACGAATTTGGACCCTTAAAGTCCATAAGTCTCACAGATTTGTTGCTCCTAAATACATGAAGGGGTGGTTTGGAGAACATGAGTCTAAATTTATAGGTTGTTAACAATCTAGAGATTCTAACTCTTCGGATTGTTGAAAACATATTTAAAATGTTTATTGTTCGGTAACTGTAACATTCAATGAAAATAAAAGTTCTAATTTTATATTAAATTAAAATTTTGTCCTTAATATAAAATAATAGAGTGGTTTGAGATTGTTGATAAATATTTTGATTCGTAATATATTTTCTTCTACTTTATCCCTTCCGTTTTATTTGTATTTATCCCATTGAATATATTTATCAACAATCTCAAACCACTCTATTATTTTATATTAAGGACAAAATTTTAATTTAATATAAAATTAGAACTTTTATTTTCATTGAATATTACAGTTACCGAACAATAAACATTTTAAATATGTTTTCAACAATCCGAAGAGTTAGAATCCCTAGATTGTTAACAACCTATAAATTTAGACTCATGTTCTCCAAACCACCCCTTCATGTATTTAGGAGCAACAAATCTGTGAGACTTATAGACTTTAAGGGTCCAAATTCGTGAACCCCACAGTTTTGAAAATTTCAGCCATTTAGATGAGAATTGATAATCTGCTTTGAAGTCCATCATTTGTGACTAATCTATCTCTTTTATTTCCTTTATCTTCTCATACCAATTAAAATTTTAAAAGTCAATTTCACTTCATACATACAAATCTAGTTAACAAAATTCATTATGAAATTTATGAAAATTTTCAACTCTATAATAATTTCAAAACTCACAAGTTTTCAAAATTCAATGGGATAATTAGAAATAAAACGGAAGGGATAAAGTAGAAGAAAAAATATTACGAATCAAAATATATAATCTCTCTAATTATAAGAGATTTGATATCCGTAGATTTTAAAAATTAGAAATCTATAAAGCTAAAATACACAAAGCAAAAAAAAACATAATCTTTTCACAAAACCTACAAATTCCGTGAATTTACAGCATTAATCATGTTTTCCAAATGATACCGAAACAAATGATTAAGTTTAGACAAAGTATACAGTGGATGTAAATTCATCACCAAATATATCAAAGCAACCAAGTCTTTAATTGTCTTGCGATGCGCGAGGTGGTGGGTTCGGGTTATCTCTGATATCGATCGATCTCTGTGTTTGTTTTTTTGGGAACTACTCTAAATTGGCAGATAGTGTATGACTTTTAACTTATAGGTTCGTTATACTTCAATGAACGACAGCATGCATGAATTTCTCTTCAGATTTAGATTATATGTATAGGCCATAGTAGCCTTACTGTAAAAATTGTTCGCTTGCATTTGCAACTATTCCAAGCCTTTATTAATTATTGCATGCGTCGTATCACCTTGATCGATCAATCCCCACCAAATCGATCTACTCCACATGGAGAAGAAGATTGTTGCCGCAAAAATAACAGTGTCTACAAAATCTAATCGTACCAACAGTTTGTCTGGAAACATCATCTACCCAAGTTCAATCTGGTATAGGATTTAACTGATATGAAATGGTTGAGTCACGTTTAATCATAATTATATTTAAGCAAAAAATTAAATATCTTATCATTAACTTATCAGGTACAAACTCATGTATGATTTTATAATCCTTAAAAAGAAATTTCAAAGCTATCCGGGCTCCTCTAGGATGAGGGGCAATGTAGTCAAAATCGCGTTTTAAAGGTTGAACGCTTTTACGCTTCTAGGTCACCAAAATGTTTCTACATATAATCGCACTTTTTCTAACTAATGTAGTCAAAATCACGCTTTGAAACTTAAAAACTTACGCTTTTACGCTTCTAGATTTTTTTTTTTACCTAAGATAATCTTGTATTGATTAAAAAAGATAGCAAACATATTACACTATGGTATATAACTAGGAAAGGAAATCAAAATAAAGACATGTAGTCGGGTACAAAGAAATGACTTTTCTAGCCACCAAGTGGGCTACCCTATTGCTATTCCGACCTACAAATCGTACTGTAAGAGCATTATGATTTGCCATCAAGCAACGAACTTCCTCAAGAATCGCTCCAAAAAGATGATCCTTCTTATCAGACAGGTTGACCTTATCATGACCATCTTCACGTCCTATTCAAACCGCACCTACGAGAGATCACAATCTAGACACCACTGGATGGCCTCACGAAGGGCTAATAGTTTCACTGTTGATGGATCATCAATATATTCAATATGGACTCCCCATGCCAAGACAACCGAACCACTCTGATCTTTTATAATCATTCCTCCCGCCAAGTGTGATACATTCCTTGTTGCACCATCCCACATGCAAGTAATCGAGCCAGGGATTGAAGCAATTGCACTCTCAATCTGGGGGTTCCATTGAAGTCACTCTATTAGCTGGTAAACCGATCAATTCCTGGACTTTCTAATGATACTGCCGCATCAAAGATATAACTCGAAATTGTTTCCCTTCAAAGAAAACCCAATTTTTGGATTCCCAAATCCGCCAGAGGGCCTCAACAATAAGCATACTCTAATG